CCCCCCCCCCCAACTTGGTGTAGGGTTCTGGGCCCGATGAAAGGCCCCGAAAAAATTTGGTATCTTAGAGGGCGAACGGTGCCTTTGGTACGGTTTAGAACTATGATTCAGCTAATCAAAATACTTATTTCAACAGAGGACCAGTAATCGAAGGGGGGGGGGAAGCAAGACCCCATGACCCCCCCCCTCTAAATCCCCCACTGATAGGGATGCCACCTGTAAAAAGTAATGGAAAACGGACTACAGTTTTTGATGGGCTACCTTTCCGCCATGAAGGGTGCACTAATCAAAAACAACACGACATGACTTTCTTAAGTTGATTGTCATTCGTTTTGTAGACATCAGTGAATGTGATTCAAAACCATGTCAAAATGGTGGAACATGTGAAGAAATAACTGACGGTTTCATGTGTATCTGCCCCCGAAAATATACTGGAAAATACTGCGAAACGTGTGAGTAGAATTCAATGATACATTTTTCCCCAAGTTTCCTGACGTGGCTTGGCGTCGCGTTGTATACAAGCACAAGAGTAATACAATTCAACTGCACATAAAGATATTTTTAGATTTTTGTCAAAAAACTAGATTTTTTTTTATTTGTGAGAGATATAAATATGTGTCATCGGCCACCTTTTTCAGTCTGTTTCGAGTCCATTTCATGTAACTTACTGTGTCCATCAACACATTATTTTTATATACGTCGACATTAAGCGGTTGGACACTGATTAAGAAACAATAAAAGACTACCTTTACAGTTGATAATCATTTATTTCGTAGACATCAGTGAATGTGATTCAAAACCATGTCAAAATGGCGGCACATGTAAAGAAATAACTGGGGGTTACATGTGTACCTGCCCCCGAAAATATACTGGAAAATACTGCGAAACGTGTGAGTAGAATTTAATGATACATTTTTCCCCAAGTTTCCTGACGTGGCTTGGCGTCGCGTTGTATACAAGCACAAGAGTAATACAATTCAACTGCACATAAAGATATTATTAGATTTTTGTCAAAAAACTAGATTTTTTTATTTGTGAGAGATATAAATATGTGTCATCGGCCACCTTTTTCAGTCTATTTCGAGTCCATTGCATGTAACTTACTGTGTTCATCAACACATTATCTTTATATATTTTTAAAACTTTTATGAATTCCAATTGTACTTTCACAGATTTCAGTCTCACATAACCCTCAGTAGGGTGGGATTTATTCTTAAACGTGAGACGTAATTACATTATTATTATTATTATTATTATTATTATTATTATTATTATAAATACAAATAGGGGCCTACTGTCTTAAATGCAAGACCCCGGTTTTGCCAGTGTAAGTAGAATTTCTCATGGAAAATGTCCTGGACCATATCAACTTTCACAGGGGTCTCTTCAATTCTGTATACCAACAGGCCCGTAGCCACCAATTTCAAAAGGGGGGTTATTTTCCAAAAAAAAGTGGACCTTTTACAATGAAACCTTTGTGTTCCTAGGTCAGATTTTTCCCAGATTGGACCTTTTCCTGACAAAAAGGGCGGTTCTTTCGAACCCCCCGACCCCCCCCCGACCCCCCCCCCCCTGGCTACGGGCCTGGCCAAACTAAAACCCCTTTGATATCCGAGGGTAGTACAAGAGTTACCCGGAGGTCTCGGGGTCAGTATATGGGGCGTATGTCAAAAGTAAAGACGTGAATGAAAAACATACTGCAGTTTTTAGCGGGATAGGCCCCTATCATTCCGTCATTTAGGTTGCATTTACAGTTACATTTATGACCATTCATTTTGTAGACATCAGTGAATGTGATTCAAAACCTTGCCAAAATGGCGGAACATGTGAAGAAATAGCTGGAGGTTACATGTGTACCTGCCCCCGAAAATATACTGGAAAAAATTGCGAAACGTGTAAGTAAAATTTAATTATACATTTTCCAAGTCATAGTGTGAAATATACTTGGTAGAATAATAGTACCTAAGCAATAAATGCACCAACATACCAGTAATAATGTACTCTTTTTGTATCTGTATATGTTTATTCAATATAACGTTCAACAAAGGTTAATGTCTTACAGTGTAAGAGCTGGCACTGCCAAAATTTCATCATGAAATTCAATCGGAATCTAAAAAAATTGAAATGAGATTAAATTACTCAGATGTGGGTAGCGTTGATACATTTAATATAACTCATGTAACCTACAGATATCAATTACTGTGACCCGAACCCTTGTCAAAATGGCGGCACGTGCGTGGACGGCATCTTGCAGTATCTGTGTCAGCCGTGCATGCCGGGATTCGTGGGGAGACACTGTGAAATACGTAAGTACAGTCCTTGTATGTTAAATCAATCAATCACAGATGTTTGACATGTTCAATAATAAGTATCGTTTGGACGTTCTGATAAGAAACAAATTAACAAAAAAATTCTGGTAAGGTGTTGGTCGCCATTTTACCGACGGCATTATGAAGTAACCAACATCACAGTTCTCAAAATGCATAGAGCTTTGTCTATATACAGTATACCGGGTATTGGTTAACAATTGAAGAAAACAAGTTAACAATGAGGGTGTCCTTAATATTGTCTAGAATACGCGCACCTGCGTAGAGATGAAGCCTTTGCGTGTCATGTCTATGAATGTCTCACTTATATATGTTGTAAAGCTAGACTGAAAAGGTTCATCATAATCACCGTGTTGATTTTGTATAAGAAAGAAATGACTAAGTTTGGAGACGCATCTATTAGATCATATTTACTTGGTATAATTATAAAGCGCCAGAGTTTTTGCCTTGTGTGCCTTCTCCAGCCCCAGTCCCTGCAGAAGGCTCACAAGTCGAAAGCTCGGGCGCTTTTGACAAAGAGTAGTTTGTTCTCATTACATGTGTCGTCAATCTTATTGATTTAAAGCTATACTGTGAAATGTTTGCAACAAAAATACATTATTTTATACTAAAAATGTTACTTTAATAGCCACACTTGTGGTTAAATGTTGAAATTTTAGAATGTACTACTAAGAGTAATATTATACCATACCTGTATTTCCATTTATTAGCTACGTGTGACATAGACAATGGTGGATGCGAGCAAAATTGCGCCATGGATGGCGCCAGTGGACTACCCAAGTGCACTTGCTGCGAGGGCTATCTCCTTAACGTTGACGGCAAGACATGTTCAGTAGACAAAATGTGTGAGTATGATATTTTTACTTGGAAAACACGACTTTAAGACTATAACGTTAGTTCAACTATCTTTTGGTTTTACGTTTGATATTTTGGCTATCAGTAGTACGTGTCTTCATGTACTTCAGACGTTCTTGCACGGCAGGAGAAGCTGCTTCAGCATTGTTGTAATGTTGGTGCCAACCCCGGGTACCGTGGAAGATCCTGTGAAGCTGCCGCCGCGAAGCTGACGAATTTAGGGATGTGTCGTGAGATGTTTGTGGCATGTTGCAGAGCCGGGGAACATTCGCGTAAGTAAATAAGCTAAAAGTTGTGTCCTGGAGGTCCTCTCAGTTCATTCCCTATATGTCTTATATGCAACTGCCCCCCCCAAAACTTGCGTTTGTCATTGACCGGTTTTAAAAGAATATGAAAACATGTTTATCTGTAAACTATTTTCATTAGATGTGGCATTTTAGCTTTTCGGTAATAATAACTTTTAATGCAAATCCTATATTCTTTCCCTAATGTCTCTATGATTTTACTGAAATAATTCTTAAATGGGTGTATAAGCCCTAATGTGACGTTACAAAAATTAATTCATAGTAGTAGTTGGTAGTATTACAAGTAGTAGTAGTAGTATTAGTAGAAGTGGAGGTACACCAGCACATATACATGTAGAAGTGCCAGTAGTACTAGCAGTGGGAGGAGGAGTAGGAATAGTTGCCCGAAAACATAATAAAGGAAAACATACATGTAAAAGGGCACATGTACTTAAACTATTCACTTGATTGTAAACTGAACACTAGCATCGGCATATAGTAATTACATGATCATGAATGAAGTATTTTATTTTGTACACAACAGGATCTAAATACACGATGGTACAGGCATTTGGGAGAAGATAATCTTTTCAGTTACTACATAAGATTTTAAAATTAATATTGTTGCTTTCATCATTTGACATGATATATGACAAACCCAACAAACCATTGAACGCGGTGAATACATGAATCTTTAATGTTTAAGCCTTCACTGTAAATCAATTCTATCCGTTTCTTCATTTGTTGGTAATTTGCTCTTATTTCAAACATTAATTTCTGATTTCAGAAATAGATTTCATATATTGAATATTGCCGTCATTTATTCTGGTTTTCATTTTTTGCTTTAATTTCCATGTAGCTGCAGCATTCGATATGTTGGTACCGCAGCCATGTAAGTATAAGTGAACGGTTTGCCCAAAACTACAGAAAAAAACGACTTTAGTTTTAGTTTTAGTTAAGGGTGCTGATCTCGACTTTTCTATAATGGACCGTTTCACGAGTGCTTAGCCCGTTGTAAACATAGGTGACATTTCTATAAATGGACCATCGTTGCAAATAATGCTAATATTCAGTGTCCGAACAATTTGAATTTTTCCTAGGGGTTTTCTTTAAAATGTAAACAATGTAATTCAGCTCCTTTGTAACCTCCGTGAAAACGGAAACAAGTCGGCCAAGGTTCTTAGCAAGCCAGTAGCTAAGATACCGATATTTGCTTTGAAGATTATTCATTAAATGGGCCTAACACTAACACTATTTATGTTGCTGACAAGATATTTTTCTTATCTTGTCTTTTCTTTGAGGTTTTATGAAACGATTTATATCATTATTGTCTATAAATAATTTCGGAATTTTTAATGTTGTTCTTGTTGCTATATGCTTGAAAAATGAATAAAGATAAATTAAGAATGTTGTACTAGAGACACCTATAGATATATAATCTAAAGGTAACACAGCACGGGAATACTGGACAGGCCCTAGTGTTTCAAGATAATTTGCAGGCGATAAAATGGCGCAAAAACAACATAGAACAGATTTTGATCGCACTTTATCCAATACTGATTGACCTAACTCATTTAAAACAATAACCAGTGATTTTCCAGATTTAAAAGAGAAACCGATTAAGAAAACCCGGCGATTGAAGTATCAGTTTCTTTATTTTGATACAAAAACATTCGCTTCTTTTTCCTTTAAAGAGGCATATTTGGAAAGCTATATTGTGTACTACGGTAACCATTATGCAAAATTTAAATAATAAATATATTCATTAATTTTCTCCTTTAGGTAGACCGAAACCGCAGAATTCATTTAACAAAACATGCCTAACGTCAAGGTTGAACTACACAACGTCAGGAAATGAGGTGCTGTGTGAGTGCTTTTGATATTCACCAACATTGTTTTTGTACAGCATATACTCCATCATTCATTCTCTCTCTCTCTCTCTCTCTCTCTCTCTCTCTCTCTCTCTCTCAAAAATTCTGCATCAAAACTGTCAGCGAAATTATTTTAATAAGACAAATTATCAGTATTCTTAATTTGTATACTATCCAATAAGACATTATTGATTTATCAAAATATCACAACATTGATCTTATTTCATTTCATTTCCATAAGTTTGCCCACAATTCCCCAATGACTTCTTCGGACAGATTTTAAACAAATGTGAGGGAGATTTTGATTGTAACAGCACCGAGAAATGCTGTAGAGCATCTTACAAGGAGTCTGGATACTGTATGCCAGCTGTCACAAGTCCACCGCCAGAGGCGCCCATGTACCATACAGGTCCAAGAGGAGATTCTGAAGCAGGTATTTGTATAAATGAAGCAGGGCAGTAGGCATTTCTCTTGGTAAAGAGAAACCATAAGATGACATATGTGTAAATGTTGCTTAAAGTGACCATTAGAAAACACGTCACTCAAAAGTTTGAATATCAGCTTTATTGGAATATTTTTTGGTTTTCTTTTTTAATTTTTTTCATTATTCAAACACTGGCATTTTAAAGATATGATTTTCACTCCCATCCACCTGAAGCCCTTTTATAGGTGGCATTTTCTGTATTTCCACATAAGCAATAGTAAGGTGTTTTTGCTGAAAAGCATTACGTATTATTATTTTGTGCTCTGTCATCATCTTTCACTGATTGGTATTTTCATTATGTGAATTTGAAGTCTCATGGTGCCGAAACTAAATTCTTATTGTCCCTGTTACCTGTTGTGCATGATACAGATACAACATTGGTCAAAAAGGGTGTCCCACCCCCGGTTTCATGTGATTTTATTTATAAATCATCACATCACAGGAGTTAAGTACTATGAATAGTGATTTCATTCCATATACCATAACTAACATGATTAGTGGTACAGAAAATGCAAGCTAGCGGTTATGATATCCATATTAAATACCATTTATTCAAATTTTTACATGTACCCCCTCAAATCCGATGTTCCACTGTCATTTCCACGGAGGTAAAGAAATGCCCATTAAATTGAATTGACACCACCAAATGTCACCAAATTTACAAACATTTAGCATTAGGGTGTGCTCGTTAAAAGTCACGTGTCTATTAGCGTGTGTGTTTACCGCGCACTGTAATTATCTCCTGTAAACGGCTCCGTTGCCTTCAACAAGGGTAACAATTCTGTTTTGTGGGATATTGCCCCATGTTTCCTAAAAAGCTTGGCGGAATTGGTCCGGACTATTTGGAGTTTGGTTCTTCTCTGGATTGCACACTTCAATTCATGACACGGGTGTTCAGTAGGGTTATTATCTGGATTCAAAAATGGTTTCTCCAGCCTCAGAACAATGGGTTTCTGCAACATATCACTCACCACATGAGAACTGTGTGCAAGTGTGCTGTCATAATGAAGCCTGGATCACCCCCGAAGTCCCCTCTTGCAGATGGAATGAGGTATCAGTTGAGAATGCTAGGTTCAGTGACCCCAGAAGTACCAGAACTTGGTCAACCATCACTAGGAACAAGTTGGTTTTGCTGAAGAATCAAGGTATATCTTGTATGCCTTCGATGGTCAAATAAGGGCCCGTAGACATGTTGCAGAATGCCTTTTGGTAGGTTTGTGCAAGGTAATATCGCCTGAGGTGTCAGGTCAGTCCACGTTTGGACAGAATTCAAAGCCCATGGTTTTAGTGCATTGTTCTTTCCGGAAAAAACGATACTGGGGCAATTCACTGAAACATTCTCAATAAATATCTCATTCCATTTGCAAGAGGTGACTTCAGGGATACTGCAGGCGTCATCGTGGAAATGCACTTGCTCACAACTCTCGTCTGCTGCGTGATTTGTTGCAGAAACCCAATGTTCAGAGGATGGAGCAGCCATCTTAGAGCCCTGTTATTAACCTTACTGAACATTTGAGGCATGAATTGAAGTGTGCAATGCGAAGGAAAACGTAACTCCTGATAATCTGGACAAACTACCCCGAGCTCTTTTGGAAGAATGGGACAATATCCCATAAAACAGAATTATTACCCTTGTTGAAGGCAGGCCGCGCCACCTACAGGAGGTAATTACAGTACGCGGTAAACACAAACGCTATTAGACAAGGAGCCTTTAACGAGCACGCTCTAATGCTAAATGTGTGAAAATTTGGTGACATTTGGTGGTGTCATTTCAATTAAATGGACATTTCTTTACCTCTGAAAATCACAGTGAAACGTCGGATTTGAGGGGGTACGTGTAATAAATGTGAATAAATGGTATTAAATTTTGATATCTTCACCGTTAGTTTGTATTTTCTGTATCACTAATCATGTTAGTAATGATATCTGGAATGAAAATCACTTTTTATAACAATCTTCTCCTGTGATGGGATCATTTATAAATAAAAGCACATGATACCGAAGGTGGGACAACCTTTTTGACCAGTGCTGTATGGTGTTGATTGACTGTGCTGTTATAAGCGGTTTTATTATTGCATCAAAATTGTCAAAATGCTTGTGCTTTTTTATTTTCTGCTTTTTGTTTGTACATTTGACAGCTTTGCTGCCATGTTTCTATCTAAATCCATGAGAAATCTCACTTTTCCATCATTCAGCGTCTAGATGAATACCAAAGGCGGAACAAATAACCTACATGCTTGTATACTGCGGTCCTTCCTCTAACCGCCCCCCCCCCCTTCCACGGCTCTAGTAGCTGTAGGAGAGACTGTGTCGAGTTGAGTGAAGGATGATACTTGCGTCTCTTTTTATTACTGTACATCAAAGTATAAGGCTTAAATTTTCGAACAATGAAAGCGACTGTTTTTTTTTTTTTTTTTTAATTATATACAAATATGTATTTCTGAAACTAAATACGAAAAACCGAGTCATTTTCATGTATTTTCTTTCCTTTTTCCCCAACAAGACTGTCCTCCTGCTGACATCACTGGACTGTGGCAACAGGCTCATGACCAGGTCACTCCGTGCAAGGACAACGGCCACTGCGACCAGAGACAGTGGTGCTGTCCAGTAGGAGATACGGAGGAGAAAATATGTGTGCCGACTACAGGTGAGATCTCGCGAGGAAGAGAAATCGCTCCATCAGTCCTTCATGTTCTACTTAAAGCCTAGTATAGCTACCATTTTCTCTCTCTCTCTCTCTCTCTCTCTCTCTCTCTCTCTCAATCCCGCAGAGTCCTCATTCGCTATGACTTCTACAGCTATATCTTCTACCGAGCCACAAAGAGATTTTCACTGAAGATTAACGGACATTTCGCTGTCTAATTCTGTGCACATTTTTCTTGTGTGTGTGTGTCCAGCGAGAAGGTTTGCATAGAATCGGTGTCATCACCCAGCTGGTCTTAGATTGAGAGTAGTTAAAATATGCATATATTCATCAACTGCCTCCACTGCCAGTTTTTTATCTTTTCTTCTTTTCATTCTTCTTGTGATATATGTCACCTCATTCACTCCGTCAATATAGAATAAGGATTAACACGTATTTTTGTTCTCAAATATTTAAATAATATCATCAAAATATATTGTCAAATTCATGAATTTTTTTCCAAAAAATCTCGTACCAGGAATGAACGAGAACGCCGATGAAAACGCAACTGATGGCAATGGAGAATTTTGCCCGCCAGTTTTACCAAACAACCAAACGGGGAAAGAAAAAACAAAGATTGAAATTGTAAATTATTGTAAGTGTGTATATTATTCTATCACCTTTAAATGACAACACCAAGGATCAGTAATGTGCGTACATGTTTTACCTGAAAGTAACGTTAATAGACAGTCAGTTTCGTTGAATAGAATAGTCGTAAATTTATCTATGATATTTTACATGTTTATCTAAAATCATGTTATAAGAGATCCACCGGAAATGGGTAATTGACTGGAAATCTATTTAAGATTTAAAATTTGAGGGTCGAGTATATGAAATATATTTGATATTTTCATGACCATTCATTCTTGAATCATCCGTGTCAATATATGAATTCGTCGAAACATCTGAAGTTGTAAAAAAAAAATTAAATATTTTGGCATTCAAGATCATTCGTGCAATGATTGGACGCTGAGATTGATAGAGACGAATTATACGGGTTAAGGACAGGCTATCAGCAGTGAGATCAGATTCCGTTTTGTGAGGTACATTGTAGCTGTATAAACGCACCAATGTTTGCCACCTGTAGGAAAAGACTAGATAAGGTCACATCTTATTTATGGACCTATTACACAGATGTATCTAAATGGAGCCTCTCCTCTCGACACGATTTATGCGTTAACTTCAAAGCAGGAAAGCAAATGGGGAGGACCTGTGAAAGGGAGTATAATGCAGTTACATGTCAGGACCACAGAAAGCGTTCCCATACAAATTGTATTGCTAAAGTATACCGCTTGATGTGAATTTTTAAAGAATTATAATTATTTTTTTGTAGACTGTCCCGAGACCCCTAAAAATTGGTGGGGATATCGCAGAAATCGCTGTGTGGGGGCTGAAGACTGCGAAAGGTTTTGCCTGTGTTGTACAAAACCTCCGTTCCAGAAAGGGAAATTGTGTTATTGCGTACGAAGCACCACCAAGAAGCCAGCAAATGGAATGTTGGATTGTGACAGCGATAATAAAGAAGGCAAAGTCACCGATGCAAGAGTCATTACCTCGCGGAGTAAGTATGGTTCAGTATGTACAAGTTCATTTTACACGAAAGTTTAATTGAACAGCCCTACTCAGCAAAGAACTAGAGATGTTCTGCATTAAGTGTGTATATATATATATATATATATATATATATATATATATATACTTAATCGTAGATTCCTTTTATTTTACCTCGTGTTAAACAGGCAGAGATTACATTTTATTTTATAACTGCTGTGAATTAACGCTACAAATAATACACATGTATTTAGGACTAATTCAGAGCGGTAAAGCTCACTAAGGTTACCGAACTAAATGATCACCTTAGCCTCGGTTTTGTTGGACAACTTAAAGGCAACAACATGTTTGACTGGAAACTTTTTTCTGATCCAACGTGAAAACTGCCATTATTAGGAAAGCTGTCCAGTTCATTGCACACATCATCATCATCATGCTTGCTTTTAGTCACGATCGTGTTTTTCTTAATGCCCCTGTGTTATTTTTAATGAGGAATCTTGACATGCTTCTTTCAATTTCTGTTATTTGAAAATCATTTCAGAGTGCCAAAGTACAAAGTCTGTGCAAAAATGGATCGCTGTCAGTCGGTTTGTCGCTCCGTGTTCTAAACCGGGCCATTGCGGTCGTAATGAATATTGTTGTAAGTACAACATCAAAGTGAACGACGCAATTTGTTTACCTTCCTCTTGGGGGAAAGGCAGAGGATAAGACTTGGCTCGAGAAGACCTCAAATCACATTATGGTTGTCAGAGTTGTCAAGATGGCTTACTTTTTAGAGACAAGGCGGAAGTCCAGTTTTGAATCAGTTTCATTCTCCGTTGATTGACGACAAATTCTAAATTGACAAATGTTACTTATTATAGTATGTTTTAATTTACTTGCTTAGGAACTGGGCAGTTTTTTTTTTTTCAATCCTTTCATCTGTTCTGAAGTCATAATCTCGGAATTGAAATCAGCGAAACTATGAGTAAATCTCCTTAGATAGCGAATGTTCCGAAATGTAGTTTTTATAGGCAGCATAGCCATATTGTAATCTTATCTGGCTCTTTAAACTATTATTTTCAATAAGACGCTTTATTTCAACTGAAAGGCCTCGGGCCCATTTTATTCACAGGTTCAATATTTTGCATTTTGTCTAAAGTTTTACAATTCTTTCATAAACTACTTACGTTTACCTTATCCATTGTAACAAAGGGGAGTTACAGTACTTGTCACTTCTCTAAACAACTTAATAAAGTGGTTAAAAAGGTATGCATTAAGCTGTAATTAAATAAGTGCATGTTTTCTAATATTATTGCTTGGAAAACTTTATCTACATCGAGCAATAATATATATATGCCCCACGCAAGAAAACTTCAAAAATTTTTAATATTTAAAAAGTTATCAGCATTATGGGTTACATAAATATTAAATCATACACATTTTGTTGTTCAATGTGCTCCAGATTAACATCAGCTCAATTGGAGTTGCCCATTCCATGTTATATACATAATTCACATGGGGTGTTTATATTTTTGCTCAGTATGTAACCTGCTCTCTAAAATTGCAATCACGTCATACAATACTGCAGCTGCCGGTTCTCCTTATAGTTTTATTGAACTGGAAAAGTAAACTATTTGTTTAATGTTTCATTGCCATAAAATTATATTTTGAACAGCGCTGTCTTAATAATCAGTTGTTCCAGTTTTGTCAGTGGAACTACTTTTTCTCAACAAATGATATCAAAATATATACGGCACAAAGGTGGACAAATTGCTCGGTTGAATGTTTCGATCCTTCAACTATTTTGAGGATAGAGAAGATGTCACCTCTGTTTCGGGGGGGGGGTGCGAAGGGGTCCATGCACGCTGTGATTCCATCCTCACTCGACTCCGCTACCCAACCCGCCACTGTCTCAAATGTTCTTACAAATACATGCCACTGGTATACTGACTAGGTGCAGTTTCTGTGCGGGACCTTTATATTCCGTCGGGCACTGCCCTCCCTGGCACTGGTAAACTACGGGCACCTCTCTATAGTCCTCCACACAGGTGAAACCCGTGTTGGACTCTCCAGTGTTCCCGCAACAACGGTAAAGTTGTGTCCTGGTAAAAAGGAAAAAAGTATGTCTTGAGTCAGCTGCCCTCTGGCGCCCACAGTGATAAATGAAAACGGCATGGAAAGCACCAAAATTGCTACCTTTTTTAACTAGAACATACTGTTAACAATTGTTCAGGGAGAACAAAAAAGTTAAACCATGTGATAAAATGATCAAAATGAATTTTGAAAATCCTGAAATCAGGCATAACTTTGAAATTTTTCACCCATGTTACATTACTGGGCGAGTTTCAAAAGAATGGACATTATAGTATAATTTAGAATTTTAACAGCTGAAATTGTTTTACTCAAATGACCGGACGGGGAGGTAGGTACTTAGTCGCACGCCCACCATGCCAAATAAAAAAGAGGAGAAAATAAAGACTGGAAAAAGCAGACGTTATCTCAAACGTTATCTCTTTCAAAGGGATGGTATTAAAAGTTAAATTAGAATATAAAATATAAATTGATAGGTAAATATAAAAGAAAAACTAATTAACTGTCCTGGCATTATATGTGATAACGATAAGGGATGCAGAGCATATATTAGAATTACGTCATTTTGAAAAGGAAATAATAGTTTGCATTTGATCTAGACCTGTGTAACTTTTTTTCAAAACAAATGTTACTGTTGGACAAACCATACCAACTAGCAGAACTCGTGATTCCGTTCAGTGTTATTCCTATATCTTGGTCTTGCTGAACCCTCCATCTGCAAATAAACGATAATTTTGACACGTCATCTAATTGATTATTATTATTATTATTATTATTATTATTATTATTATTATTATTCACGTGATAATAAAAGGGAAAAGACACATAGACGGCTGGCATTGCGGCACCATCCTTTCTTATATAAGTTTTGTTACGCGTTTACTTGGTACATGCCCAAAAGGAAAAATAAGGTAAAATAAAATAAAACAATCGTTTATTTGCAAAATTTGAAAAATGTGGAACACAACCAATTGATTAAAAAAATAACCAAATACAGCCACTGTCTATACGAGACGCATTATTTACTTTGGATTCGTTTGTTGTTCATCAACATTTTATTTTTTCACGTATTCGTTACTGTTTTTTGTACTTACGCGCAAATCCTGACTGGTAACATCTGGTGTTGTCCCCCGAAAACTACTGGTTCCATGGTAACAGTGACGTCATCGTGAGTATATTGCCATGGCTCCGGCTTACTAAACATCATAACTCTGTGGGAAATTACATCATGAAAAATTTCTGAATGTTTGATTATAAAATCTTTGATAAACTTTCAATAACAGATAGGGAGATGGAGAATGTCATTACAAAAGCAATCAAAGCAAATCATATCTAAATTGTCGAGTATTCCTAAATTTACTTAAGGGTTATCTTCAAATCAGATTCTCGTCGAGCATGTGTGTATAAAAGTGTATGTGTGTGTGAGAGAGAGAGAGAGAGAGAGAGAGAGAGAGAGAGAGAGAGAGAAATGAAACGAGAGAGATAGTGTGAGCATAAAATAAGAGAGAGAGAGAGGAAAGAAGAGAAAATGAAACGAGAGAGAGACAGAGTGCGTTTAAAAAAGAGTGGAAGAGAGAAATAATGTGGGGGAAGGATGAAGCGCAAAATAAAGCGCATATAGAGAGAAAATTACCCTTGGCATGCTCTGTTGTCATCGACATCGACTTCCACAACTTCCTTAGATATCTGGCTTCCATCTGTACCACTTGTATCTGTTGGGCCTCTAGATCCTTGTCTTCGACTTGACTGGAGTCTCCCATTTTCTGCCTTTAGAATAGGATATAAACTATCCCGGCTTTTTAATAGAGAAAACGAACCCCTTAACGGTGGGGTCTCAGTCATCAGGAAGGAAAGCATGCCCCTTCCAATGCAAAATTCCCGACTTTTACCTGGAATACACAAAGCCAATGTTCTGTTCTGGGCTTGGGAAGATTTTCCGTTTCTAGGAATCGTTGGTCTTTCTTGTGGTTCTCCTGGCCGCACTGGAATAGGTCCTGTCGGCCCAAGAGGGGTGTTTGGTTTTCCCGGAGGTATCCGAGTCTGTGGTGTCCACGGAGAAAAAACACGCATACCTGGTGGGATTGTCAGATTACTGGTTGAAAGTCTCTCTCCGGTAGCACCATCCCGTCTTGATTGCCTTCTTAATCTGTTGTTATGTTTGTTTAATTCAATCTCAGGCGTGCGCGTTTTATTCAGAGAAATGCCATTAGGCCTATAATTTATCTTCGGTTCGGCTCCACTCTTGCTTTCAAATCGATTGAAAACTGCTTCGCTCTTTTTCAGCTTCGAATTATCATCTTCTGCGCGTGTTTTGTCCTCGTTGCTAAGCGACAAAACCAAGTTGGCACGAGACAAGCACACGTGACATCTACAGTATGATTCACCAAAACACAAACATGTCGGAGATCTTGACACTGTTGAACATGCAGTGAATTGCCAACACCACAGACCGGGTCTGTCAGTAGGAGCTGCTACACCTGGTAAAATGTCTTTCCTCACAGTCACGTTGACCATACGGGGGCGTCCGCACCACGTGCTATAAACAGATGACCCATATCCAAATTGACAGGGCCACAAAAGCCCAACAATAGGCCAAAGAATGATCAATGATGTTGTTTTTGTGATTGTCAGCATTTTCAGATTTCTGATCTTATGCCTATTACCTGAAAGTATAGTGTTAAATGGCATTTTCTGAATGTTCAGTTAGAGAGTCACTTAATCAGCCTATCGTTTTGTCATTTATCTTATATAGGCCTATATATTATATCTTTTAACAGTGAGTGAGGAAGTCTACTTCAAAGAGTTACATGCAGGTACAACCCGTAACAATTAGTACAAGGTTTTAGTTCATAATTTATATATTTAAATGTATTCCGTAAATACTTACAATACTGTGTCTAACGCGTCAATATCCAACCTTGAGTAACGCGGAATGCGGATCTACAAAGCCCGTCCTTGAAATCTTGCCATTTCGTTCAACACATTGACCTACGTACTCCCATGGAATATATTCAAATAACCGCAACTAAAACGACATTAAACTCCTATTTAAATTGGCACTTGTCGTATAAAAAGGAGTGTGGTATGTATTTGGCTCTCATGTCATTTTACATTAAATAAGTTTTAAGGACAATAGTAAATATGCAAAGCGCGACTCCCCAAACCACAACAAACCACGGACAAGATTACTTTCTTCTTGTTCTGGGGGGAGGGGGGGGGGTTGGTGCAAATTCTTCTTATAATTTGAATCAAATCGGGCCTTGCTTTTGATACTTTTTACTTTACAATTATAGTTTTCTTTGTGCCTAGATTTACAATGGTTTGATTGGGTAGGTGAAAGAGGGAGTAAACATTAGTTTTCTTTTCAAGCAACAGCTAACGTCTCAGTTATTGGAATTCCACATTTTACTGTCTAGCATACAGTGTCTTCAGAGAATAAATAAGTTTGAGCGCATATCGATGACGCTCAATGCTTGACTACGGACTCAGTACATATATACATGACTATCAAGAGGACTGCGGAATGAGAAAATTTAAACTAATTTCTCTATTTTATTATTTACGACAGGAAGAATACTTAACTATCAGTTTCAGACACAACTGTTTTAGTTGAAATATTCCAAACACATATGTTTAAGTCACCAATCTCAAGCTTCGTTTTATTTTGATATATGAAACTCGCCCCGTGACTTCAAGCAGTCTTTGCTGCACCTAAGCAACCTGTTAACTTCGCAATATCACCTATTAGTGTCACATTGATGACATTATATTACGCCTTCTCAGGTGAGAATGAAACATGATAGAAAGTGAAATCGTGACGGTGACAAAACAGCTTGTATTCAACGTTTTTAATGTATACGTTTCCATCATTTGATATTGTTACAGCGACTTTTAACAAGTTAAATGTGAATAAAAAATTGTTTGTTTATTTATCTGTTTGTTAAGTGTAAAATTGTTTCATTTCTCGACCCTCATCCCAAAAGCTGCCAATAAAAAAGAGGGATTCTGTATTCAAAGCACGTCTGTGCTTTGGTTGCGTGCGGTTAAAATAATATGTATAAAACTCAATTTTACGTTTAAACCAGCTTGACCTAGGTTCATAACTTCCATATTTCTATGTTAATGAATAAAACATAAAGATATATATATATATATATATATATATATATATATATATATATTGTAGTCTTTCTTCCACTAAATCTCCGTTACAGTGCATTTTGGCGTAATATATCCCATCTTACAGCAATGCGTGGTGCTGTCCTTGTGTTTCAGCATTTTGTTTGCCCTTTTCTTTATATCCAAATTTAGATAGATACAATGTACAAATATTAGTTAATTACTGGTAAAAACATATAAAATAGATTAAGAAATTACAAAAGCGGACAGATAGAAAAAGGAAATAAAGGAAGCGCGAGTGAATGGACGAGAAAGCGAGTTAAAGAATAAATGTTGCCTGTATGAAAATAACTAAAAGGAAATTAGCTGAAAATAGACTTTGGCACCGGTGAACAGATTTTGGGGACAAATAAAAGAATTTCTGGAAAAATAACAGAGAGCCAATCATTGCAATGGCCATTTGCAGTTGTAAAGCATAGATAATTAAGCTGAACATGTTTATATCCGTCCTTTTGGATGGCGGCGACCGCGTTTACAGTACGTGTAGAAGGCATTAAACCGAAAATGTGCTCCTGGAAGGAAGGTAATGATTTCTAGTGCAGTTTTTTTTCACACGGACGTGTTTTTGCATGTTTAGTATAATTTTCACCGGATATAAGTTGCTCTCAGCCTGGCCATTTCAATAAAAAAAACTGAAAAATTACTCCATTACATTTGACTTTCAGTCACTTTCGGATATTACGTACTATTGACTATAATGACATGATGTCTTCATTACGATTCTGTGACATTGTAATGCTTATTATCCAGCTGCAGTTGTGTACTTATTGCCGCTGTCGGTTAAAACAATTAGTCACTCATTCACGGATCGAGATAATACTGGTTGACGTTAACATAGACGTTTTCACTCTTTTCAGAATATATAACAGTTAGAACTTTTCCCATTATTTTGCACAGGCTAATTTTCACAATCGCTCCACACTGACCCCAATAATAACCCCAACCTGTACATATCATTGGGGACCCCGGCCTTCCACCCCTGGGACTACCATTTTTGTTACATCAATAGATCTACAATGAAATGTATGTGACGTATCCTGACAAACCTGAATTGTCACCAACGTCTGGTGTATCAATGCTGAAAACTGAAGCTTGTGTCCAGGAATTTAAGACAGAAAAAATGAGGTAAGCAGTCCTTTTTGAATTGCAGCTTTGTCGGCTAAGATTCTTGGCAGGTTTAGTTAAATTACGACCAAAGAAAAACAATCTGGAGAAACATACACCCCATTTCCATAAATTTTAGATCGATCTATCCCTGTGGGGAGTCTCACTAGATTACTGTCAGCTTGGCCGGCTTAAGCGTCTGTCCCGCCTACTAAAAGCTGTAAGAGGGTAATTAACTATGGTGCCCGCTCGACTGACTGCAATTTAGCGTGAACCCCCAGGGAGTTGGGTCGATCTAAATCTTAATCTCTAGATCGACCTAAATCTCTGGGAAAGCACCCATAGTCCTGTAAGGCTCTATTCCCATAGATTTTAGATCGATCTATCCCCGCGGGGAGTCTCACTAGATTACTTTCTGATAATCCGACTTAAATGTCCGTCCCGCCTACTACAAGCTGTAAGGGGATAATTAACTTTCCTGTCCGCCCGGCTGACAGCTATTTAGCGTGAACCCCCAGGGAGTTAGGTCGATCTAAAGAAGGTCGATCTTATCTATGGAAATGGGGTGTAATAGTACGCCCATGCATTGCGTAGCCTATTGCATCAAAATCGGGAGGTTATTCCATGCGGTTCATCAAATGGCTTCCTACGCTTTTTAATCAAATTATCGGTTATTGTTTCGATATGTAATTTAATGATAAGCTCGCGAAAATACATACACAGTAAAATATATCATCCGATGCTGCGTGTGACGGCGAAGGATTTATGGTCTCACACACGAAGCTGCCAACATTTATCTGTGTAATTTATAACACTAAACTTGGTCTGTTAGGGAGCTGGTAGAGCTGCCGGCTTAGTCGTTGTACGTTTTCGAACATGAATGGCGGATTCTGTTTTCTTCAGAGGGGGAGAAAGTATTGGCAAATTCTTTTAATATCGCAATATTTTCCAGAATATTTTGGTAAAGGGAGGGGGGGTCGGACAAATGATTTTCTGGGTATCTTGGTCTTCAGGGTGTCCCCGGCATCATTAGACTCTGAAGTGACGCTTCTTAAATCTCAAATACTTCAGTTTATAAGTAGTCCAAGTGCAGCTTGAGAGAAAATAGTTTGATTTATAATATTACACAGGAAATTACAGTGCTAAAGATCGGGAGCACTACATTATACCTGTTTTCGTTTGAACATCAGCACATATAATTTTTTTATCTGAATCATTATAACATTTTTATTACTTTGGTACATATTCATGTAGTGATATATTAAGAAAGATTGCCTGCAATTTTTCAGTTTCCCATATCCAATTTTCGTAACTACTGCATTTAACAGTCTATCTCTCCATACATACATGTAGTATATCTCTTTCTATGAAACTAAATGACAGCAGGCCCAATTTGGAGCCACATAATTCTTGGAAAAAGATAAGTACTTATCAAAAACTCCATTTACGACAAAAATATGCAATTGCAGTCTAGTTTTGTATTAACTGTGCGCCCGCCCCTTGCCGCACGTGTATGACCACAAACCCCCACGCCGGCAATTAACTTCAGTTGTGTGGTTAGTTCGGTAGTTAGATAAAGGACTTTTAGATCATATTATCTAACCTCTTGAACTGCAGTATTTTTCCCCAGAATGTTGCATCATGTCTGTTATTATTACAAAAATTGGGACTTTTGGTTGGCCCGTCACAAATATTTCGACTTTCTTTTCTAGCCGTCTGTTTACAAGTATGTAGACGCTATATCTGTGTGCGTGTGTGCGTATGTATGTATGTTTGTATGTACAATGTATGTGCATGTAAAAGGACTTATTCTCACAATTTTTCTTCTCTTTATCTGTCTACTCATTGGTTTATTTTTTCTCGTCGGCTCTTTGGTTACGTAAAAATCTGATATTGTTTATAAATGGGCACTTTGAGATAAATCGTATTGTCGTTATGTTAGCTCTTTTGTAAAAAAGAAACAGCACAATTTGATTGCAATAAAAGAAAAAACACCCCAACACAATGCACCCGTCCCCAACCGCACCTGCAGCCTCATGGGGCACTGAACGAATTAACTCCTTGGTAATTGTGGATGAGAACACGAAAAGATTACCCGTGTCATCCTTAATTTCCGGGCCGTGCTATTACATATATAACCGTATCGAAACGGGACACAAACCACATGTACCGTTGTTCACGACATCGTGGTTCAGAAGATACGAGGTAAGTACCCAGGAATCTGCCTTTGGAGAAAAACTCGTGTTTCCACGCTGCATTTTTGACAACGATTTCGGACACAGTGAAGAAAGTACAAAATTCTTATTTGTTGTTGTTATTATTATTATTGTAGACTGAGTATTCCGAATTCAAGAAAAAAAGCAGCGAGTTTCGTTTGTTTCGAGTTGTTTTCTGTGGTGATTAATATAGCGTATCTCCTCTTTTCAAGTGTGGTCACAGTGGTTTTCGACGTGTGTGAGTTTTTTGAACGAGAGGTAACGACTGAAAACCTAAAAAGGCGTGCCTGTAAGTGCTTATGGACAAATTGCTTGAAATACAGTGTACGTGGCCAAGATAGATAATGTACACTGGTAGTTTAAAGGCCTTTTCATTAAAAAATCAACTATGTGAAATAATATATTCTATTATGCCAGAGTAAATTGGTCGAAGAAGTAGTGCAAATATTGTTTTATAAGATATAAACTTGCAGACAGAAGGAGAAGGGCATACGTTTTTATTGACTCTTTAGAAACGCAAACTTTAAACTTATTTAGGTAAAGAAAATTTATGCAAGCCTGATTTGGCAAATTCAGTTTTTTTAATAGACACGAAGTGTTAAAAACGTGTTCATGACATTTTTAACACTTGTTTCCGTAACGTACTCAATCCCTAGAACCAGTTTTAAAAAAGCTTGGTCCCCAGTATTTTTGGTTATATAATATTTTCTGTTTTAAAATCTGCAGCAAATTTCGTATCTGCAGACAGCTGGATCTCTGCAAACGCGTGTATAACATTGTAAACAGCCTTAAGTATTGAAACTTAGTATGAATTTATAGCCGTATTTTTCTTATCATATTGTCCTAATTGTTTACATCTTATATTCACCGTAAATTTGGACATTAGTGAAATTTCTACTGCAAAAGAATATGTAATTAAAACAGAGCATCTAAATAGCATATCTGTTAAGATCTCTAAATGAAACTGCTTATGTCCTTTATCATTCGGGATTTCATTTCTTACAAGTTCTAAGATTTATTCGGAAACTCTGAAATTTGTATAAAATAAAACATATCTCTATCAAAAAATCCAAATGTTATACCCAATATGACGCCACATTTTCGGTTTTATTCAACACATATGCTTAAGAACTACATCTTTTTACCCCAGGTGATTTTGACAAATTTTTTTCAAATACATATCAATGTATTTTAATAATACAGTAGAATAAAAATAAATAACAGAGAAAATAGTTGAAAACAGCAGAATACTGATACAGAAATTGATCAGGTCAAACAGATACAGTAATTCCAATATGCCTTTTTATCATTTTAAATTTCCGTGTCGGTCGTAAATTCTTATCTCTACCGGCATTGTGCCGTTTGTTCCAGAGCGGACAAGTCATCACATACATTTATCACCATAGGGTTTTCTGTAACTGTAACTGGTCCGGGGGGAGAGGGGGGCACGTACTTCTGACCCCCCCCCTTTCACCCCCTTCTCACTCTCCCCAAATATTAACTAAGAAAGATCAGATCAGTTTAACAATAAGTCATATGGCATAACTGTCGTCTTTGTAAAAACTTATCATGTTCTGTGGGTTTTATAGCATACTTTATAGTTAAGTATAAACATGAAATATTATCCTATATCATTACGCTACTCGTGTACTTGTTTCGTCGTGGCCTTTATAAAATGTGTCTTACATATTAAAGAAGAGATGTTTTTTTATTATCTACTGTTCTTTTAAATACCGAGCTGAGCAAGACAAAAAGCGGTGGGCAACCCCACCGCTGAGGGAAATCCCGGTTAAGTCAGTGTAAGGTTCGTTGTTAATCAATATAAGGGACTAACTGCTATTTCTTTACTTTTAAAAATTATCGAACTTACAAATTAACGATCAAACATGTTTACTAGTGATGTGTTTGTGTGTTTCCTTTTTGCGCTGGGTGTTTCAAAGTTACTTTCAGAAGCGGTATCATTGGCCTGATTCGTAAGCCTCAGTCACCAACTGCAGTCTGACATTAAGCGAAACAAAAGATCTTGATGGTGGATACCTTGCTGAATTTTGATACACAACAAGCAATAACACAATTAGATGAACATTTTGATGACTAGAAATCCCTAAAATTTCTCTGTTTTACCTTATATTTTCATTGTATTTCAGCGTCAATTTCAACAGCAGCAGCATAATTACCCTGTAAAGCAGTCACCATGAAATTGTCTGCATTGTTGTTAGTCGCTATGGCCACGGTGGTAGCAGTAAGTACATTTCATACTCAATTTATCATCATACAAATATTTTAAAATCTATCTTGCTACCCGCATTTTTGTTTTCGAGGTTTCATCACGGCACAAAACAGGTTTATCATTATTTCAAAATTTTGAAAATCACTGGTGGTTCCTGTTTACATTATAAAACCTGAATAATATACTACAGAAAAAAATGCGTGTCACGAACTTCCGACGTGTGTTGATTAATTTCAAACTAGACACAGTAGTGTCCGAAACAGATAAAACATGTGACAACTGAAAAAATCCTACAGATATAAATACAGGGTCCAGTAAGGTTAATACAGTTTAGGATTAGTTAGAAATACAAGTGACGAATACCACTTGTTCAAAGAAATGGTAAATGTACCACGGTTCCTAGCAATGGACAACGTTTCCTAACGGACCGCCATTACCATCACCGGTTATTATAAAGTGAACAAATGGCAATTCTTCTTCAAACCCTCACTTCACACAAAACAATTACCAACCATCAACAGTTAGATATACAGCACACACGATGGAAAAGAGAGGAAATTGCCAGCCTTGTTTTAGGGGAATAGCAACAATAAAGCCAGTAATTATTTTCGTATTAGTGGGTAGACCTCGTTGCTCCCGGTGTAGGATATCAGGCGTCAGAAATGAGTTTGATTGATTTTGGTGTAATTACTCAACGTTTGACCTACTTAGTTCCGCAATAAGACTATTTCCCCAAGAACATAATTTCATATAATCAGACATTACATGTACGTATAATGCAGTTACAAGTCAGGGCTCGGAAATGGAGAGGCAGATTAATTCTGTGGTTAATGATGTAAAAGGTTTGGCTTGCTCGTATCCGGCGTTACGCTATTTAACCTACAATATTATTTCACATTTAACTACCATATTATCTTACCAAAGTGTTTTTATGCCTTAGTAATCTTTGATACGCTTTGGAAGTTGAGCAGTCTCAGATAATTATTTTAGCGTTTGATCAGACAAGATAAGTGTGGTATTCGAATATTTCAGTGTCAGCCAGGAGTTAACGACGATCATAAAAATATCTGTCTATGATAGAATTGGCGGACAATCCACTGATCAGTGTAGTTTTTCTCTATCTAGCCGACCTGAATGTGTAAGAATCTTTACCGCGCACCAGACTGGGAAATGCTCCGTGTTCATCAGTCTGATTATTTGATGAAGCCAACTGACATGATTCAAACTACTTTAGTGTATGTCAGCCAAGAATGTGAACCAACTGTGTCTGCAAATTAACGCTCGGCGTCACCAAAAGAGCTTCTACTCCCGAGTAGGATATTAATTATGCAATTTATGCCAATTCGATGATATATTGCTGCTCGTTTACTAAGTCAACAGTATAATTTTCAAAAACACATTTCCGCCAGTTATTTAGAAGTGATACGAAGCAAGCATTAGAAACATCCGTGGTGTCTCCATAAAGACGTCTGGACTTGTTTTTTGTTCTTTTATCCAGAAACTTAATTCGCCGACAATGGGTATGTGAAAGAAATGAACTTGTAAGCTTGGATTATTGGGTAAACAGGTTGCACACTCTGTAATAATAATAATAATAATAATAATAATAATAATAATAATAATAATAATAATAATAAGAGTCTAGAAACCATATATGTTCAGTGGACTTTACAATGTTACAAGTTAAAGAAAAGGGGGGAGTGACAGTAGAGGGGCGTTTTCACGTTTAGTACCGCCGTGCACTGTGCAGCATGTGATGTCTTGGTAGTCAACATCACGCTGCATATGGTTTGTTCACACAACCTGCAAACACATCCAAACAATATTTCTTGCTTATATTTTTGTCAGCGTATTAAGGCGCGCAACTACAATTTGCTGTTGTTGAATTTAGTTGAAAGGTTCAGATCTAATACTTGTATTTCACTGGCATTCTAGGAGCGGTGGGTTGTTGAAGCTAGAAGATACAAAACTTACAGTAGGTCCTGTTCGTGGCGTGTGTGTGTGTGTGTGTGTGTGTGTGCTTGCGAATGTGTGTGCAAAATGGATGCAAGTGCTTGCGGCTGTTAGGAAAGATGACAGCGTGTGCGAGTGTCTTTAGTATTGGAAGTTTTCCACAATTACTAATATCAAACCATTCAATCAGTCCATCATCAAAATAATTTAATATTTTTCATGTTCATGTAGTTTCTTTGATTTGACATAACACTTCCTTTTGTATACCAAGCGTATCAATTATTTCACTATATTTGACTCATTGCTTCTATAATAGTCTTTAAAATTTGTGTGGGTTTATTATTATTATTATTATTATTATTATTATTGTGCCATCTCCTATCTTTCAGTTTGCGGTCAGCCGGCTGATATCGTCTTCGTTATAGACGGGTCCAGAAGCATTTGGCCCGTGGATTTCAAGGAAAGGATGATTGGGTTTCTGAAGAGCTTCATCAAGGTATATGTTACTTTGTTGTGTTGTATTTTACTTAATTTTTACAGAGAGTTCTTTGCTGCATGTAGGTACAAATAAGATAGGAGTCCTTCCGATCTTTTAAAGACAATGAATAATATCCTCTGCTCGCTCCTAGCTTCATTAGGTATATTTACGTGAAAAACAAACGTTTCCTAATACGATTCCACCTATGGCTGCTAAAATACAATACCATTGCCAATGATTGATTTTTATATTTATATTTAAAGCCTCAGAATACAAACAATGCTCATTTGACTGTTCCAAGGTCATTTTTGTTTTATTTCGTGAAAATAGCGCCCACTTTTAAAATTCTGAGAGAATATGAATGGAAATTTAACCATGGTGGCACAAATCCACGCAGTTTATGTCACTGTAGTTTTTGATGGGTTGGATTTCAGGAATTCAATATCCAAGACGATGGATCAGGAACACGTATCGGAGCCATGGTATTCAGCTCGGACACGCCTTACCAGACCAAAATAGAGTTCAACTTGAAAGACCACTTTAGTCGCGAATCACTTAACAAAGCCATAGATAAGATCCAGCAAACCAAGGGGCAGACCAGAACCGATATAGCCTTGCAGATAGTAAGTATTAGAACATTTTTCTTTATGGGATGGGATGCATATAATAGGACTTCCATTGGCAAGATGGCAGTTTCAGGTTACGCCAGATTGTTCCGTATATTATGGACACGCTTGGGTCACCTTGTGATAGATTTGTGAAAGGTCAGTGCCATATTATTCGCGACAGTGGCTTAAACTTGGTAAATACTGTACATATGGTTTTGGCTACTTTATTTGCCAACTTTAACTCTAACTTTAACTTAAGCGCGCATTCAGTTTTTACCTATTTATTTGAGCATGGTGTAGTTATTTATTAATTCTCATTATAGTAATGATAACAAAGCTGTCAGTGGGATTGTATTATTATATTTAAACGGTTTTAAAACAGAGGGTTAAATTATGCAAGTGATAGGGCAAAGATTTATATCCAATACATAGATTTTTATACCCTAGCAAAGACTCAAGTTTTATTTTACGTGAACACTAATATAACTGTCTTTCTATACGACAGGTTCGTGAACAAATGTTCACCAGAGAGAACGGCGCCCGTATCGGCGAGGTCCCTCAGATAGCCATAGTTCTCACCGACGGTAATTCCGACTTCGAAGAGAAGACGGCGAAGCAAGCAGCGCTGACAAAAGCAAAGGGAATCAAAGTTTTTGCCATTGGGATTGGAAAGGTATTGTTAGTCCATTTTTATCTACCTAAACGCAATACATTATTTTTGTGTAGCTGCACCAGTAGAATGGAATAAGTTACCAATTTTTATTAGTCGAATAGAATCACAAGAATCTTTTAAAAAGGAATTGAAAACTCACATTTTTAAGACATATTTTATTCATGAATTTTAAATTTTACATTAAAGAAACCTTGGATTTTTTACTTTTTTAAAAGTAAGTAATTAAAATTACTGTTTATTACAATTTAGTCTAGCTCTGGTTTATATAATATTTATCTTAACCATTTTTATCTATAAACTNATATATATATATATATATATATATATATATATATATATATATATATATTGTAGTCTTTCTTCCACTAAATCTCCGTTACAGTGCATTTTGGCGTAATATATCCCATCTTACAGCAATGCGTGGTGCTGTCCTTGTGTTTCAGCATTTTGTTTGCCCTTTTCTTTATATCCAAATTTAGATAGATACAATGTACAAATATTAGTTAATTACTGGTAAAAACATATAAAATAGATTAAGAAATTACAAAAGCGGACAGATAGAAAAAGGAAATAAAGGAAGCGCGAGTGAATGGACGAGAAAGCGAGTTAAAGAATAAATGTTGCCTGTATGAAAATAACTAAAAGGAAATTAGCTGAAAATAGACTTTGGCACCGGTGAACAGATTTTGGGGACAAATAAAAGAATTTCTGGAAAAATAACAGAGAGCCAATCATTGCAATGGCCATTTGCAGTTGTAAAGCATAGATAATTAAGCTGAACATGTTTATATCCGTCCTTTTGGATGGCGGCGACCGCGTTTACAGTACGTGTAGAAGGCATTAAACCGAAAATGTGCTCCTGGAAGGAAGGTAATGATTTCTAGTGCAGTTTTTATTCACACGGACGTGTTTTTGCATGTTTAGTATAATTTTCACCGGATATAAGTTGCTCTCAGCCTGGCCATTTCAATAAAACAANTCTTAACCATTTTTATCTATAAACTTCTTTGTATTTTATGTTGTGCAGTCTATTGAACATTTTATGGATTTTAGACTCGAAATAAATATATTATTTTTTATACTTATTAATTATTAATACACATATAGCCTACAGGCATACACGCACTGCAGGATTTTTATAAGGGAGGGGGGGCAAGAATAGAATTATTATATAATTATTATGTAAAATGATTTTGTCTCGGTTATTATTATAATACTTTATTTGGAAGGAAAGGAGAGATGGGCGGAGAAGGGAAAACATTTACCTCCGATACTAAGGGATGGTCACGTGGCTGGTGGCTCCTCCCATGGATCACTCTCAAACACGCGCTCAAAAGTATCAAAGAAAGCAGACGACCATTGTACAAACGTGACCCCCCTCCCCCCCCCCCCCACCCGCACCCCCAACCCCCCACTTCTTGATTACCTAATAACTGCCAGAAATAAATATTTTAACGCCTGCCGTGGTCTCCTTGAAATCGTTAATAATTTAAAAAAATAAACACATAAATGAACAGACTGGTTATAAATATATTAATAATATACCTAAACTGAGTGTAGATTCAATTTTTAAAATGATATAAGGCAACTGTTGGCGCGATGTGAGACGGTTTGGACATAATCCGCCTTCACCTATTTGGGATATGAATGTTGTCTAGAACAGGTCTGTGCATTCATGGCGCCATGCGTCGGTTGAACTTTACAAATAGTGCACACGGGCAGCTAGGGCTCTCTCTCTTCAGCCGGAAAACAGGAGAATTGTTGGGAAAGGTTAATCACTGATTCACACTTCTGAATTTGGCAAAATGGATAATATTACTTATTTTATATTCTGTTTAGGTGGATGAGAAAGAATTGAAAGTCATAGCAACCGGGCCAGACGAGGTGATTACAGTGGGCGACTTCTCGGCTTTGGCAGGCATAAAGCGTGAACTCAGCATTAAGACCTGTGAAATCAAACCACCATGTGTCATCACAACCGGTATGCTCTTGACTGATCATATACGACATTTAACGAATCTTTTTTTATGTTAATGCAAACGGAAAGAAAGTCACTTTGATGACCTTTTTCGATTTGCAGCAAATGACTAGTGATTTTCAACCGTTGCTCTTTTTGAATACATTTCCCAAAATCTAACTCGTCAGAATTTATTTACAGATTGTGGTGATGATCTGCAGACAGATGTCACTTTCGTGCTCAGCGAAAGCGTCACAACAACTCCCGGAACCACGACGGAAAGTATCGAACTTATCCGAAACATCACGAGCAAGTTCAACATCGGGAAAGACGAGATTCAGGTATCGCTAGTGCCCGTGACAAGACCGGGTCCAGGCTTCTATTTCAAAGATTACTCGGATTATGATGGAATTGATGGTCATTTGGAGAAATTTGAAGCAAGAATTAAGGTAAAATGAAACCAATTCTTTCTCCTTGAGAAAATTTAACTTTAATCGATTATCATGTAAATTATTAGTCCAAGCAGGAATATCGGGTATCACAACGTTTGTATTTGACCATAACCCAGCCGAAGAATGCCTGTATAATGGCGATTCAAATTTCATTTCGTTCCTCTATACACATTAACAAGTGCAAACATGTTTTAATAACTTCACTTACATAAAGAACATTTATTGAATGAAGGTTTGATAGATGAGTAATAAACTAATATATTATTCAAGGAATTTATTGCTATAACTTTTGCATGACAATTAAGAGAAATGACATAATTTTTTATTGAAAGAATGACTACAAATACAATATATTGATACCAGGTATTGGAGACAACGGGAGCACGCATCCGAGCGATGACAGACATGCTGTACGACCAAAAGAACGGGGCACGCCCTGGGGTCCGTAAACTTGGTATCATAATCCTAGATGGCGCTTCAGCAAACGTACGCAAAACTATGGCCGCTGCTAGCGCCGCCTACAATCGAGGCGTCGAGATGGTTGCCATAGGAATAGGAGACAGCGTCAACCTTAAAGAGCTGCGCTCTATTGGACGCAACTCCAGGAGAGTCATCCGACTGCCGGATTATGAAAGTTTCAATGGGCTGAAAAGGACCCTATTTTACCGTATCACCTGCAAAGGTAAGCCAATCAAACCATTTATTGATGAGGGGAGGATCAAAAACAAGATTTATAAAATGACAAAATAATGAAAAATTATTGCTAAAACTGTCGTTGACGGAACACGTTATTTATTTATTTATTTATTTATTTATTTATTTATTTATTTATTGACGCGATTCTTATTTATTAATCATTTTCAACAGAGGCCAACACTTTCAATACTGCCATATAAGTCCAGTTCATACCGCAATCATGAAAACATTTTTCTCAAGTAGAGTAAAAAAAAATAAAAGTGAGCAAATATACATTAAGTAGCGTATATCTAGAGAGAGAGCATATAACATTTTGCCGTGTCTGTTTGCGCTTTATGTCCTTTCATTTTGAAATAGTGATATCAGGCACACATCACCGTGCAGTGGATATTGGAAAGATGCTTTAAAGCAAAACTTTACTTTACTATACTTAACTTTACTTTACTTTGGATGAGAAAGAATTGAATTCAATTTGATTTAATTTTTAATTTATTTTATTTCATCTTTATTTTTAGGGCGCACTGAACCGGACCCTGACGATATTTGCGACCCGGGAGATGAGGAAGAAAAATAATCCGGGACTTAGTACAAGTGTATAACAACACGTATATCATTCCGATTCCAAATCGCAAGCCAAAATGAACTGAATTGGAAACCATGTTTCAACGTAATGCGAGATATCACGTTATTGGCATGCCGCCATAAAATTTTAGACTCGATTTCTAGTAAGCTTTGTCTTTTTGCTATTTTCACGTTTTTCTTAACAGATAAATACGGATAATTCAACCCTTTATTTTTATTTCCATGCAGTATAATTGATTCGTTTCCCTTTGCCATTCTAAGTATTGACGTAAGTTTATCATCACATCTGCCAAATCAAATAGTTCTTAAGGCGTTATATATGTTGCTGAATTCCATGTACAGTGTGTATTGTCTAAATGTATTCCTTGAGTGTACCTGACCTCAACGAATTTCAGTGTTTTGTTAAATTTTATTTCTTTTTTGTTCAACCCAGTTCAAATTATAATAGCTAATTATTAACTGTTTTTAACTTGGAAGAAATAGTTATGCGCTTTTATTTTTGAATTGATGTTTTGAATCATCGAAGTACTGGCAGACTGTCCATGGTGTGTGGAGTCACGTCTTAACTGCTGACGTCATATATGGTATAAAGATCAATGTCGAATGTGAGCATGAGTGTGTGTGTGTGTGTGTGTGAATGTGTGTGTGTGTGTGCTCTCCTTAAGTGATTTTATTGTTGTTACACATTAATGTCTGCTTATGTCATACTTAACATCTGTAAGTATCGAGCAATAACATAAAGGTTTGCGCCTACTACAGTCGGGCAAATTCTTTGACGATCTTTTAAAATTGGCTTGCTTATTAATTTATGTCTTAATAACAGATAATATATTATTATTAATTTTTATAATCAGCAGCAATGTATTTTCCCTGATGATTGGAACGATCAATGGACTTCGAGGCACAATATAATTGTGAAAATGTACATAAATTTTCCATACGATTAAACTGATTTTGTGTCAAGAAAAGGCTTATTTTATATGCGCATATAGAAAATGGTAACACAGAAACTACGGCATGCATTCGCCTAAAAGAGCTTAAAATTCAAAATCGCAGTTGCTTTATCATTTAGAGAAACAAACATTATTTAAAGATTTAAATGAAAACCATGAATGACAAGGTCTTTATAGCTACATCCAGTGGATTTTAACTGTAGACGTCGCGCGAGAGCCTTGGCCTGCACTAGCAGGGTACCTACTCTTAAAGTTGACGTTGACTTATCCTGTGACAAATACAGGTGGATGGTCCAAACGTGAGTAGGGATCTGAAATACCAGTGTGTTGTGACAGAGAGTCTCCCATTCAACTGAACTCACTGGGCGAGCGGTGACTCAGCTCGTTAGTTGAAGTGTGAGTTTGACTGCATCAAAACATTTAAAAGTATTACTAGAGCAAATTACATATCCTACCACCGTCCGTGCCGTGGTTTGGGACTGATGTTTTTATTAAGGTTAGGGTACTTTGGCGAGCCCTAGTAGGAGTGAAGCGCTAAAAAAAGTTGAAACCCCTGCACGTTGGTGCATGTTGTTAACATAGAGAGGCTAGTGCTTGGCAAATTACGATTATTAGTTCCAAGCTGCTATGACTGTCGTCTTGGTAACGCGTAATACTGACGGCTTCCCACCTAGATTATGACTGCCATCTTTTAGTGGCTTTCAAACTAATTATGTCCTGAAACTATGAATTATCGTATAATGTTTGGCGATTTCAATAAACCCACAGGGGTAAAGTTTGAATAAACGATAGAATACATACCGGTAGATGTTCCTGAGGAGATGAAGAGATCAAGCTGTGTGTGTGACAGAGAACTTAAGGACATATAGGACACGAAAAAGTATGATTTCTGTCGTTATATCATTCTCCAAAGCCTCAGTGACAAGTTTCACCACGCACCCGGGATGGGAATCCCACCGCTCTCTACAGTGTCTGAAAACAACTCAGATAGGGGCAGTACAGGTGAAATACTCTGTACTTTCAGTTTGCTAATATGCACCTCTAATACAAAATATATAAAGGTGGGTGACAAAAATCCACCATACAAATCTGGAGATTGATGATTTTATATTAAATCCGTTGTCTACCATATTCTGCGTGACTAGTGGGAAGCAAAATAAGCTATGGTTAAATAAAATATTCAAAAGTACGCGTAAATGCAGAGGAAAGTACCGCCGCTTTCAATATTTTACAGCTTGTAGTAGGGGGAGAGGGGTGTGGCTGCAGATGCACGTTGCAACAAAGAAGAAAAACGCTGCAAATGCATTTGACAACAAGGTTACTTATATGAGCCTCGTGCCACGATTTTATATCAAACACGGAGAAGATTCGCCATGCATCGCATAGGCTGGGCTTCAATCAAAGCACCAACAGAGACTCTTTCCCCCTGGCGGATTCAATGTTTTACCCGGGGAACAGGGGGGGGGGTGGAGGGCACATTGTTTTTAATGTCGAACGAAGCAAAAAATGTGTAAAACAATAGACTGGGATAAATTGGCCGCTCGTTTTCGCTAAAAATAAAAATCTTATGACTGCATTTAGGTCAAATATAGAACAATCGCCAGCTTATCTTTAACCCCATAGGATCCATCAAAACATTTAAAAGTATTACTAGAGCAAATTACATATCCTACCACCGTCCGTGCCGTGGTTTGGGACTGATGTTTTTATTAAGGTTAGGGTACTTTGGCGAGCCCTAGTAGGAGTGAAGCGCTAAAAAAAGTTGAAACCCCTGCACGTTGGTGCATGTTGTTAACATAGAGAGGCTAGTGCTTGGCAAATTACGATTATTAGTTTAGTTTAGATTATCTTTAAGATATATAAGAGGAGGCATTATGGCCCTTCAGATTAGCTGAAGGGGCCATTAATTAAACCTGCACGCGTCACTGATAGATACATTAAAGTTGCTTACATTTAACCTATATTTTACTCTTTTTTGTTTCCCTTGCTTTCCGTTCCACGTACTAAATGTCCAAAAGGAACATTTTAATCTCATACTGGACGTTCAAACATCTGCTAGATGTTTTTCCGAGGCTATAGAGGGTTATGGGCACACACACACACACACACACACACACACAGCCCTCCGTTCTTGCCAATACGTATCAAACTTTTTGGCAGGTGAGATAGGGGCGTAAACAAGAAATGGGTCAAACACACAAATTTAACGCAGCCGTCCTTGAGTTGTTAGAATTTTGTATCACGTATGCACTGATAGACCCGGTTGCCTTCAGGGAGGTGTCTCCGTCAACAGCATACACGTATACCAGTGCATGTTGTGTATTGTCAAAGGTGGGTCCTGAAGGGGGAGAGAAGGCTCTTATTGAAACAAAACAGTTCCAAAGAAAGACGCTCGCCGTAGTCCATCAAAGGCAGTTTGTTTTCATGCATATGTACTAGTATTCGGCATTGGAAAGTTACTTTTTAAAGTATTGCTACTACATGTACATTTATTAAAGTTACATATTTTATTTTAGTTAGATGATTGTGCAAATGTATACAGTATATATACCGGGTACATTTCGAAGTTATTCGATGTCCAAAGTCACAAAGAGGTTTTAACATTTACTAATAACATTCGCGACGGAGCTTAGGAAAGGCCACCCTCGCCCACCCACCCACTGAGGATGAGCAGAATTGGTTAATAGAAAAATTTATCTCTAGACAAAATTTCATTTATTTATTTATTTATTTATCATTAATTTATGTTGTACATAATCTTGACACGGGTAACAAATACCGGTCTGTAATTGGGGAGCTCTGTCTCCATTCTTCCTACACGTATTATTAATTAACGTTATTTTTTATTCAGTTCCGGTTGAGCATGGTTGTTAACGTGCTTTGCGTTGTATGGCGATACGTAATATATGTCTTTGTGTCAGTGGAAAAGACTTTAGGCCACCCTTATATTTTATTCTTTAGAATTTGAAGCTATAAGCCTAGCAACTGGTTGAGGTACACAGTCTGACCTCAGATGTCAGTATGGGGTCTTGTGACTCAGTAGATGGAGTATCTCAGTGTTGACAAATGACGTACCGTATATGTTAGGACTTGTGGGTGTGCTACAGAGGTGTGTATCAGATAGTTGTACTTGACATAATTTAGGTCAAACTTCTTATACGCCGTAATAGCAGGTAGATTGAACTTTGAAAGGCTTTATTGCCGTCGTGCAGAGATATTTACAAGTTTTCTGTATTATAGATCTCTTCTCGACTATTGGATAACATTTAAAGACAATTGCTCCATTTGCCAGGAGTTCTGTGTGACACAGAAAAGACGTGCTTTACACACTGCAAAATTGCCCTGTCTGACGGCTTTGAACAACGGAGACACATAATTGTAAGATGGAAAGAAGAAGCAAAGGAAGACTGATCCTGGCCCTGGCCGCCCTTGTCCTGGTGGTGGTAGGTGCGGTGGTGGGGATTGTGCTCGGTGCCAGGAAGACGTCCCCAGGAGAGGTGGACACGCAGCAGGTGGACGCCTTGGTGGCGTGCATAGCCAGGGAGGGGACACGGGACGAGTGTGAGGCCACAGGGTAAGGATTGTTCTGCGACATTTTTGATCTGATCGCTTATTGATCATGGATTGTGATACGGTGTGAGAGGGGGGTGATGGGTGGGTGGGGGTGGGGTGATGGGGGGTGGGGTGATGGGTGGGTGGGGATGGGGTGATGGGTGGGTGGGGTGATGGGTGGGTGGGATGGCGAGGCACAAAGATAACGTTGATCTCGGTTAAAAAAGGCAAATATGAAATCGATGCGTATAACTTGATAGAGATCCACGTTCTGCTTGTTATGCTCTATTTTTCATTTCCTTTTCGTCGTTTTTAGAGAGGGAGGATTAAGGTGGAGGGGATGCCTCATACGCTAAGGGGGGATTGGCTCTTGCCCCCACCCCCACCCCCTCCATGGATCTGATATAACTGATTCCGTTATTGTTGGATTTTACACTGATATGACATCTAACCCGACAAAATTTGAACCGGCATTACAGGTTTGAGTACTGGTAGATTATGAGAGTTTATCCTGAAAAAATGGGGTTGGGGACAGACACTTTGAAACATGCGGTTGGTTGCCCGTAGTAACAGAAATTAGGCGTAGAGGCGGTACGGGCACGGGTTAGGTAAGTGTCATGATAGTAAGCCAATGTAAGCTAGCTCTTTCAGCTCCTTCTGTCATGTTTGCTCTTTTTTTCTTTAACTTATTCTTTTACCGTACCATACGCCTCCCCGCCTAATTTCTGCCGAACTCGGATCAGATATTTATCTGCTCACTGTTTTATGACCAAAGGAGAAATCATCTACGTCGTGAAAGAAAACAGGGATGAAACAGGACATGGGTTGTTTTGCTTACTCCCCACCCACCTCATTCTCCAATCTCGGATGTCGCTTTGCTCGGTTCATGAATATTAAAACCACATAAAGCGATTTCAGAAAGGATATTGTCACCCTTCGCCAAATAAACTCCTTATTATAGCCCATACACTCGTGGTCATACCACTCTGCCATTTTCTTTAAAATCTTGTTCGCCCTATACCGATTGCTATCTCACCTTAAAAAGAAAGGTGTTAAATTGACGATTAAAGCTTTGAGTTTCCTATGCTTATACATTGCAACGAGGAATAAAAACTCTGATATTTTATATTTTTGAGGGTTTTTTATTGTTTTAAATCAACACAAAGATAGTTGCATTATTGAATTATTAGATGCGGGAAAAACTCCATTTTTGGTATCTGGATGGTAATAAAGGTTACAATACCCTTTAATGCGTTTCAAATACCTGACCGATTTTGATTGTGTTTCTTACATTATGGTATTTATGTGGTGTTCATGAGACTTTGTTGTGGTTTTTTACCTTCATTGGCCGATCAAGATTACAGTCGAGTGTCTTAAAGGGTGTTTAAAAGCAACTTAAATAAGGAAGTATACATAGTTACGACGTTTATATTATAATCAGCTTCTGAGAAACCGCTCGCTGGAAAGTGGTGAGTGAAGAATTAATGAACTGAGGTTAAGAACAGGTGAACTTTTACATTATTTAGCAAGCAGTATAATAAAAGCGATAATTTCTGGTAAAAGTCATGCATATACTAGTAAATATGTTGGATGCTGTAATATTTAAGTACCACTGAGATTTGATCAGATATCGATGGCAAAACTTCTTGTATGGACATTGAGGGTATACCTTTGGGTAATTAGTAAAAATGTTTTCCCTTATCAGCTGTTTCTGGAAAAACCTGACCGCCTCCTCCCCAAAATGTTGGTATAAGCAGGCTTCACAAACCGGGTATGGGTATCGACTGAACGGTGAGATAGAGGTAGGGGAACCTTATCGACATTATCATCATCATCATCATCTCTCTTTTCCCTCTCTCTCTCACTCTCTCTCGTTTGTGACTTGAAGCCCCTGTGTTTGGCTTTCATCTTGTCAGTAAAGACCGACTATCACTGTGCATACGGTGGCCGCCATCATGCGGGCAATATTCAGAATAAGGCATAATTGTCTTTTCTTAATTGCTAAAATCATTTAAATATGATACACAATTTATCGACCGACTGAAGCAGTTAGCAATTATATATACATTTTTTCACTTAGGAAACAATTTGCGTTTTCAACATCTTTGCAGAAGAGACAATAAGAACAATAATATCTCAAGATATTTTTCAGAACACGACGCTGGGGTATCGTATGAAACTCTCTCGCATCAAAACTACTCCTTTGTATTACAAGAATTCTACGCCCATTGATGACGTGAAACTAGAAGTGGAGTTTCATGACATCAGTAGACTGAGACTGAAGGTGAGTCGTGATGTGATGAAGGCAGTCGTAATGTCGCCTAGGTTTGGTAGTGTTTGGTTCTCGAGCTAGCTATAAGAACTATAGTGTGGTGAAAATTTTGAATCCATTATGTGTAGACTCAAGATTCCTTAATTGTTAAAGCAATAATAACTCTTCCTTTGAGATCCAAAATTCCGCAAGAAATACATCGTAAACAACGCGTGGAAATATATTCTATTGCACTAAAACGCCTGTTAATGTAGTAAAACTAAAATCTGTGCTTGTCAAAAGGGCTTTCGATGCCTTTCTTGCCGGTCGTCAAGGCATCCGTTGCCAATGACGTTGGGGTGTCACGCGGATTCTTGCGTTCATTCGAGACCAAAATGACATTTGGCGCCATCTCTTAATGGATTTTAACAAAAAAAAACAAACTTTTAGGGAAAAAAACCTGGACTAACTTCAAATGCAGGAATGGGGTCGTTGACCATTGGTAAGTACGGAAAAATTGCCGTTTACTTCAGGAAAATCCAATTTTTGGCCAAAACGAAGAGTTATTATGACTTTATGACTTTAAGACTCTTTTTAGTTTCATTTCAAATTAATTAAGATGGACAAAATGGACAAGGCATTATTTAATAGAACATATGCCTAGTCCTTTGAGTGTCTTATGGTGTCAGTCCGCTGGTTAGATTTTTTGCTCAAAATGTTGATATTAAAATCGAAATATCATTTTTTAATTGATCAAAAGGATTTATGTTTTAAAATCGTGTAAATTAGCAAACAGAAAGAGTTAATAGCGACCACATTAAATACTTCAGTTCACAGACTTTCATAAGCAACGATATGAGGTATCCCAGCAAGCCTTGGACATCCCAGCACCAAGCAGCCCACCTGACGTAAAAAGCAGGTTATATGACGTCAGATTTGTCAGGGAACCGCAGTTTGGAATAGAAGTAGTGAGGAAATCTAATGGCGTAGTTATGTGAGTGCAGACAAATAATAAGTTTTTTCAATGGATTTTACTTATATGGCTACATGTATACCCGACAGTGAATTTGGCTTTGATTTGACTGGTCGATGATCACGTTATCATTAAGACAATATAAAACAAAGTGATTTGCTTCCTTTTCTGAGGTATTGATAGTCATATTATAGAGTAATTTTATGGTCTAGATTAGAAATTATCGATCCAATTATTGACAATTTGACAACAATAGAGTAACGTATAGCAGACTCATGAATAACTGATATCTCTAAAGTTTTAAACGACCTGTTAATTTGACGCCTGGATGCGGTACATGAATCTCGTATGCAAAATTTACTTTCGCTTTCAGTCTTAAACATCAATATTGTTGCTTGGTTTCACTTTCAGTTTTAACACCGCGTTGCCCGGTTTTACGTTCACAGACCAGTATCTCCAGCTCACCACGCGCCTCAGCTCCAGTCACGTGTACGGCTTTGGGGAACACAATCATCTAAGATATAAACACGACATGAACTGGAAAAGATGGCCGATATTTACCCGTGACCAGGGCCCATATGCTGTAAGTAGTCACTTACGCTTTGATCTTTAGTTCTTTTATTTGTTCGGTCACTCAACCCCAGAATTTATTTATTTGTTTCCTTATTACATTCTTATTATTTTTGTCTATTTATTTCTTTTTTTTTTTACTGATTTACATTGCTTGTTTTCATATGTTGTGATGGTTTTAGATACATTTATGTGTCATTAATTGCAAAGAACTTCTAAAATAATTAAATGAGCAGTATGTTGCATTGATTTTGTGTAAAGATGCGGTGCATCTCGCTCCCTTTAACATATAACTCAGTACTACGTATCTAATTACTGCACAAAGAATATGATCCCATTCTAGGATCCATGGAATTTATACGGTCATCAGACTTTTTACATGAACGTAGAGACCTCAGGAAATGCCAATGGCGTATTTTTGAAGAATTCCAATGCCATGGGTGAGTAGTGAACTTTTAAAGGTGTACAAAGAGCGCTACACATAGAAATATATATATATATTTCTAAACGTGTCCATTCTCTATTTTTGATTCGCATTAAGGTAAATCATATTAAAATTTGCTCATTTTGTCTATTAACCACCTTTTTAAGTTTCTAGTTTTTTGGGGTGGCTCTCATAATAGCTTATCAGGGTAAAAGTTGGTAACTTTCTCAACGGTTTTTTATGGAGAATATTTTGGTCATAATTGGAAATTGTTGAAATTTCTAGAAAATCCATTTGTTTGGATATATCTGTAAACTAAACGTAAGACGCGTACCGTATGCTTATACGCACAGCACAAACAAAACCAGAAAGTTTCTCCCTGGCGCAAGGTTTTGAAAATTGATTTTCCGTCTCTGCACCAAGAAATAAAATTTAGAGATGTGTGAGATGTATATATGTATGTATCAGAAAACACTTAAGTTTTTTAGTCTGCAGTCCTGCGTTGATGTAATGAAGCGTTCTAAATTAGTTTTGAGAGGGTTTTACATGACGAGTGGAATAGATAAATGATTTAAGTTAATCATTTAGTGTCGGCATTTCTCTTATCTCTTACGTGTAGTTTACAGATATATTATATTATATTATATTATATATTATATTATATTATCATTTTTTAGATATAGTATTGCAACCTGACCCTTATCCGGGGATTTCGTACCAGGTTATCGGAGGAGTTTTGGACTTCTTTTTATTCCTGGGACCGACACCCGAGAACGTGGTACAGCAGTATAACAAGGTGAGAACATGGTACAGCAGTATAACAAGGTGAGAACGTGGTACAGCAGTATAACAAGGTGAGAACGTGGTACAGCAGTATAACAAGGTGAGAACGTGGTACAGCAGTATAACAAGGTGAGAACGTGGTACAGCAGTATAACAAGGTGAGAACGTGGTACAGCAGTATAACAAGGTGAGAACGTGGTACAGCAGTATAACAAGGTGAGAACGTGGTACAGCAGTATAACAAGGTGAGAACGTGGTACAGCAGTATAACAAGGTGAGAACGTGGTACAGCAGTATAACAAGGTGAGAACGTGGTACAGCAGTATAACAAGGTGAGAACGTGGTACAGCAGTATAACAAGGTGAGAACGTGGTACAGCAGTATAACAAGGTGAGAACGTGGTACAGCAGTATAACAAGGTGAGAACGTGGTACAGCAGTATAACAAGGTGAGAACGTGGTACAGCAGTATAACAAGGTGAGAACGTGGTACAGCAGTATAACAAGGTGAGAACGTGGTACAGCAGTATAACAAGGTGAGAACGTGGTACAGCAGTATAACAAGGTGAGAACGTGGTACAGCAGTATAACAAGGTGAGAACGTGGTACAGCAGTATAACAAGGTGAGAACGTGGTACAGCAGTATAACAAGGTGAGAACGTGGTACAGCAGTATAACAAGGTGAGAACGTGGTACAGCAGTATAACAAGGTGAGAACGTGGTACAGCAGTATAACAAGGTGAGAACGTGGTACAGCAGTATAACAAGGTGAGAACGTGGTACAGCAGTATAACAAGGTGAGAACGTGGTACAGCAGTATAACAAGGTGAGAACGTGGTACAGCAGTATAACAAGGTGAGAACGTGGTACAGCAGTATAACAAGGTGAGAACGTGGTACAGCAGTATAACAAGGTGAGAACGTGGTACAGCAGTATAACAAGGTGAGAACGTGGTACAGCAGTATAACAAGGTGAGAACGTGGTACAGCAGTATAACAAGGTGAAAACGTGGTACAGCAGTATAACAAGGTGAGAACGTGGTACAGCAGTATAACAAGGTGAGAACGTGGTACAGCAGTATAACAAGGTGAGAACGTGGTACAGCAGTATAACAAGGTGAGAACGTGGTACAGCAGTATAACAAGGTGAGAACGTGGTACAGCAGTATAACAAGGTGAGAACGTGGTACAGCAGTATAACAAGGTGAGAACGTGGTACAGCAGTATAACAAGGTGAGAACGTGGTACAGCAGTATAACAAGGTGAGAACGTGGTACAGCAATGTAGTACAACAATATAACAAGGTGAGATTGTGGTTCAACATTATAACGAGGTGAGAACGTGGTGCAGCTGTATAACAAGGTGATGCTATAAGCTGTGATATTTTGAACACCTGATACTTTTTTCTAAGGTTGTGTGCACAGTACGTAGATAATGACTCTGCTTAGAATATGTAAAATTATGCATTTCATTTTGAAGTTGATAAATTGGACAGGATTTCATTTAACATATGACATAACAGATCCTTCTATTTCCATGTAGTGTTCATGTGCATGCGTTGAAGCGAATTTTCTAAGGTTGCAAAATATTTTACGACTAGAAGTATTTCTATCTATCTATCTGTCCCATAGTCTGCGACCGTAGGGGCACAACAGACGAACTGGCAACCAGTGCTCTCCATCCATCTCGATCATCCGTCCTTCTCATAGCCTCATTGAGTGGCAAGCCTGTCCACTCGCGGATGTTATCTTCCCATCTTTTCCTCTGTCTGCCTCTTCTTCTGCCTCCTTGCACTGTGCCTTGCAGGATTGTCTTGGCGAGTCCTGATGATCGTGAAACAAGTATTTACATCAGGTCAAAATACTTCTGCCGCCGTGGGCCCCATTCGCAACATAAGTAACGGGTATGAAAACTAAGGTACACAATATGACATACGTCTAGAAGCTGATCTGCACATTGATTGGATTTATCAGGTCAGTTTTGATTTTTCCAGGCCGTGGGGTTTCCGGTGATGCCACCATATTGGAGCCTGGGGTTCCAGCTGTGTCGCTGGGGTTATAACGATACTGCGCATGTTCGAGAAGTTCTGAAACGTCAACGAGAAGCAGCAATACCACAGGTAAACAGTGACTTTATCACACCTAAATGTTTATACGAACGCTGTGCACACATGTACGCATTTAAATCAGTCTTAGAACATCGGTTACCCGCCTAAATAATGTGACAGTTTCTTAGCCGACAATAGTACCCGGTTGTTTCCCCCTTTTCTACAATAATTATAGATGCAACCTACAACAGGCTCGGTGTGAAGAAACTGATGGTAACAGGGAGTCCGCCCTCCATTAGGTTCGTACAGGGAAGGGTTGATATAAGCGGGTCAAAATCTAGGGCGGGGCGTATACCTGTACCGAGTATAAATCACTGGGAACCCGACTCTCTCGCACATCACCTTCTTGACCTGTCAGCGGCTCTTGACACGGTAAACCACCAATTGTTTCTCACTTCCCCAGAGGAGAGCATCGGGATCAAAGGCAAATAATTTCTCCGCTCCTATCTCAATGACAGGACACGATTGGTGTCATTTGAGGGATTTTTGTTTGGTCTGTCAGTACTCTAGCCCATGGTGTCGTCCCACAAGGAAGTTTTTAACTAAAATGTAAAGCTGCATTTCCGATCTCAGGGCCTGGATGGTAAAGAACAAACTCATGATAAATGACAGCAAAACAAAAATATTGGTCATCACAGCAGAATCAAAACAAACGCATTGCAGAAAACCTTCATATCAAAATATGTCAAAGTGTGGCCTCATGCAAAAAAAAATCGGATTAGTTAGAACTCGGATCATCTATTCTGAATGGCCCTAAGAGACATCTATCACGTGCACAAGACTTATACAGCAAAAGAGTGAAATTTCCTGGAAACGGCAGTTTCATCTCATTCCCTTAAATTTCTGGGCCGGTTTTATAAAGGACGTTTATCACTAACCAGTGGTTAAGCCTAACCAGTGGATATATTTTCTAAACAATGGTTAACTAAACGGCGGTGTAACCTTCTCTTATAAACAGTGTTTAAACAACCGGTTAGTTAACGGATGTTTAATTTTTTCAACCAGTGTTAAGTTGCTATGAACAACTTATCCAGATCATATTTCGAAATAAAATTTCCCAGAATGCAATGGGTTTCTATGAACAAAATAAAATGCCTATAGTTAATCCATTGTTCATTTGTGTTGTCTGCTATTCTTTAATGTACTTTGGCAATGTCAACAATATCTGAGAAAACAAAGAGATGATTTAGACCCCATTCCCACAGATTTTAGATTATTTAGATTGCCAAAGTATGTTTATGTACTTATTTTCAAAAAAAAATAATAATAAATAAATAAATAATGATATCATAAAAATATTCAAAATGAAACTAGTTTCCTTGAAAGAATGATTCCTTTCCGTCTCTGGAGCTAGTTGGTTTTGAAGTAAGTTTTCTAAACAGTATCGAATTTCTACGGAATCTAAATCTTCTTGCTCAGTTGCTCCATCAAAATTAAATAAATCTCTACTGAAATTTCTGCCTCTTCTCAGTCTAAAAGGTATATATCTGCGAGGATTTCTGGCAAACCGCAGCAGGTTAACCATTTTTATCAGGCGTTTACGGAATTTAAACTACCTCCTTCGAGCGTGTAAATTTAACCAACCGTTAAGAACCATTGGTTAGTGCTAAACGACGTTTATGAAACCCGGTTAAACGTCGTTTAAGTGTAAACGCTGGATTTAACCGGTGGTTAGTGCTAATCGTCCTTTATAAAACCGGGCCCTGATTTTTATCGTGATGGATGAAATTCAGCGGGCTTCTTCATTACTAGAGTGGTTCAGATATAAAAAAATTAAAACTGATTTTGGTTAAACATTGGTGTAACCTTCTCTGCTCCTCATTAATTTCAGGATGTGCAGTACGTAGACATCGACTATACATATGAGAAGCTTATGTTCACGTACAATAGGCAAGGTTTCCGTGATCTACCTGAACTTGTACAGGAGCTCCATGATATGGGGCAGAAATTGATCCTCATACTGGTACGGTACAATGTTCCTGAAATGTGTAATACAAAAAGTACTTAATTATGAAGTGATTAAAATTTTAAAAAAAGACCTGTGTGAATTTATTTATTTATTTATTTAAAAACAATAATTTATAATTTTTGATAAATGATTTATTTTGCTATTTTCAAATTTTGAATAACAAAATGCAATTAGTGCAAAAATGTGATATGCATTTACATGTATCTGGTCACAACATCAGTGAACAAACTTACGTTAATGTGAATTGGTATATTGGGCCTACGTGTAGGAACAGTTTGATTGAGAGTGTGTATCAATATACTGATATTCAAATATTCTATATTGACTACCCAAGTATTGGGTGTTTTAATAATCAGTCCATTGGCCAATGAACCAGTAAATAAGTATAATCAATTAGTATCGTCCAAAATAAAAAAAAAATGTTGTTTCCAGGACCCTGGTATTGGAACCAACCCAAATTTTACAACAACGGCTCCACCCAACAACTCCTACCCGCCTCTGGAGGACGGTGAACAAAAAGACATTTTCGTCAAAAATCCAAACAAAACCGGATATCTTGTGGGAGAGGTGGGTTACAAATATTACAGATNACTGTTAGCTAGCTCTTTCAGCTCCTTCTGTCATGTTTGCTCTTTTTTTCTTTAACTTATTCTTTTACCGTACCATACGCCTCCCCGCCTAATTTCTGCCGAACTCGGATCAGATATTTATCTGCTCACTGTTTTATGACCAAAGGAGAAATCATCTACGTCGTGAAAGAAAACAGGGATGAAACAGGACATGGGTTGTTTTGCTTACTCCCCACCCACCTCATTCTCCAATCTCGGATGTCGCTTTGCTCGGTTCATGAATATTAAAACCACATAAAGCGATTTCAGAAAGGATATTGTCACCCTTCGCCAAATAAACTCTTTATTATAGCCCATACACTCGTGGTCATACAACTCTGCCATTTTCTTTAAAATCTTGTTCAGGATGAAGTTAGCCCTATACCGATTGCTATCTCACCTTAAAAAGAAAGGTGTTAAATTGACGATTAAAGCTTTGAGTTGCCTATGTTTATACATTGTAACGAGGAATAAAACCTCTGATATTTTATATTTTCGAGGGTTTTTTATGGTTTAAAATCAACACAAAGATAGTTGCATTATTGAATAATTAGATGCGGGAAAAACTTCATTTTCGGTATCTGGATGGTAATAAAGGTTACAATACCCTTATATGCGTTTCAAATACCTGACCGATTTTGATCGTGTTTCTTACATTATGGTATTTATGTGGTGTTCATGAGACTTTGTTGTGGTTTTTACCTTCATTGGCCGATCAAGATTACAGCCGAGTGTCTTAAAGGGTGTTTAAAAGCAACTTAAATAAGGAAGTATACATAGTAACGACGTTTATAATATAATCAACTTCTGAGAAACCGCTCGCTGGAAAGTGGTAAGTGAAGAATTAATGAACTGAGGTTAAGAACAGGTGAACTTTTACATCATTTAGCAAGCAGTATAATAAAAGCGATAATTTCTGGAAAAAGTCATGCATATACTAGTAAATATGTTGGATGCTGTAATATTTAAGTACCACTCAGATTTGATCAGATATCGATGGCAAAAAAAACTTGTATGGACATCGAGGGTATACCTTTCGGTAATTAGTAAAAATGTTTTCCCTTATCAGCTGTTTCTGGAAAAACCTGACCGCCTCCTCCCCAAAATGTTGGTATAAGCAGGCTTCACAAACCGGGTATGGGTATCGACTGAACGGTGAGATAGAGGTAGGGGAACCTTATCGACATTATCATCATCATCATCATCTCTCTCTGTCTCTCTCTCTCTCTCGTTTGTGACTTGAAGCCCCTGTGTTTGGCTTTCATCTTGTCAGTAAAGACCGACTATCACTGTGCATACGGTGGCCGCCATCATGCGGGCAATATTCAGAATAAGGCATAATTGTCTTTTCTTAATTAACTAAAATCATTTAAATATGATACATAATTTATCGACCAACTGAAGCAGTTAGCAATTATATATACATTTTTTCCCTTAGGAAACAATTTGCGTTTTCAACTTCTTTGCAGAAGAGACAATAATAACCTATCTCAAAATATCCAGATTGTCATTTTATAACATCTCATGATATTTTTCAGAACACGACGCTGGGGTATCGTATGAAACTCTCTCGCATCAAAACTACTCCTTTGTATTACAAGAATTCTACGCCCATTGATGACGTGAAACTGGAAGTGGAGTTTCATGACATCAGTAGACTGAGACTGAAGGTGAGTCGTGACATCACCTATCTTTAGGCAGTCGTAACGTCGCCTAGGTTTGGTAGCGTTTGGTTCTCGAGCTAGCTATAAGAACTATAGTGTGGTGAAAATTTTGAATCCGTTAGGTGTAGACTCAAGATTTCCTTAAGCTGTCTCTTTTTAGTTTTATTTCAAATTAATTAAGATGGACAAAATGGACAAGGCATTATTTACTAGAACATATGCCTGGTCCTTTGAGTGTCTTATGGTGACAGTCCTCTGGTTAGATTTTTTGCTCAAAATATTGATATTAAAATCGAAATATCATTTTTAATTAATCAAAAGGATTTATGTTTTAAAATCGTGTAAATTAGCAAACAGAAAGAGTTAATAGCGACCACATTAAATACTTCAGTTCACAGACTTTAATAAACAACGATATGAGGTATCCCAGAAAGCCTTGGACATCCCAGCACCAAGCAGCCCACCTGACGTAAAAAGCAGGTTATATGACGTCAGATTTGTCAGGGAACCGCAGTTTGGAATAGAGGTCGTGAGGAAATCCAATGGCGTAGTTATGTGAGTGGAGACTAATAATTAGTTTTTTCAATGGATTTTACTTATATGGCTACATGTATACCCGATAGTGAATTTGGCTTTGATTTGACTGGTCGATGATCACGTTATCATTAAGACAATATAAAACAAAGTGATTTGCTTCCTTTTCTGAGGTATTGATAGTCATATTATAGAGTAATTTTATGGTCTAGATTAGAAATTATCGATCCAATTATTGACAATTTGACAACAATAGAGTAACGTATAGCAGACTCATGAATAACTGATATCTCTAAATTTTTAAACGACCTGTTAATTTGACGCCTGGATGCGGTACATGAATCTCGTATGCAAAATTTACTTTCGCTTTCAGTCTTAAACATCAATATTGTTGCTTGGTTTCACTTTCAGTTTTAACACCGCGTTGCCCGGTTTTACGTTCACAGACCAGTATCTCCAGCTCACCACGCGCCTCAGCTCCAGTCACGTATACGGCTTTGGGGAACACAATCATCTAAGATATAAACACGACATGAACTGGAAAAGATGGCCGATATTTACCCGTGACCAGGGCCCATATGCTGTAAGTAGTAACTTACGCTTTGATCTTTACTTCTTTTCTTTGTTCGGTCACTCAACCCCAGAATTTATTTATTTGTTTCCTTATTACATTCTTATTTATTTGTCTATTTATTTCTTTTTTTTACTGATTTACATTGCTTGTTTTCATATGTTGTGATGGTTTTAGATACATTTATGTGTCATTAATTGCAAAGAACTTCTAAAATATTTAAATGAGCAGTATGTTGCATTGGTTTTGTGTAAAGATGCGGTGCATCTCGCTCCCTTTAACATATAACTCAGTACTACGTATCTAATTACTGCACTAAGAATATGATCCCATTATAGGATCCATGGAATTTATACGGTCATCAGACCTTTTACATGAACGTAGAGACCTCAGGAAATGCCAATGGCGTATTTTTGAAGAATTCCAATGCCATGGGTGAGTAGTGAACTTTTAAAGGTGTACAAAGAGCGCTACACATAGAAATATATATATATATATATATATATATATATATATATATATATATATATATATATATAGGGAAAGGTAATTTTCTAAACGTGTCCATTCTCTATTTTTGATTCGCATTAAGGTAAATCATATTCAAATTTGCTCATTGTGTCTATAAACCAAATTCTAAGTTTCTAGTTTTTGGGGTGGCTCTCATAATGGCTTATCAGGGTAAAAGTTGGTAACTTTCTCAACGGTTTTTATGGAGAATATTTTGGTCATAATTGGAAATTGTTGAAATTTCTAGAAAATCCATTTGTTTGGATATATCTGTAAACTAAACGTAAGACGCGTACCGTATGCTTATACGCACAGCACAAACAAAACCAGAAAGTTTGTCACTGGCGCAAGGTTTTGAAAATTGATTTTCCGTCTCTGCACCAAGAAATAAAATTTAGAGATGTGTGAGATATATATATGTATGTATCTGAAAACACTTAAGTTTTTTAGTCTGCAGTCCTGCGTTGATGTAATGAAGCGTTCTAAATTAGTTTTGAGAGGGTTTTACATGACGAGTGGAATAGATAAATGATCTTAGTTAATCATTTAGTGTCAGCATTTCTCTTATCTCTTACGTGTAGTTTACAGATATATTATATTATATTATATTATATTATATTATATTATATTATATTATATTATTATCATTTCTTAGATATAGTATTGCAACCTGACCCTTATCCGGGGATTTCATACCAGGTTATCGGAGGAGTTTTGGACTTCTTCTTATTCCTGGGACCGACACCCGAGAACGTGGTACAGCAGTATAACAAGGTGAGAACGTGGTTCAACATTATAACGAGGTGAGAGGTGCAGCTGTATTACAAGGTGATGCTATAAGCTGTGATATTTTGAACACCTGATACTTTTTTCTAAGGTTGTGTGCACAGTATGTAGATAATGACTCTGCTTAGAATATGTAAAATTAGGCATTTCATTTTGGAGTTGATAAATTGGACAAGATTTCATTAAACATATGACATAACAGATCATTCTATTTCCATGTAGTGTTCATGTGCATGCGTTGAAGCGAATTTTCTAAGGTTGCAAAATATTTTACGACTAGAAGTATTTCTATCTATCTATCTGTCCCATAGTCTGCGACCGTAGGGGCACAACAGACGAACTGGCAACCAGTGCTCTCCATCCATCTCGATCATCCGTCCTTCTCAAGCCTCATTGAGTGGCAAGCCTGTCCACTCGCGGAGGTTATCTTCCCATCTTTTCCTCTGTCTGCCTCTTCTTCTGCCTCCTTGCACTGTGCCTTGCAGGATTGTCTTGGCGAGTCCTGATGATCGTGAAACAAGTATTTACATCAGGTCAAAATACTTCTGCCGCCGTGGGCCCCATTCGCAACATAAGTAACGGGTATGAAAACTAAGGTACACAATATGACGTACGTCTAGAAGCTGATCTGCACATTGATTGGATTTCTCAGGTCAGTTTTTGATTTTTCCAGGCCGTGGGGTTTCCGGTGATGCCACCATATTGGAGCCTGGGGTTCCAGCTGTGTCGCTGGGGTTATAACGATACTGCGCATGTTCGAGAAGTTCTGAAACGTCAACGAGAAGCAGCAATACCACAGGTAAACAGTGACTTTATCACACCTAAATGTTTATACGAACGCTGTGCATACATGTACGCATTTAAATCAGTCTTAGAACATCGGTTACCCGCCTAAATAATGTGACAGTTTCTTAGCCGACAATAGTACCCGGTTGTTTCCCCCTTTTCTACAATAATTATAGATGCAACCTACAACAGGCTCGGTGTGAAGAAACTGATGGTAACAGGGAGTCCGCCCTCCATTAGGTTCGTACAGGGAAGGGTTGATATAAGCGGGTCAAAATCTAGGGCGGGCGTATACCTGTACTGAGTACAAATCACTGGGAACCCGACTTTGTATCACCGGGGACTCTCTCGCACATCACCTTCTTGACCTGTAAACCACCAATTGTTTCTCACTTTCCTAGAGGAAAACGTCGGGATCAAAGGCAAAGCCCTTGAATTTCTCCGCTCCTTACTGAATGACAGGACACAATTGGTGTCATTTGAGGGATTTTTGTTTGGTCTGTCAGTAGCCTACTCTAGCCCATGGTGTCGTCCCACAAGGAAGTTTTTAACTAAAATGTAAAGCTGCATTTCCGATCTCAGGACCTGGATGGTAAAGAACAAACTCATGATAAATGACAGCAAAACAGAAATATTGGTCATCACAGCAGAATCAAAACAAACGCATTGCAGAAAACCTTCATATCAAAATATGTGAAAGTGTGGTCTCATGCAAAAATAAATCGGATCAGTTAGTACTCGTATCATCTATTCTGAATGGCCCTAAGAGACATCTATCACGCGCACAAGACTTATACAGCAAAAGAGTGAAATTTCCTGGAAACGGCAGTTTCATCTCATTCCCTCAAATTTCTGGGCCGGTTTTATAAAGGACGTTTATCACTAACCAGTGGATAAGCCTAACCAGTGGATATATTTTCTAAACAATGGTTAACTAAACGGCGGTGTAACCTTCTCTTATAAACAGTGTTTAAACAACCGGTTAGTTAACGGATGTTTAATTTTTTTAACCAGTGTTTAGTTGCTATGAACAACTTATCCAGATCATATTTCGAAATAAAATTTCCCAGAATGCAATGGGTTTCTATGAACAAAATAAAATGCCTATAGTTAATCCATTGTTCATTTGTGTTGTCTGCTATTCTTTAATGTACTTTGGCAATGTCAACAATATCTGAGAAAACAAAGAGATGATTTAGACCCCATTCCCACAGATTTTAGATTATTTAGATTGCCAAAGTATGTTTATGTACTTATTTTCAAAAAAATAATAATAATAAATAAATAAATAATGATATCATAAAAATATTCAAAATGAAACTAGTTTCCTTGAAAGAATGATTCCTTTCCGTCTCTGGAGCTAGTTGGTTTTGAAGTAAGTTTTCTAAATACAGTATCGAATTTCTACGGAATCTAAATCTTCTTGCTCAGTTGCTCCATCAAAATTAAATAAATCTCTACTGAAATTTCTGCCTCTTCTCAGTCTAAAAGGTATATATCTGCGAGGATTTCTGGCAAACCGCAGCAGGTTAACCATTTTTATCAGGCGTTTACGGAATTTAAACTACCTCCTTCGAGCGTGTAAATTTAACCAACCGTTAAGAACCATTGGTTAGTGCTAAACGACGTTTATGAAACCCGGTTAAACGTCGTTTAAGTGTAAACGCTGGATTTAACCGGTGGTTAGTGCTAATCGTCCTTTATAAAACCGGGCCCTGATTTTTATCGTGATGGATGAAATTCAGCGGGCTTCTTCATTACTAGAGTGGTTCAGATATAAAAAAATTAAAACTGATTTTGGTTAAACATTGGTGTAACCTTCTCTGCTCCTCATTAATTTCAGGATGTGCAGTACGTAGACATCGACTACACATATGAGAAGCTTATGTTCACGTACAATAGGCAAGGTTTCCGTGATCTACCTGAACTTGTACAGGAGCTCCATGATATGGGGCAGAAATTGATCCTCATACTGGTACGGTACAATGTTCCTGAAATGTGTAATACAAAAAGTACTTAATTATGAAGTGATTAAAATTTTAAAAAGACCTGTGTGAATTTATTTATTTATTTATTTATTTAAAAACAATAATTTATAATTTTTGATAAATGATTTATTTTGCTATTTTCAAATTTTGAATAACAAAATGCAATTAGTGCAAAAATGTGATATGCATTTACATGTATCTGGTCACAACATCAGTGAACAAACTTACGTTCATGTGAATAGTTATATTGGGCCTAGGAACAGTTTGCTTGGGAGTGTGTATCAACATACTGATATTAAAATATTCTATAGTGACTACCCAAGTATTGATTGCTTTAATAATCAGTCCATTGGCCATTGAACCAGTAAATAAGTATAATCAATTAGTATCGTCCAAAATAAAAAAAAATGTTGTTTCCAGGACCCTGGTATTGGAACCAACCCAAATTTTACAACAACGGCTCCACCCAACAACTCCTACCCGCCTCTGGAGGACGGCAAACAAAAAGACATTTTCGTCAAAAATCCTAACAAAACCGGATATCTTGTTGGAGAGGTGGGTAACAAATATTACAGCTACACATACCAAAAACACGCAGTCATAAAAAACGTACACTACATCTCTCTCTCTCCTTCTCTCTCTCTCTCTCTCTCTCTCTCTCTCTCTCTCTCTCTGACCCAAACGCATACAAAGACAGAAAGCCACTCATGTAACATTTAAACAAAAATAGCTCTGAACAGTGTTATGCCAGGTGAAAAAATAGTTATTGTTACTCTCATGCCTATAGTTCCACACCGACAGGCAAAAATTTTGCGTACATCCATAGGAACAATCTAACCTCTGCATCTTTAGGTGTGGCCGGAGAGCGTCTATTATCCAGATTTCACTAAACCATCAACAAACAATTGGTGGCGACATTGGGTCCACGACTTCTTTTTTAACCAGAAAGTGGAGTACGACGCCTTGTGGGTGGTGAGTATCAACGAGGATCATTTCAAGTCGGATACCATTCAATATTAAATGAATGGAGAGGTAACCATTTATGGTAAAATAATCGATGGGAAGGTGTGGACTCTCTTTATTCCTACCCCTACCCCCTCCTATCACCGGCTTACTGCGCCTATCAGTGACTTAGTTGACAAAAATGGGGAGTAGAATAAAGGCCTCCTTTGCCTCTCGCTGACAACGACACCAGTTTTAACACTAACTAGCTTAATGAAAATTAGCGAGACTTGAAAATGAAGAGATTGAGATCTGACTTGATGTATTGTGTCAGCCAACGATTCTCCCACCTTATGTATCTATCATATTCCTTCAAGTGCACTTATGTTTAAAACATTTCATCTCCACGTCACATTTTAAGGACATGAATGAACCTGCAAACTTCCGGCCAGGATCCTTCAGTGGAGCGTGCGATGATAATAAATGGAACAGGCCTCCCTATATACCAAGTAGGTGAAAGGGTAGCTGACGACATTGTTAGACTTAAGTAATGTGACGGCACTTAAGCCCGTCCAACTAATCAAATACAATCACAACACTTCCTTTATACCTGTTTGAGTGATTCATTTAAATGGTAACTGATTGGCATAGTTAAAGGAATATACATATAAGGCGTTAAGGCACAGGATGATTATTTAGGGGGGAGGTTGAAATACTGTACGTTCCTATACTGTATATTATACTGTTTGATGGCAATATTTCATGTGTAAACTATTTAGATTTCATTTGTTTTTGCAAATTTCTTTCAATTTCTTTCCGGCAATTTCTTTCCGGCAAAATAATCTGTATATTAATTTTTTTTAATTTCGTTATTATATTTTTTCTAGGAATTCTTGATTATGACAAGGGTCACTTGTACACGAAGACGCTGTGTATGGACGCGGTTCACGACAACTGGGGGGACGAGACCATACATTATAACGTCCACTCTCTGTATGGCCATTCCATGGCTATGTCTTCTTACGAGTAAGTATGAGCCATCTTTACAAAGATAAGGTCGGTTTGTGATAGCCAAACAAAGTTGAAATAATCTCTGAAATTTATACAAAAACTTTGATTGATCGTTTTTAAAGACTTCAGAACTTCTTATTAGTTATTTTGGGCGCTGACATTCGTACTTTTCAGCACCAACCATAGTGCATAAATTACACCCTTAACGTCTCAACTACATCTATGTTTCTCATTTCAAAATTCTGGCACAATCTTTGTGGACTACTTTTTCAAAGCTGAAAACCTATTATTGTTACCTTTTATAATAAGAGTATGTATGTCTGGTTGGTTTGAAATACAATAATTCGAGCACATGTGCGGGGATAAAAATGTTGATTTGCTAAATTTACGCCTCTATGTTTATATACACTGTATTAGTAGCTTTAGCCTGACTAAATTTTGTAACAGTATTCATAGGATTCATATATTTATAAATGAATAACAACACGACAATCTTATGACTGAAATGCTGTGTGTTTTAGCGTTTTGCGCAAGCTAATCCCGTCAAAACGACCACTGGTCTTGACAAGGTCAACATTTGCTGGGACTGGGAAATATGCCGTTCACTGGCTAGGAGACAACGCAAGCCAATGGCCGCATCTCGCGTGGTCCATTCCAGGTACATGTTCCTTCTTATCACTGTAGTGACAGTTAGCGGTATATTACCCTCTTTGGGAGTCCATGACACTGCACAGATTCTGCTAAAATACTCTAAAATACTGCTAAAATACTGTTAAAATAGAGAGTATGTTTAATGTTTGTGGACATTAATTAATTAATTTAATTAGACGATCAACATAAAAGGGTAGACATATCTGTACTCAAAGTCTACTTCCTTAACCTATATAATAAATATGGATCTAAGTCGATACGTTGCACACGTGACCTATATTTTTGTAATTTTTGTATATTTCAGGCATGCTAGAATTTAACCTTTTTGGATTCCCATACGTAAGTTTGACATTAAAAGTTCACAAAACGCTTTCATTAACAAGCAGAGATTGTATCGCGCGCACAAATGGAGCAAGCTGATCTGTAAATCAGAATATTTTACATTAGTTAATTGTTTTATCTTATTAAATCTTTAATAAATTTACATAGGACTACAAAGAACTGTATGTGAGATTTAAGCACCAAAGATGCGTATGTCCTTGGTTTTATAAGCACAACTTTTTTCTCCAGTCTGTGTTAACCAAAAGAATCCCTGTGTGCATTGTATGTAATTTATTCCACGTAACACGTGGATTTTCAGCGTGAGTAGACAGGGTAGTTAATTGTTTCATTGCATGAAAATCGTACTGAAATGCCTTTCAGACATGTTTTAACATTAAAATAAAAGAAAGGAATATTCAAATATTTTTCGTTGTTTAAATATGCTCATCTACTGGTCAAAGTTTTTTAAGTGAGACACGTCCCATTACAAGGCAGAATCACCCACGGTTGTCCGTAGTTCACCTATTCACCTTCGTCCTGTTGGTCCCCGTCTAGGTGGGAGCAGACATCTGCGGGTTCTGGGGCGACACCACGGAGGAGCTGTGCACGCGGTGGATGCAGGTTGGAGCCTTCTATCCTTTCTCCAGAAACCACAATGCCCAGAACTACCCGCGAACCGATGGCTTTAAGGTAGGCTAACCGAAAGGGCCTTTTTTTTTACGTCGAACGGTATATTTTAGAGATAATATCTGTATGACAGACTTTGGCCCTGTTAACTACCAAGTTGAGCCGCAGCTCAAATGGCGCGCGTATTTGAAAGCATAACCACCCCAGATATGACCCGCGGCTTAGTTAGCCCGGCTCAACTTGGTTGTGAACAGATCATTTGAGAGATCGATAACTGGACAGTTCGCTTATTACGTAAGAAAGTCACCTAAATGGAGCCCCCTCTCGCCATGGTCAATCAATACACTTCTGCCCACAAAGTAGAAAACGTTCTTGTGAAAGCGAGTACAACCCCTTGTATTTACATGTTAGGACTATTAAAAGTGTAGCAATGCAGACTGTATCGGTAAAGTGAAAAGGACCAAAGGGTTACATGTTCCTACATATTAAAGAACGACTGAATTAGCGAAAAGTAAAGAAATTAAGTAAGGCTAGAATTAAAGAAGAATTAGTGAACAGGGATTTCGCTATCAAGCTGATTTAAAAAACGACAGTGTCTTTTCCGTCGGTAGGAGATTCCTTATAATTGGTACTCTTTCCATACATAAATCCCGTTTGTATTATCATATAAGCGTATAACACATAAACATAAACTCTCTTTATAATCGTAATGTGTAAGACATAAAGTAGAATTTTTGCTTTGATTTGTCTCATTTAAATTATTACTTTCCTTTTTTGGGGGGTGAAAGGGGTACCTCTCTGCGCTAGAGACAAATGACCCACTGCCCCCCCCCCCCCCCCCCCCCCCCCCCCCGTCTGCCCCCTGGGTCCGCCATTGCATCAAATGACATTTGTGAACAGAACACATCTAACAGAATGTCTTCGTGTATTCCTTAGGATCAAGACCCAGCGGTATTTGGAGAACCCCTGGTCTCTAGAGCACGTGACGTCCTCAACACGAGATATAAACTTCTGCCATACCTGTACACGTTGTTTCACTACGCCCACACTGAGGGATCCACTGTCGCCAGGCCTTTACTACACGAGTAAGTATGTACATACCTAGTGATACTGTGTGGCTACCCAGCAATATACAGAATTTTTATAAAGTAACTATAACTTTAACATTACAACATAAAAAAAAAAGTTATGGTCAAGTTATAAAAGGTTCTGTGTTTGCTGGGTAAAGATGTTATGTGGCCCTGGGGATATACGGTTTACTTGGTGTTAGGGGTGTCTTTCGGTGAAATGCCAGTACATTCTCTCGATATTTATGTCGAAATGAAATAATGCATCGCCAGCCTCTAGCAAATATCGCTCGTGTCGTGTGACAGCGCATTATCTCACACAGAATTATATCCGTGCCCTACATATAATAGTTCAATTAACTTCGTACGTTATTTGTATTTGTGTCGTATCGCTCGGCGAGAATAAATAAATAAATAAATAAATAAATAAATAAATAAATAAGCAATATGACCCCCCCCCCCCCCCAAATGGATTTTTCCTTTGCTATTCTTTCGAGAACTCCACGGTTTTTTTTATATTTCTAATGCATATCTGATATGTCTGTCTTGGAATTTTTTAATTTGAAATCCGTGAAAACGGGTCACTCCGCGTCAGGACTGCATTTATCTATTCATTCGTTGATTTTTATTCAACTATCCATCTAAATTTGATAAATGTGTATGTGCGAATCTTGTCCATCGAACACGCGTCTTCTTTGGCTGAATAAAGTTTTTTTTCTGCCACATATTGGACTTATGTACAGTTTAAACGGTACCGTAAGCTTTATCACCAGTGCTTATTTTGCCTTGTCTGAGGACAGTGCAACGATAACAAACGTTAATATTCTAGTTCCAACTTACATACCCCGTCAATCATATTCAAACATTCGGTGTTTTGATTGGCAGTTATGTAAACATACGTCAATCATAATCATACCGCAAAGGAACTTTTACCGCCAATGATTGAAAGGTGCCAATCAAATCCATCAAATATGACAGCTTGATTGGCGGTTTGGTAAACATACATCAATCATAATCACTCTGCAATGGATATTTTACCGCCCGTGATTGATAGGTGCCAATCAAAGCTGTCAAGTGTGAGTGGTTTGATTAACGCTTAATTAAGCAGACGTCAATCACAATCATCACACTGATGGTGAAGTACGCTGTAAGTACTTGTGATAAGATATCGGTAGCAATGTGGAAAGTGGCAGGATTAGAATATTTGGACAAAATGAAATCTCATTTATACACAGACTCTAATCCCACTTTCGGCATGAGTGACATATACATCAATTAACGTTAAATTGTAGCAACCAGATTTCGTTTGCCAGTTCTTGAACTTATGGTGGAGAAAGATCGCTGGCCAAGCGTCGCATATGAAAATTGTAAGTGCACATGCGGGAGCGTACAAACTTTGGAACATGTTCGGTATGACTGTCGACTATTCTAGGACAACCCCCCCCCCCCCCGCCCCCACACCCCAGGACAATTCACCCCGGACGAGCCCCCCCCCCCCCGAATAATCAGAATTAAGTTGACTATAAGTATACAGCAGTTTAACGTAAATTGACCGCGCAATCAGGAGATGGTATTGATTAATCAAATAAAATAACTTTAAACTATTACTGTTATTTGTGTCATGTACACGAACATCTAATTATAAGTAATTTGGCACAATTTCAGATTCCCAGGTGACCCTACAACGTATGACATAGACACACAGTTCATGTGGGGAGCCGCGTTCCTGATATCACCGGCTTTGAAAGAGGTAAGTCTTTAGTTGGAGTGAGACTTATAAGTAACCTTTCTGTTATAAAATAATAATAATAATAATACTATATGTTCGAAAGTTAAGAAAAATTATCGGAAAGGGGAGTTGCAGATGTACATGAAAGCAGGTTATTTGTGACGCTTATGTTACTCATCTAGCTGCTGACTGGAGGCAAAGTAAGGGATCTCTGATGGATAAGGAGAATGGATGAACTTGGTTAAGATGTTTTAATATTGGGGGTAATGCTGATCAACTTCCAAATTGTGAAGATAATTGATTATTGCCCACTATGTGAAAATGTGAGCTCTATAACATGGCCGATATATCAGCAAGTTTAACGATACTACTTGTTTTTTAGGGGAAATACCTTATTTTTGTAAAATTCCGAAGATTTTCGTTCTGATCGTAAAATGTATCTCTTTGCATTGGTAATAAAATGCTACCTTATTATTTCAATGCAGAAACAGGTTGAAGTGAAGGCCTACCTCCCGAAAGCCAGGTGGTACGACTATTTCACTGTGAGTACAATATCGTTTATTTAAAAAAAGCTAACATCTGCCTAACATCGACAGCGGCGTGTTTTCCACTGACAGATTACACATAAAATGAGAGAAAAGAAATTGCATTTGGTAGTTTACTAAAAATAGATGTTTGTTAACATTTTTGACTGCTTACATGTACATTTTTTTTCTTAAAACATTTTTGAGGTTGAGGAAAAGCTTTTGTCTCTACCAAAGGTTTGGTAAAGAAATGCACGCCCTATGAGCCTGCTGATAATTTCAACCAGAGGCCAAAATACTGAAAACCATACCCACAATAGCCTCAGATACGACGCTTATGCAGTTTATTCTAGATCAGTTTCAAATGGCTGTGTCCAATACTTTCAGGGACAGGAAATTTTTGGAACTGGACAACACGTGACACTCCGCACCCCTCTCGACCACATCAATCTCCATGTTCGGGGGGGCTACGTCATACCCTGGCAAGAACCGGCCAATACCACAGTGATCAGGTTAGGTATCGTAGTTATTATTATTATTATTATTATTATTATTATTATTATTATAAGGCCTTTGATAAATTCAAGAAAATCGTATTAATCCGTTCCGTCGTTTACTTACGTAGCGAGTATAGTTATTGGGTTAGGTAGAAATAGAATTAAGATATACTGTATACACTATTCAATTTCATCATTCTTTGATTTAGCTTCTCTATAAAGCAAGCAAAAAGGTGCGGAATGTNGTTGCCTCTCGCTGACAACCACACCAGATTTAACACTAACTAGCTTAATGAAAATTAGCGAGACTTGAAAATGAAGAGATTGAGATCTGACTTGATGTATTGTGTCAGCCAACGATTCTCCCACCTTATGTATAACCTTATAATCCATCATATTCCTTCAAGTGCACTTATGTTTAAAACATTTCATCTCCACGTCACATTTTAAGGACATGAATGAACCTGCAAACTTCCGGCCAGGATCCTTCAGTGGAGCGTGCGATGATAATAAATGGAACAGGCCTCCCTATATACCAAGTAGGTGAAAGGGTAGCTGACGACATTGTTAGACTTAAGTAATGTGACGGCACTTAAGCCCGTCCAACTAATCAAATACAATCACAACACTTCCTTTATACCTGTTTGAGTGATTCATTTAAATGGTAACTGATTGGCATAGTTAAAGGAATATACATATTAGGCGTTAAGGCACAGGATGATTTTTTAGGGGGGAGGTTGAAATACTGTACGTTCCTATACTGTATATAATACTGTTTGATGGCAATATTTCATGTGTAAACCATTTAGATTTCATTTGTTTTTGTAAATTTCCGGCAAAATAATCTGTATATTAATTTTTTTTTTATTTCGCTATTATATTTTTCTAGGAATTCTTGATTATGACAAGGGTCACTTGTACACGAAGACGCTGTGTATGGACGCGGTTCACGACAACTGGGGGGAAGAGACCATACATTATAACGTCCACTCTCTGTATGGCCATTCCATGGCTATGTCTTCTTACGAGTAAGTATGAGCCATCTTTACAAAGATAAGGTCGGCTTGTGATAGCCAAACAAGGTTGAAATAATCTCTGAAATTAATACAGAAACTTTGATTGATCGTTTTTAAAGACTTCAGAACTTCTTATTAGTTATTTTTGGCGCTGACATTCGTACTTTTCAGCACCAACCATAGTGCATAAATTACACCCTTAACGTCTCAACTACATCTATGTTTCTCATTTCAAAATTCTGGCACAATCTTTGTAGACTACTTTTTCAAAGCTGGAAATCTATTATTGTTACCTTTTATAATAAGATTACTGTATGTATGTCTGGTTGGTTTGAAATACAATAATTCAAGCACATGTACGAGGATGAAAATGTTGATTTGCTAAATTTACGCCTCTGTGTTTATATACACTGTCTTAGTAGCTTTAGCCTGACTAAATTTTGTAACATTATTTTTAGGATTCGTGTACATGTATTTATAAATGAATAGCAACACGACAATCTAATAACTGAAATGCTGTGTGTTTTAGCGTTTTGCGCAAGCTAGTCCCGTCAAAAAGACCACTGGTCTTGACAAGGTCAACATTTGCTGGGACTGGGAAATATGCCGTTCACTGGCTAGGAGACAATGCAAGCCAATGGCCGCATCTCGCGTGGTCCATTCCAGGTATATGTTCCTTCTTTTCACTGTAGTGACATTTAGCGGTATATTACCCTCATCTTTGGGAGTCCATGACACTGCACAGATTCTGCTAAAATACTCTCAAATACTGCTAAAATACTGTTAAAATAGAGAGTATGTTTAATGTTTGTGGACATTAATTAATTAATTTAATTAGACGATCAACATAAAAGGGTAGACATATCTGTACTCAAAGTCTACTTCCTTAACCTATATAATAAATATGGATCTAAGTCGATACGTTGCACACGTGACCTATATTTTTGTAATTTTTGTATATTTCAGGCATGCTAGAATTTAACCTTTTTGGATTCCCATACGTAAGTTTGACATTAAAAGTTCACAAAACGCTTTCATTAACAAGCAGAGATTGTATCGCGCGCACAAATGGAGCAAGCTGATCTGTAAATCAGAATATTTTACATTAGTTTATTGTTTTATCTTATTAAATCTTTAATAAATTTACATAGGACTACAAAGAACTGTATATGAGATTTAAGCACCAAAGATACGTATGTCCTTGGTTTTAAGCACAACTTTTTTTCTCCAGTCTGTGTTAACCAAAAGAATGCCTGTGTGCATTGTATGTAATTTATTCCACGTAACACGTGGATTTTCAGCGTGAGTAGACAGGGTAGTTAATTGTTTCATTGCATGAAAACCGTACTGAAATGCCTTTCAGACATGTTTTAACATTAAAATAAAGGAAAGGAATATTCAAATATATTTCGTTGTTTAAATATGCTCAACTATTGGTCAAAGTTTTTTAAGTGAGACGCGTCCCATTACAAGGCAGAATCACCCACGGTTGTCCGTAGTTCACCTATTCACCTTCGTCCTCTTGGTCCCCGTCTAGGTGGGAGCAGACATCTGCGGGTTCTGGGGCGACACCACGGAGGAGCTGTGCACGCGGTGGATGCAGGTTGGAGCCTTCTATCCTTTCTCCAGAAACCACAATGCCCAGAACTACCCGCGAACTGATGGCTTTAAGGTAGGCTAACCGAAAGGGCCTTTTTTTTTTACGTCGAACGGTATATTTTAGAGATAATATCTGTATGACAGACTTTGGTTCTGTTAACAACCAAGTTGAGCCGCAGCTCAAATGGCGCGCGTATTTGAAAGCATAACCACGCCAGATATGACCCGCGGCTTAGTTAGCCCGGCTCAACTTGGTTGTGAACAGATCATTTGAGAGATCGATAACTGGACAGTTCGCTTATTACATAAGAAAGTCACCTAAATGGAGCCCCCTCACGTGACATGGCCAACCAATCAATTCTGCCCACAAAGTAGTAAACGTTTTTGTGAAAGCGAGTACAGCCCCCTGTAATTGCATGTTAGGACCTACTGTAGCGGTAAAGTGAAAAGGACCAGAGGGTTATAGTCGAGTCGCCACTCCCATAGGCCCAATAGTCGAACCCTGCAATGTTCTTTCCTGTAAACTTTTTTCGCTGAAATGCATTCTTCAGGTTGAGAGAAGCAAAATTAGCTTGGTTGCTATTTCCGAGACCTTGAGCATTTTTCAATATGGCCGTCAATTTATGAGGAAAAATAGAAAAACGGCCAGAAGTCGCCGGGTAAACTTTATTGACAGCTTTTTTGAACGTGTATCCTATCTGGAGAGCCCAGCAGTACTAGTGAATACTCTTAAGCACGTACCACTTAGCAAAAAACCAAAATGGCCGTCAAAACATAAGGCAGAAAATAATAAAAGCTTCAGAATCAGTTTGTTTTTTGCATTTTTATTTTTATTAAAACCATATCCCCTTTTTATATTTATGTTAATTATACAATTTTGTTAGTCATGACCCGAAACTCTTGGAATAAGCTTATCTGACGGTTCAATAACCCCCAAGAGTCTGTTTGCTACTTTTCCGGGTCCCATAGTCAAATACTTAGAATGTTATTCCCTGAATTTTTTAAAAGAATTTAACACTTTGGGGGTATAAAAGCCAATTTAATTTGGGCTTTCTTGGCAGTGGCTAGATATGGAACATTGATCAATTTTCAAAATTCAAGATGGCTGTCAATAATATAAGAATATATTATAATATCATTATATTATAAATAAATGATTATGTAACATAGCAAAGAGTCGGGTTTAAAGTGCATGGTATTCCGCATTTCAAATGACCACTAAAACATGCCCCCAAAAAGGTAAAAAAGCAGTTAAATTACGTTTTAAACTGATAATTCGGCGTATAATAAGATATATCTAACCCTGTTATTTATTGAAAAAGTGTACTTGTAAGGTACAGTTATACTAAGACTCTATAAAAGAGGATCATTGATAGGACTGACCATTACGTAAGTTCTCCTTTTAATACAGAAAGTTTATCAAGGGCCAACAGGGGGTTCTGCAGGAATTTGGGCACAGGGAGTCCAAAATGTTAAACTGCAATTGGGACTCTTATATTTACATGGAGTCCAACCAAGTCTGTTGGTGGGGACAGGGGGTGGGAGGGGGGTGAGTGTAATTTAATTTAACTTTTGTCAAAATATTAACCTTTTTTTTTTCGTTTTTGTTTTTATATTGATCATACCTTAATATTTTGATTTTATATCTTTATCATAAGTTTTTCAGTATGTACATAAAATTTAGCTTTAAAACTTCCCATTCTTTTTATTGAGATTNTAGGGGGTGGGAGGGGGGGTGAGTGTAATTTAATTTAACTTTTGTCAAAATATTAACCTTTTTTTTTTTCGTTTTTGTTTTTATATTGATCATGCCTTAATATTTTGATTTTATATCTTTATCATAAGTTTTTCAGTATGTACATAAAATTTAGCTTTAAAACTTCCCATTCTTTTTATTGAGATTGGCACGTGTAAGAATATTTCATCAGTATATAACAGCATTTCTAGTTTTTCTTATTACAGCACTTTTTTCACTTTACATTTTAAAGAGTCAATAAGCAAAACATCTTACAAATCTTTTGGTTATATACTGACAGCCATTAAAATTTTTGAGGCCATATTTTTCAAAATAATTGTTATTTTGAAGCTCTAAACTGGATTATTTTCATATGAATCTTTTGTTTAGGACATTGGTATACAGAACCAAAAATCTTAAGTTTCATGAATAGTTTCAAAACAAAAATGGCACCAGCCCAACACAAAGTCACAACGGTCAATAGCCGGTACGATCTCCGCTTGCTTCGATGCAGGCGGCGATCTGTTGGCGCATGCTTGGGCAATCAATGTGGATGGGATGGTGTCGTGTGGAATCCTATTCCAGCCTTGTCGTAGTGCCTCGATCAGCTGCTGCCTTGGCCAATGGACGGCCAAGATACAAGATATATGTATTATCAGAAGTGTTCAATCGGATTCATATCCGGAAAATAGACAGGCCGGGGTAGGACATCCACCTTTGGGACTCCAGATACACTTGGATCATTTGTGCCGAATGTGAACGGGTCATGTCCTGTTGGGAAAAGGTGATATCAGTTTTCTGCTGCATGAACGAGGTTATGTGAGGTTGCAGGATCTGATCTATGTAGTGACGAGCAGTTACTGGCATGTTGCCATCAACATCGGTTGACCGCCAGCAAGCGTTGCTGCTCCGGTTGTTGTTCCTGCCGGGTGCTTCTTGTGCTGTAAGACTGGCATGGCGAAACTGGACCCGTAGCTGATACAACCTGGTTTAGCGATCCTGGTCTGGAGTTGACACTCTCTCGCCCTGGCTGCGGTATATCGCTAACAGAGCCTGGCATGTTGTGGTATTCAACCAGGTTCCTGATTGTGGGGTGGGAACAGCCCATACATTATAGCTCAAATCAGACTCCCCTCACACCCATTGCCCAGAGATGTACGTTGTTCACATGATAGACATGGCATGATTCCGTTCACTGGACTAACAACATCGGTGGCCTATTTTGGGCCTTTATAGGCCTCCAAAACCAATCCTCAAAATGTGCAGATGCCCACTTAGTATTGCTCAATGTGTATTTGGTCCATTTTTGCAAAGAAAAAAAAGCTTACCCATGTGCAATGAACCATGGCAACATGACAACTCATCATTATCTTAACTACCCGAGCACTACGTCATCAATAAATGCACAATGAATAATTACATCTACCCTACAAGTAGAAAAAAATGCATACATTACTCAAAGCTTCCATTATCTGTAAGTATATATTGGCAAAAACAACATTTCGAATACATGATGTCGATGGATAGCCGTCGCATATCCCCGTACTATGTCACGTTGTCCAGAATAGCTGACCTCATGGGCCCTAACCTCTGGGTTTGTATACCCCCGCTTGGATCTCGGTTATTTATAATAAAATTCATTGTTAAACAACAAAAATACCTTTACCCATAGCTGTTAAAATATTTAAAATGTTTACAAAAAAAGGATAAGAATAATCCAACCTGAAGAAAACGATTTGTCGCTTTTTTTATTGCAAAATGATTTAGTTTACACATACAAGAATGATAATACCTTTCATTAATTTTTTATTTAGAATGAAAAACTTGTTGTCAGGACTGAGATATCCGCAATCAATGTTTGGTTTGATCATAGAGCAGCATTGACGGACATATTGGTTTTCGTTTTTCGTATCATTTGACCTAAAAATATGTTTTATTGTGTGCTGTGTCTTGAACGAAGGTATATCTTTTTTCACTTTATATATGTATTTATATTTGTTCCAGTTAAAGTCTATTTCAGTTAAAAGCCTTGTAGTTTTACAGTTGTTTCTTTGCCCTTCCATTATGTTTTGGAGGCCATTTTTTATTAAAATAACTTGCAAAAATGAAATAAATGATCGCACTTTGCATGGATATAAATATAAATATGCAATGATGAGCAATGGAGTGAAGCATTATTTTTTTTATTTGAATGTATGGCTCTCGCTATTCACATAACAAATTGACGGCCATCTTGAATTTTGAAAAATTGTCAATATCTCGTACGTATCAACTGGCAAATAAAGTCAAGCTTATAAGCTTCTCTAAGTTTTGTAACCCAGATGAAACAATTTCTTTTAAAAAAGCTTGCAAGATATAACATAGCAAGCTTTGACTATGGGGCTCGTCGGAGTCGCAAATGGACTCTCAGGAGATGGTACCGTCTGCCACCATCTGATAAATGTCAAATAAGCAGTTTCTGAGAGTTTAGGATCATGACTAACAAATTGTCATAATGGACATAAATAGAAAAGGCGGAAATGTTTTTAATAAGACTTAATTTGCAAAAAACGAACTTATTTTGCAGCTGTTTTTACTTTCTGCCATATGTTTTGACGGCCATTTTGGCTTTTTTGCTATATGTAACGGGCTTAAGTGTATTCACTAGTACTGTTGTGCTCTCCTGATAGGATATACGTTCAAAAAAGCTGTCAATAAAGTTTACCCGGCGACTTCTGCTCGTTTTTCTACTTTTTCTCATAAATTGACGGCCATATTGAAAAATGCTCAAGGTCTAGGAAATAGCAACCAAACTAATTTTACTTCTCTCGACCTAAAGAATGCATTTCAGCGAAAAAATTTTACAGGAAAAAACATTGCAGGGTTAGCGTTCTGGCTACTAGACTATTACATGTTCCTACATATTAAAGAACGAATGAATTAGTGAAAAGTAAAGAAATTAATTAAGGCTAGAATTAAAGAAGAATTAGTGAACAGGAATTTCGCTATCAAGCTGATTTAAAAACGACAGTGTCTTTTCCGTCGGTAGAAGATTCCTTATTTTTTGTACTGTTTCCATACAAAAATTCCGTTTGTATTATCATATAAGCGTATAAAACATAAACATAAACTCCCTTTTAATCGTATGAACAATTTCATTGAAGTGTGTAAGACATTAAGTAGAATTTTTGCTTTGATTCGTCTCATTAAATTATTACTTTCCTTTTTTGGGGGGGGGGGGAGAAAAGGGTACCTCTGCGCTAGGGACAAATGGCCCACTGCCACCCCTCCCCCGATCTGCCCCTGGGTCCGCTATTGCATCAAATGGCATTTGTGAGCAGAATACATCTAACAGAATGTCTTTGTGTATTCCTTAGGATCAAGACCCAGCGGTATTTGGAGAACCCCTGGTCTCTAGAGCACGTGACGTCCTCAACACGAGATATAAACTTCTGCCGTACCTGTACACGTTGTTTCACTACGCCCACACTGAGGGCTCCACTGTCGCCAGGCCTTTACTACACGAGTAAGTATGTACATATCTAGAGAAACTATGTGACGACCCAGCAAATACAGAATTTTTATAACGTTACTATAACTTTGACATGACAAAAAAACGTTGTGGTAAAGTTATAAAAGGTTCTGTGTTCTGGGAAGAGATGTTATGTGGCCTTGGGGATACGGGGTTTACTCGGTGTTAGGGGCTTCCCTCGGTGAAATGCCAGTACATTAGTCTCGGTATTTATGTCGAAATGAAATAATACATCGCCAGCCTCTCGCATATCGCTCGTGTGACAGCGCATTATCTCATACAGAATTGTCTCCATGCCCTACATATAATAGTTCAATTATCTTCGTACGTTATTTGTATTTGTGTCGTATCGCTCGGCGAGAATAAATAAATAAATAAATGAGCAATGTGACCCCCCCCCCCCCATGTATTATTCCTTTGCTATTTTTTCGAGAACTCCGCGGGCTTTTTTTTTTTTTTTTTTAATATCTCTAATGCATATCTGATATGTCTTTCTTGGAATTTTTTAATTTGAAATCCGTGGAAACGGGTCACTCCGCGTCAGGACTGCATTTATCTATTCGTTTTTGCGAATCTTGTCCATCGAACGTTCGTCTTCCTTGGCTGAATAAAGTTTTTTTTTCGCCACATGTTGGACTTATGTACATTTTAAACGCCACCGTTTGTTTTATCACCCGTGCTTATTTTGCCTTGTGCGAGGACAGAGCAGCGATTATATAAAACGTTGATCTTCCTGAACGGGGAAAAAGTTTGAACGAGACTTTACATTTAAGGCCTTTGATATGGAAATATTTTTTCTAAATCCCTTCTAAAGGCAATCAAAGCCAAGTAATACCAATGTTGGAATATACTGAGGTATACGGAATGGGTCTAACTTATAAAAAACGAGAAAAGTATGATAGTTCCAACTTACATACCCCGTCAATCATATTCAAACATTTGGTGTTTTGATTGGCAGTTATGTAAACATACGTCAATCATAATCATACCGCAAAGGAACTTTTACCTCCGATGATTGAAGGGTGCCAATCAAATCCATCAAATATGACAGCTTGATTGACGGTTGTAAAAATACGTCAATAATAATCACTCCGCAATGGATATTTTACCTCCCGTAATTGATAGGTGCCAATCAATGCTGTCAAGTGTGAGTGGTTTGATTGACGCTTAATTAAGCAGACGTCAATCACAATCATCACACTGATGATGTAGTGATAAGATACCGCCACCAATGTGGAAAGGGGCAGGATTGGAATATTTGGACAAAAAAGAAATCTCATTTATACACAGACTCTAACCCCACTCTCGACATAATATATAAATGACATATGGATCAATCGACGTTAAATTATAGCAACCAGATTTCGTTTGTCTGTTCATGAACTGATGGTGGAAATAGGAAGTACACATGCGGGAGCGTACAAACTGTGGAAAATGTTCTATATGACTGTCTGCTCAGAGGAAATTGACTAATTTGGAGTTCAGATCAGTCACAGCTTTTGGGGGGCAAATAAATTGACTAATGATGTATGTAAATATTATTATCATCATCGTCATTCCTCTTCGTCCCATGTGGGACATAAGGCCACAAGTTTCTGTGGTTTCTGTAACAATTATTTGAACCGGGAGGGTTGTTGGTCCCCCGCGGTAGGTTTTATATCAGGGTTTTCCTTCCATTAGCCAGAGCCTCGTTAGCCTAGGCCCGCTAGGACCTAGTTTCCAGGGTGTGCCACGGGGAGGAGATGTTGGCTTGAGTGATCTACGGGTCACCGGCAAGCTACTTAATTTCACCTTTCGCCCTTATGGACTAGCCGGCCTTAACAACACTGGATGTGAAGCCAGGCGCCTGAACACCCCTGAACACCCCAAATATTATTATCACTTCATTTCAATTTTGACTGCTTGGCTTGCTGTTATTCTGAAAAGGAAAATAATGTTTTCTTTATTTAGTGTGCTTCTGCTCACAATTCATAATAAATAAAATATCTATCTTAAGGGTCTTCGCTCAATATGCTATGCGAACATGATTGTGACGCTTCTACAAAATCCATATAGAAACTTGCTAGATGAGACGTAAAAATGTGCGGATGATGTTGTTAATGCTGAATTACAAGCATCAGCTTTGTTACTGAATATGTCTTTAAATTAAGCCAATAAATTGTATTTTCAAGTAAACAGTCAATCAAATTTTCATAGTATTTCTATGTAATTTCATAGCATGTAATCATTGTAAAATGAAACGACATGACTACTGTATTGCTTTTTACCGATATGGTGAAAAGTACTGAAGCAACAGTTTCGATCAACCACCCCGACAAATTCCAATAATGGTAATTTTTCAATCACTCGTAACTGAAATCTGGATACGCCTGTTATTTAGACCTATTTATCGATTCTAGGACAACCTCCCCCCCCCCTCCCGCCTCCACACCCCGAATAATCAGAATTAAGTTGACTATAAGTATACAGCAGTTTAACGTAAATTGACAGCGCAATCAGGAGATGGTATTGATTAATCAAATAAAATAACTTAAAACTATTACTGTTATTTGTGTCATGTACACGAACATCTAATTATAAGTAATTTGGCACAATTTCAGATTCCCAGGTGACCCTACAACGTATGACATAGACACACAGTTCATGTGGGGAGCCGCGTTCCTGATATCACCGGCTTTGAAAGAGGTAAGTCTTTAGTTGGAGTGAGACTTATAAATAACCTTTCTGTTATAAAAAAAAAATAATAATAATAATACTATAGGTTCGAAACTTAAAGGGATAATAACTCTTCGTTTTGGCCAAAAAATGAATTTTCCTGGAGTAAACAACAATTTTCCCATACTTACCAATGGTTAATAAATTCATTTTTACATTCAGAGTTAGTACCTGTTTTTTTTCTAAAAAAAATGAATTTTCCTGGAGTAAACAACAATTTTCCCATACTTACCAATGGTTAATAAATTCATTTTTACATTCAGAGTTAGTACCTGTTTTTTTTCTAAAACGTTTGGTTTTTTGTTAAAATCTCTTAAGAGATTATAACAGAGTATAGTCATCAATGGGGATCACGTGATCTGAAGACAAGCTCAGATATCAGAATAATTGCTATAACTGCTGTTTTTGTCGTAAAACAGAACATATTATATTTCTATGAGTTATTTACAATGTTTTTATTGTGAAATATAGATCTCATACGAAGAGTTATTATCCCTTTAAGAAAAATATTAATGATCGGAAAAGGGGAGGTGCTCATGTACATGAAAGCAGGTTATTTGTCACGCCTATGTTACTCATCTAGCTGCTGACTGGAGGCAAAGTAAGGGATCTCTGATGGATAGGGAGAATGGATGAACTTGGTTAAGATGTTTTAATTTTGGGGCCGGGGTAACGCTGATCAACTTCCAAATTGTGAAGATGATTGATTATTGCCCACTATGAGAAAATGTGAGCTCTATAACATGGTCGATATATCAGCAAGTTTAACGATACTACTTGTTTTTTTAGGGGAAATACCTTATTTTTGTAAAATTCCGAAGATTTTCGTGCTGATCGTAAAATGTATCTCTTTGTATTGGTAATAAAATGCTACCTTATTATTTCAATGCAGAAACAGGTTGAAGTGAAGGCCTACCTCCCGAAAGCCAGGTGGTACGACTATTTCACTGTGAGTACAATATCGTTTATTTAAAAAAAGCTAACATCTGCCTAACATCGACAGCGGCATGTTTTCCACAGACAAATTACACATAAAATGAGAGAAAAGAAATTGCATTTGGTAGTTTACTAAAAATAGATGTTTGTTAACATTTTGACTGCTTACATGTACATTTTTTTCTTAAAACATTTTTGAGGCTGAGGAAAAGCTTTTGTCTCTACCAAAGGTTTGGTAAAGAAATGCACGCCCTATAAGCCTGCTGATAATTTCAACCAGAGGCCAAAATACTGAAAACCATACCCACAATAGCCTGAGATACGACGCTTATGCAGTTTATTCTAGATCAGTTTCAAATGGCTGTGTCCAATACTTTCAGGGACAGGAAATTTTAGGAACTGGACAACACGTGACACTCCGCACCCCTCTCGACCACATCAATCTCCATGTTCGGGGGGGCTACGTCATACCCTGGCAAGAACCGGCCAATACCACAGTGATCAGGTTAGGTATCGTAGTTATTATTATTATTATTATTATTATTATTATTATTATAAGGCCTTTGATAAATTCAAGAAAATCGTATTAATCCGTTCCGTCGTTTACTTACGTAGCGAGTATAGTTATTGGGTTAGGTAGAAATAGAATTAAGATATACTGTATACACTATTCAATTTCATCATTCTTTGATTTAGCTTCTCTATAAAGCAAGCAAAAAGGTGCGGAATATGCAAAAGCAATTCGTTTAACTAGTACTGAGTCAAACAGAATTATATTAATTTTCTCTTTTCAAATGGAAATGCGTGATGAGATAAACTAGTAGAGATACTTTTGTAAATCTTTCAAACTGCAGTCGTACAAAGCCAATGGGCCTCATAGTGGCAGTGGATGAACACAGCCAGGCCAGTGGGCAGCTCTTCTGGGACGATGGGGAATCGTACGGTGAGTAAACTGAGGAATCTCAGGTGTAACATATCGATATATTCATACAGCCCATTTTTGGTGCTCTACATGTACATTCTTGTCAGACGCGTTGAAAGCACATTTTACTAGTCATTTAGAAAAGAAAGATGGTGAGTCTCTCTCTCTTTCTCTCTCTGTGAGTGTGCGGGGCGGGGGGCATTCATAAAGCTCCCTCCCCCAACCGCCGCCGGGTCTTTTGAAAAAGGCATGGGAAACATGGGGTAACCATTAATCTACCAAAGAGGGTGGACATTCTCCTTAACTCTCACTCTGCTTCCCGCAGTTTCTTTTTTGTAACTCCTTGTTAGCATTTGGCTTGGTTTCTTTGTCTATGATCTCACTCTCATTCATTTCAGTTTTTATTGCGTCATTTCTGTTTCAGAAACCTACCAGAACGGCAATTATCTGCTGGTCAACTTCACAGTCACGGTAAGGATTAAACCCAAAGAATTCATGTATCTCAGAAATCACTCAAAAATTAATTAGAATGCGTGGATGGTATCAAGTGTGAGCCCTTACCTTGCACCATGCCCTTATATTAAATGATTGACAGTGGATGGACACTTCCCATCCTAGATTATTGCTATGGTCAATTGAAATAATGGAACAAGCTTTTGCTCTCCACTGATGCATGGTTCAGGCTTCTGTCAAAGACGAGTCATATTAAAACGCACATATTTCCACCTTGACCACTCGTCAGTAGGAAACCTGGTGCCAGTTTCACAAGAGAACTTCGACCGAAATGTGGTCGAAACTTTATATTAAGATCAATTTTCAGTTTACTTTGATCATAATACTTCATTTGTACTCCAATTCAGTGAATTTTCTCACTTGTTTTAGAACAAAAACAAAAATATTGGGTAAGTTTTAGCACCAGCACTCACGTTATTTTAGCAAATTACGATGGAAATATCTTGAACTTAAGTAGGCCAGGGCTGCTCGTTGCGAATAGCGATATCACATAGAGGCTACAATGTATTATATGGGACAAGTATGGGCGAGCTATAGAATCAAGACGCTTGTGCTCTCTAGTTACCGGACCCAGGTTTTTTATCTAAAAGTTTACACCAAGATGCCATCAATCCTATTTTGTGGAACCTGTCGCAGACGCTTTCTTACTTACAGTGTATAATAACACGATTGCTTTTTGGACGTTTAGGGAAGCACGCTCTCTATCGCCCCCGTGCACAGTAATACATCAGCCAGCGCCGGACTGGTCTTTGATACTGTGGAAATTTACGGCTTGAGGAACGAGCCGACATTCATGGTGAATGGAGCACCAAAGAGTACAGGAGTGGAGTGGAGCAGCAGTTACAAGGTAGGGTCATATGCTTACTTCCCTTTTCTCCCCTCCCCTCCCTTCTCTCTCCCATATCAGTTATATGCATGGTCTTTATTTAAATCCTATTTCTTTAATGTGAAAACTGTTTCATAAAACAAAAGACTGCGTATTGGCGGTTGAGGTACAGACCTACGCTACACATGTCACACGATGTAGAGTGAACATTCCATTATTGAATAACGGTAACAAAATTGCTGTGTTATTGGGTGATTTATATCCGGCGAATAATAATTGAAAGAAAAAACGTCCTTTGGATTTAAATTACGAAATTTTCAATCATCATTCAGTGGAAATTCTCTTTTTACAATTTCATGTTATTGTCTAAGGCACATAGACGAATGAGAATTAATTTAAAAATTGAGATTAAAGTTTGGGGAATCCGCCCGATTTAAAAAGACTCCCAGAGACAAATATAGAATGATAACATCTTTAAAGAGTAATGTCCATTTATTGCAGGTGGCCCGACTGAAGAGCCTTAATCTCCCAATAGAAACAGAACACAACATCCGATGGACTATATTTTAGAACAAATAAGCATAATATAGTGATGTGAATAACGCTCTACAAAAATAAACTTTTTTAAGAAACGGAAAAACCCGCATTTCAAGCGCAGTCTACTTATTGATGTATTTTTGCACAAAAAATTATGTATATACTCTAAATGTTTTATCATTTTTTTAACAGAAATTTTAATGAATTTCAGAATTTTAGGGGGAAAAGCGTATTGCTTCTCGTACAATCACGTTAATCAGTAAGCTTCTATTCAGTTTGCACTCTACCGACAAAATAATAATAATATCCATTCGTATGTGTCGCATTCCATTAAATATTAATATGCCATTAAATTAATTGCAAATGTATAGACTGTTGTTTCTTGTTTGTAGTTCTGACCAGTAATATGCGAGTATTGCTCATTCGCCTCAGTGAACTTGTCTATTTACAAACATTTGAATAAGTATTTTAAACAGGAAGTATATTTTAAATGTGGCACCATGGTCGTTAACACAACGTACTAAACAACTCCACAAGTACGAATGTTGGTCCTATCTAAACTGTTCTTAATACCTAGAAGAAAAGTTCATTGGATCGCACCTTTGGAACACGTGCGTTAATGTATTGGTTCAGAGGACATACAGATTTTGTGCCCAGCTTTCCGCAGAGTCGGAACTGTTTTTCTTTTCGCTATACCATAACATTTTCAGCGTTTGTATTTTGTCACAAGCACTTAATAAGTAATTCAATACGCAATGGTCTTAAAGAAATTACACTGAAAATGTGTTCACTTTATTTTTTTAGTAAATAAAAAGTTGAAAAGAATTAAACAAAAACATTTGAAAGGCATTTTCCATTATAGATAAATATATTAAAATATCCATTTAAAAAAGCCCCATCACTATTGGTTTATTGAGAAGTGCACAAGAATTGTTACTTGTAGACTAATGCCTAACATATAAATTATTACTTCCAAAACCAACTTTCTGCATCTCGCCGTGCAAATGGTTTACGACACACTACCCGCAAGCTGTCGTCAATCTCATACTTTTTTTTAAAAAAAAGCACCTTATTACAATATAACGACGAGCATTCCATTTCGCAAATTCTACGCTGACATCTAACATTATTCTCAACTATAAAATTAAACATACTGAATTATAAATGTGTGATTCCAAAATACAGCAGAAAAACGACTGAAAAAATCCATCACAAGCTGGCATAACCTCGCACCTTCCTACTAACTTACAACTCTACTGACTAGCAATGTATCAATGCAACAAGAATCAATGCAGACGTACAAATTTAACAATCAACATGAGATCAAGTGTTAACCTTTCCTTTCCTACCCTTTAACATAAACACACTTCATTCAAAAAATAACATGGTGCATCTGACAGAGTGATGTGCAAGTCATCCGCTTGTAACAATAAAATTTGACTTTGGCCAACATGAAAGTCGGTCACTAGATCTTTACAGATCCCTTAATGTGCAATAAAACGAAACCTCAAATATTACCCGTTTGCTGTACACCACTTAGTTATTACAATTTATAATGGGTACAAATATAACAATCAATACCAATTACAGAAAAATATTACTGAGCTTACGGCCATATTCTCAGGAGGAGAGAAAATCATTTAAGGGCTGACAAATCTTCATAGATTCAAAATTCCACAATAAATCAAACAAAAATGTAATGAATTGCATTTTACCAAAGTGGCGGTTAACCGTAAATCTGGGTATCGCAACAAAACGAACCGCCAGTGATGGCTACCCTCCGTAATAATCTCTTAAGAGTTTATTACAAAAAAAATTCTTTAAAAAGCCGTAGCTTCGAATGTTAGGATGGATTCATTAGCCATTGGCAAGTGTGGGAAAATTCGTTTTATGGCACTTGTCCCGCTAAATGAAGAATTGTCGTCCCTTTAAACTATTTTTATGAGGCTTGATGAAACTTTTTCGCGTTTCTCCGAGGGCGATCATTGTTCGGATATTGTGTAGTCGTTAACGTTCATCCGAACAACAAACAAGATATAAATTTGTTCTCAACCGTTTTTCTTTTCATATTGGATTTATCCCATAATTCAAACATCAATTAACATATTGTCATTGTATCAATTATCAAATACATTTGCATGTACAAAGGAAGCTCACAGTGGTGTGCAAAAATATACAACGAAATAAAGTCATTAACCATGGGTAAAGGTCTGTGTATTGGACTACCTTAACAAAAGCTATACAGGAAAATATACCAGTCTTAAATATCCTTCAAAAAAGGGGAGGGAGAGCACGCACAGGTTTTTTTTGTCCAAGGATTGTTATTAGTCCATATGCACACAGAAATATCGGAGTCAATCTTGCAATTGTGTTTCAACAAGATAAACAATCACAAATGAGCAGTAATTTCAACACATTGAAAAGACCCGTCACTTCCAATGCACAGCACTGGCCTCATGGGGCCTTGAGGACCGTCCCTGTAACTGCTACTGTTCATCAGATCTTTAAATCACGTAATGAAATCTGTTAACTATCGAACAGTGCAACTTTTTTTACATTCTACCATTCAAAAGGCCAACCCCTATAATTCCTGAACTGAATATTATTTCGAAAAAAAAGACTTCTTTCATTCAGAACGCTTGTTAATGTATATAAAAATAGATTCAGGGAAAAAATAATACAAAAAATAATATCTGCCGACCACATAAAACTTTTAAAATCTCATAATTACAACTGACCACAGTTCACACTTTCATAACGTGTGCTCCTATACCATCAAAATTCTATCTCAAACAATAGCTAATATTGTCTGGGGAGAGAAAACATTCTGCTTCCCTATAGATATGTACACATGGTTTCGTCCGTTTTAAAAGCGCTACACGTAATGTCAGTTCTGCTATTTTTACCACACCTGCACTGTCAGGTATCTATATCCTCCTTCACTGTTTAATGGAAAGAAAATCGTGCATTCTGTAACTACACTGGTTTCTTCCTAACCCTACTTTTGCGGTCATTGGAACGCGTGTGAGTGGAGACGGGGCTAAACACGGGCGTGGAGCCCTTCCGTCGCTCTCTAAACTTATACTCATCCCCTGATCCATGTGATCGGTGAAAAGTCGTATTCAGCCTGGCCTCGTATTCAAACTGCTTCTGGAGCTTCAGCGCGAAGGTGAAGTCGTCATCTTCGACTGTGGTAGCAGTCCCTACCTCGTCACTCTCGTACTCGTCTTCCTCAATGAGCATTCCCTCCTCACCTTTGCCCTTCATCCCCCACTGCTGACTTTCGGAATGTGAAGTAAGTTTACTCTTCGAGTTGACTGCCTTGGAACCGTGGCGAAGTTTCTGAGTGTACGGCTGAATTGGTGTAGACGAACTGCTTTCATGTGGATTATCTTTGTCTACGCTTCGTAAAGCCCTGTTCTTTTGTACCCGTCTATTTCTCTTTGTTTGACTGGTTAATCTTTTCGAGGCGACCTCAGTACCCTTTGTTAAACCAAACACCAATTTTCTTTTCTTGTTTGGTGTCACAAAATCATCGTCCGTGCTGGTTTCAACTTGCTCGCTAATAAACATCAACTTTGACTGCGTTGAATCCGACTGCTTACCCTTTCTTTTCATAGTTTCTTTCCTTTTGTTTGAATGAGATGAATTTTTTTTACTGGCAGATTTTGGAAATGAAATCTCAGAATCCGTAGAGGAATGATAGTCGGACTCAGAATCTGTTTTTGTGTTGTGTTTTAATGTTCGTCCAGAAAAAGCATCCTTGGAGTTTGTAACTTCCACAGAGCTGCTTTTTCGAAGTCTTTTCGCAAAAGAAAGTTTTGCTTCATCTTTAAGTGGACTGCCTTCCCGTTTACTAGGAGTAACCTCTCCACCTCGTGACCTCATTTTGGACTGACTGCTAAATGGCTTTATACTATCACTTTTCCCTCTTTGAGACACAGTCCTGGACTTGGGAGTTTTTTCGGCGTCAGATCTCTCGATTCTGCTATTGGTGTCCGTTTTACTCTGGAAATCAGCGTCTCCTTTTCCTGTACTTGTTGACTCTGACCCCAGTGTGGTTCTCTTCAGTTTGCTTGGTGACATCTCAGCACTGGTTTTTGTCCTAGATGTTATTTTGGATCTCCCTGGAGTTACCTCCTGCTGTCTGGACCTAGCTGACCTCATGCTAGGTGGTACGAGGGGATGGTCTTCGCCATTTTCTGTGTCTGAATGAGTTGAAGCTGCATCGGTTTTACTTGGAGTGGAGTCAACATTCCTGGAACGCAGGCTCCGCATATTTGGAGCAGCTATATGTTGATCCTCTTCATCCTCTACATGATCTGCCTCTGATTCACTGAAATTGTCTGACAGGAATTTGCCTCGCTTCCTTAAATTTCTAAATGGAGGTACATCAGCTGCTACAGGCCTACTGACATCAGATGCATCTGGTTTTGTTGGTGTTGTCTCCTGTGTTTGTAATCTCATGGATACTTTTCTGTCACTCTGTGGTTTGCACCTTAAATTTCTATCACACTGACCAATTTTATTAGGGGATGTTTCAGAAGTTTTCTTGCTTGGTGTCACTTCACGTGCAGCTGGTCTCTTTCGACTCGAGGTTTTCCTGCTACTGGAGCTAGATGCTTTGTTTTTTGGAGATGCCTCTTCAGCAGTTGCCTTGTCTCTATCTCTACAACTTTTCTTGTGCGGTGTACTTTCATTTTGTTTGTTAGGACTTCTGACAGCAGATCCCTCTTTGGCACTAGTCTTTCTTTTATTGCTGTCATTCTTGGTCACCTGTGATACATATTCTGATGTAACATCCCTGTGACTTTGGTGTGTAGATCTCAATTCCTTATGTGAGGAAGATTCACATTTTGTTTGTCCACTGTCTAAGAGACTAGTCTCAGCTAGGCTAACATGTGACAAAACACCATCATTGGCACCACTGTCTTCACCACCACCAGACAGTTCAGAAGATATTTTAATTTGGTGCCTTCTTTCATGGGAAGCTTTCTTCTCTGTTGTAGATCTCAAACTGTGACGTTCATCCTCCTCCTCCTCCTCCTCCTCCTCATTAGAACCAAAGACTCTCTTCCTCACTACTGCCACCCCAGTTACATGATCAGCATCCTGCTTCATAGCCAGTGCCCTCTGTCTCTGGGCAATCTTCCTTGGCGTCAGCGGAGTGGTGACCACTTTGGGAATCTTAGTTCCGTTGCTGGATTCAGTTCCGCTGGCTGCCAGTAAAGATGCTTTCTGATCACTAAGAGATTTGATTTTCATTTCTGTCTGGGGGTTTTTACTTGATAAAGCATCCTCTTTCTCGGTATGAAGGGGTCTTCTGGTGAGAGATACTGGTTCATCGTTTATTTCTCCTAACTTCAAGTCCCTTGCCTTCTCAAGTTTTTTATTCGCTAAACTTCTATTCATCCGGTACACTTTGCCTGGGCTTAATTTGACCAAGGTGGAACTACTACTGCTTCCACCTTGTGGGGATTTCTTTTGTTGAATAGCACCATCGCCACGGAACTTCTCCAGTCTGTGTTTTCCTGCTAACTGAGCTGCTACTGGGCTGCCAGGGCAGACAGGCCTTAGGGTACTGCTGGCCATCTGTAAACCTTTCTGAGGTACTGAGAAATTGTGATTTTTATCCATAGAAGACGAGTCCTGTTTCAACAAACTGTGCTCATTGTTTTTATCTTTATTTTGACCACCTAACTGCTTATGTAATGCCCTTTTACTGTCAACATTTGTCAAGGGGTCCCTTTGGGACACAGTCTCCTGAGCTTCCACCACTGAGTCATTAGCAATGCCTAGAATTGACCCACTTTCTCCCAGGCCATGTGGTACTATGAAATTATCCTGGTCATGGAGGACATCGAAATTTGTCACAAGTGGTAAAAGAGTTCGAGACCCAGAGTTACTGGTTGTTAAGTCAATAAGTGTGTTGTCACCATGTACCAAACTCTCTTGTTGAGACAGGTCAAAGTTGATGGCTCTGACTGCTGTCTGGAGCTCACCCTTCCCATCCCCACTTGCAGCAAGTGTCGTGGCAGCTGCAGATGAACTGGATGCTGCACATGGAGCATCTCTTTTAGAACACAGAGCCCTGAGGGTTGTAGTAGCAACAGTGGCTACTGTAGTCACAGCACTACCCTCTACAGCTGGCTCTGCCTTCGCCATGTTAACAGTTTCAGAGGAAGTTTCTCTCTGGTGTCGCCACTTCCTGTGCCTGTGGTCTATCATCTTGGTCGGGCTGGAGTAACTGTGCTCCTTATTTATCCTAGAACTTGATATCTCTGTGGAAGTGGCTTTGGACAAAGCTTGCACCTGAATAATAAAATATCATGATTGTTATTTCTCTGACCAAACCATACAGTATTACCTCTGCTTGTATAATAACAAAAATAATATCTATTCATTTATTTAAAACTGCAATATACAATGACATGCCTTTTAGTGCTGTTAACATTAAGTTTTAAAAGAATTCAAGTCCTTTAATAACAGATTTCAGATTAAATAACAGTCTAAAACCAATAAATGTTAATGATATAAAATATTAAGACATGAATAAAAAGCTGTAAAAGGTGAATTTTATGTTAACAGTAAAATGTAAAATCTATTGTACTACTGTTGAAATCGTCATTCTTTCAGATCTTTCTTTAAAACTGTCAGCTTGCTAAATGTATTTGCATTCATACACTAGGACTAATGGAGCATATTACTATCTGATGAACAAGTTACAAAAACTCCCTTACATCACATCAAACTACAGGTAATCTTAGACTTCTACAGACCTGTGCTTGTCTCTCCTCTGCCAGTCTCTGTAGTCTTTTCTTCACTATGGGACTAGTGGGGTCCATAATACTCTGATCTCCATTCTCAGTGGGTGAACCCATACTGCCAGCACGACTCAGATTACGTGGGGAGCAAACTATCACAGATGGTTCTATCACCTGAAACATGAAAACATCATTCACCTATTAGTATCAATGGGATAGTCATAATCTGAAGTTAACTCAAATCTCGATTAACTCTAGTACTAATATAATTGCTGTAAAACTAAATAGGGATTAAAATTAGAAGAGATATCCTTTTAATCTTTGCTCTCAACTCCTAGGTGGGGTGCGTGGATGAGTTAGATGTGGGTCCCATTTTTTGGACCAGATCACCTTTATTTTGTAAATCAAATTACCTTTCCACCAGGTAATCTCCTGGGTGGGGTGCGTGGATACCCATGGATGGGTTTGAAGTGGGTAAGTTCATGGCTTATACTGTCTTCACTCTGGGCACTGGCACTGCGTTTGGCCTGAAGATAATCAACAAGTATGTTAGTATCATAAGGTAAACCAGGACAAGATTCTTTACATAATTACTTCACATAACAACTACAGTCCCACAGTATGTACTCAGGTAAGAAAGAAAGAGAGAGAGAGAGAGAGAGAGAAGAGAGATAGTGTGTGTGTGTGTGTATGTGTGTGTGTGTGTGTGTGTTATTAAACACCTTCCCCTTCGTTTTTCTTTTTTTTTTTTAAATATGGGTTAATAATGCAATAGCTACCTGACCTACATATGGGTTAACATAGTGAAATATATGTCACAAACACCGAACTACTTTGTTGTGGCTGACAACTCATGAAATTTTTTCCATTCATATACACTTTAAGCCAGTTTTATTCTTGAATATGAGACTTTATACACACAAGACTTTCACCTCTTCATTCATAACTAGTTATTACTCATCTGCGTCCTGCATTCCACTACTGGACAGTGACACTGTAAATTCACAAATTTAACTGAGGTGACCATCAATTGTGTGAGCTTTACACAATGTAAAAGAAAAAGAAGTGACAAAATCGTGTATAACTTTAATGTTTAGAAATAAGCTAGATAAATATGCATACCCCTTTGCTTCCTTCTTCTCCTGAAGAAGCCCTGGCCATCTCCCTCAGCAGTTCATCAGATTCACTCATGGAACGTCCTGGGTGACTGCCGCCTTGACCTGGATCTGCTGTGGCAGTGGAATAAAAGAACAACTTTCAGTAACTTCAGTGTGGGCACCATCTAAATTATATATGCAAAGATAAAATCCTGCACTAAGCATCTAAGAGCAGCCTTGTACTTGGCTGAAAAATTGTATCTGCGTGTTCAAGGTAAGGTAAGATTGTCAACACAGATTGTACTGACCAGGTGTTTGTTATATATGTAATGCATATAATTATTAAGGCTACTGAACATATGTATAGAGAATTTAGACTTAAAATACATATATTATATAATATTATATTATTATTAAGAGTTTCAATTCTATAGATTACTTATCACTTCCACAACCAACCTGTCAGATATAAGTGTGTTAAACTAAGAGGCAAAAATAATAGACAAAACTATGAAGTACTCTTTCCTATAATAATACCATACTAGTACTCCTCTCTTTCTATTTAGTTTAACAGACCATTTCAGTTTTCTATTCTTTCAGACAAATCTAATACCTTCACCATGTTTCTTTAAACCTGTGGAGCCCTTAAAGCCTTTCTGTGCTGCATCCATCTTCTTTCTCATTTCTGGCTTCACAACAACTTTGACAATCCTGATACTGTCCCCCAGTCCAGTACCCTCGGGGACAGAATTCTCCAGGAGGCCACTTTTGGGGAGACCTTCCTCAAGGCCCATTCCTCTTGGGGACTTTCCAACTGACATCCCCTTAGAGGCCTCCTGGTCAGTCTTAATCCTCCGTGGTGGGGCCCCGTGTCCAGCTGTCCCTCTGGGAGTCCCCTGTCCAGCCACTGACCCTACCCCACTGGCCGTGCTCAAAGTCAATATAGAGTCAGTGCTGCTGTTACTGAGGCCAGATGCTGACCGAGGGAGAGAGAAACAGGTGTCCAGGTTGAGATGCAGATCACCTGCTGTAAGTAATCTCTCCCCTGGCTTGTCCTCAGGATTGATGCATGCGTATGGATAGGCGTCCACATTCGAGGATTTGTCTTTATTTTTGCTGTCATCTCCACTGCTTTTATTACTTCCCTTCGTTAAAAACCTGTCAAGGGTGTGTGAAGAGTTCTTGTTGTGTTTTTTGGAGCTTTTGGATGCATTTTTGGGTGTCCCAGACCTGGATGAGTTGGAAGAGTGGCTGCGTGTTGACTGACGACTGCCAGAGATGTGACGAAGGAGGCTGTTGACTTGTGGGGTGTCCAACTGTTCCTGGAAGAAAATAAATTTAAATTATTAACTTATTTACAAAGAAAGACATAAAGACTTTTCCTAAAGATTCAATTATTATCATCTTTTTCAATTTGTTAATAAAGATCAATGAATGTTGAAAATAATTTCAAAGCTGCTAATAAATATCAAGTAAATTGATGAAAAAATTAATAAGTGAGAAAAATTTATAAACACTAACAAATTTTAAAAAATTATACCTAATAATCAAACTTAGTAATAAAGTAATATCATACATGTTGAATTTTTTCACTGAGCTGTTTGGCCAGCTCTTCATCGTGACTTGCCAGCCTTTCTCTCTCCCTCTTCCTCTCCTCTGCCTGTCTCTTCTCCTCCTCTAATATCTTCTGGATAATGGACTGGCTGGCCTGTTCTTCTTCCTCTGCTGCGCGGACACGCTCTGCTTCAAGCTGAAACACAAAATACCATTGAAGTTACAGTGCCAGATATACACTTTGGTCCAGTTTTCCATCCATGCCAATAATAATTCAGTCTGTGCCATAAACTATTCAGCTCACTGGCCATTCGGACCACCACTTTCCTAAAACCTACTGGTCAAAATCAGGATTCACTGGTCCACATAAAATTTTCAATAAGATTGGACATTTTTGACAATTGCATTAATATTAATAATAACAAGATGCCTATATGTAACAGTAATTTTTAAGAAAAGACAAAATGAAGTTGAAAGCTAACATGAAATAAAAATCTAATGGCAATGTGGGACCACTAGGTTCACATATCCTGTAAAATTTACTGATCCAAACAAAATTTAAGTGGCCACAAATGTAGGACCAGTGGCTTGCGCTGTTTATATAATATAATATAAAATATGGATTTTACTGGCCTAAAAGGGCAACTTAATACATTGCCTATGTCTAAATGTGGCACAAGTACATCAAATAAACTTGCTAGAGTTCTTTATTTTTCCACTTTAACCAAGGGTTGATATTTGCCAGCAAGACATAATCTGGTCAGCCTGTTCTAGCATAGGTCAGCAGATTTTAAAGCTGGATGTATTGTTTCAATTCTCAATAACCTTAACCCTCACTGCTGAGATAATTACCATAATACTGAATAATAGGAAGAAGAACACAATTTTCATCTAAAGAACAGTTTTTGTACTTGGTTTTCGTAATAATACCAATGACTACAACAACAACAATAATTAAAAAATTATAATAATATAGCAATTTGTTTCAGAACCTACCTTTTTCATCTCCTCCTCATACTCCTTCCTGATCTCCCCCGGCTGGGCTAGGTGTAGGGGGACGGCGGTGTTGGCCAGGTAATCTACAACAAAATAACCACTATAATTCATTTTACTAGTAAAGAGATGTTTTCAAATCTCTCCACAGCAAGTTATGTGTCATCATATGATAATCCCATGACACCTCAATCTGTGCTCTTGGATCAGTCAAATGTGTTGTACTAGTAAGCAAATAATAAAAATTAAAGTGTGGCCATAAATGCTCTTATCTTCATCGTGTCTAGATCAGTTTTCAAATATGAAAGAAATCTTGCATAAAGCAAACAGTAAAAAGATAAATAAAGTTGGTCTGATAATGGAGCTCATCCCCAACTTGAACATGCTTAGGCCTGAGCATGCCAACAATAACAACAACACAATTGGACTTCTGCCAATTCTCACCTGCACAATTCAGGTTAAAACCAAACTTTATTAATGAAGTATACTTCTAAAATGTACGTTTTGAAATAATAACTCCTCTGCAAAAATACTGAAAATATTATTTTCAATAACAGTGTATTCTGATAGATGTAATGATTCCAATAACAAATAATACTAATAAAAAATAAGTATGTACACAGGATTCAGATGGGAAGCACATTGGGGGGGGGGGGGGGGGGCATAAACAGGGGTGTTGTAAACATGTTTACAATCAGTTCAGCCGAATTCTAAGATTTGATGCTTTCTAAATTCTTTAAATTTTAACTTGAAATTCGTTAAAACATATACCTATTATATCCAGGATAAATTACATATTAACAGGAAGTACGATAAATCTGAGTTCCATTAATATCTTTTTCACGCACAGCTGTTTAATGCATATTTGCAATCAGTTATATATTAACTACGAATTCCTTTTAATTGTATGGGACTTAAATCGGAATTATCACAAACAGATTGCAATAACTAGATTCATGCCCAAGCAGGAATAAACGTACCCCCCCTCCCCCTTCACACTCCATTACAAGTGACCGCTTACCATCTTCATTATCCTCCCCTTCCAGGCGTTTTTCAACTTGCTTGGGGAACAGTCTCTGTATTTGTCTCCATCGTTTCTCGTTGACAAGCCGATTATGCCGTGCCGCTTTGCGGGCCCAGCTGGAAATTCGTAGACGGCACATCGGACAAGTCAGGCTGGTTTCTTGGACGTTTTCCTGAAAACAGACCATGCATAATTCGTGACCGCAAGGCATAGTGATAGGTCTGATCAAAATATCCAAGCATATCGGACAGACGCAGTCCTCAAAGCTTGTTTTGTCGTTTTTCTGCGAAGAATCTGGCCCGGAACCGCCAGACGATTTTAAACCTGACGCCATTTTGAAACCTGGGCAATTTTGCTCCATCTGCGCAAGATTTTGTGCATTGTCTTTCATAGGGTAATGGTATCATGTTTAACTTTTTAAAGTTTATTAGTAATATAGTTTTGAATATTAATTAAATTGCAAGGTATTTAAAATTTGAGTATACTAATGATGTTTAATATCTACTTATTATTCACATTAAAGTAGATTTTCTTGAAAAAATAAGTATAATATCCTAAACCGGAAGTGAAGTCCATTTCCCTGTGAGCAAGGTTGACAGCTGCCACAACAAATGAACGTGGATGTGGCATTTTTTATGCGGTAATGTATTTTCTTATTTTCACTTATTATTGAATTCATTAAAATTTTTAGATTTGAGGCCTATTTAGAAAAACGCCAGGACAGATCAATTTAATGGCAAGACTACTGTGTAAATATTGTGAACTATCCGTCTGAGCTAGAGCTGCTGTAATCCCATAAAAATTAAAATATACAGTGAGTCGTTTACAACTACCACTAGTACCCGAGTACTGTACCGGTAGAAATCATGAAAATGGATCACAATTTTCTTTACTCGCAAAGAAGTATCATAATTCGTTCACGTGCTAAAAAATGATCTAACTCTGAAAAAATCGGTGGGTCAATATAGCTTTGGTTTGATTAACTTTGTAGCATGGAGCTCACTCTCTCTCTCTCTCTCGATGTTTTTACACCCAGTGCTTTGAACATTTCCTTCATTGCATATGCCACTTCTTTCTTCAGATGTGCACATGCATCTACATGTATGCCAAATAATGCAATATCATACCCATTGTAAAATTAGCCATAGGATTCTTTTAATAAAGAAATTTCATTTTTTAGTTCTTATATGCTGGGTTTTGTATATAGTAATTATCCTTATTTACAGATACACAATAGGGATTTACCTGCAAAATTAATTTTCCAGAAAAAAGCAATTTGTCTCCTCATAACCCATGAATCATTGCTTGAGCCTTCGGTTCCCTGCTTTCGAATTTGATTTTTTTTACCCCATTTTTGATTAAATTAAATTTTTTTCATTTTAATTGAATGTTATATTAGAACACTGTGTGTTCCTGTACATTTTAGAAGGTAGTATTGATTTATTTGATGGGTTTTTTTTTTTTTAAGGTCTGGTGTGGAAAAGAATAGTAGCTTTACACTGCAGTACATGTAGACTAAGGGACCATTCCCACAGATATTTGGATCGATCTCTCTTCCTGGGGAGTCTCACTAAATTGCAATCAAACTTACCAGCTTAAACGTCTGTCATGCTTAGTAAAGCTCTTGGAGGGTAATTATCTTTACCCCTGGCTGATTCGATAGGGGTGACAGACATTTAAGCCTCTTGAGCTGATATAGCAATTTAACGTGAACCCCCAGGGAGTTAGGTTAATCCAGATAGATCAATCTAAATATGGGAACCCAGTCTTAGAAAATAAGATGGGGAAATGTTTTAATTAAGGCTGTAGTATATATTCCAGTAGATTCTACCTTTAAGATGAAGGTATATTTGACTCGTCGATAAAATTTGACCATAACATTTGTACTGCATTATCAAAATCATATGACGTATAGTACTAATGTTTTTGAGTTTTATTTTATTCTTTTTCTCATTCCACATCTAGTAGAATTTACCCACTTGATCTTAGTTTTCTGATTTGTACAAAGATGGTTTTGTACATTAAATAGGCTTTAATTGTTACCTGCATCTTATTATTTTATTTATAACTTCACCATTCTATGTCCCATATCTTTAACGCTATTAATAGTGGCTCCAGTCATAAATCTGAAGCAATCTACACTGATGAATAAGTGACAGAAATCTGTTACCATGCGTGCATAGGTATAGCTAGGTTCATGTGCTCTGCCAGTTAACTGTATAGACAGGTCAGTGCAGGCATATTGAGTCATTCATTTATTTAAAGGTTATATGTAATTTCATTACAGAACCTGCATTAGCAGTTCATAACCAGCCTTTGTGACTATCCATAACAACTACAGCTAGTGGTGTTTGACAATGTTTGAGCACTGTGAGGGAGCAGAGAAGGTGTGGGAAAAATATGGCTGTCAGAGTGGAGATTATCATACTGATTATGCTGCTGGTCAGCATGAAAATAAGTGCCAAAGCTAATTATAATCGCCGAGAAAAAAGACCTCCTCCTCCGCCACTTGCTCCAAAGAAATTCCGTCCACTAGTCAAAGAGCTTCCTTCAGACAACAGAAATGACAAAGAGAAAGCAGGGGAAGAAAAGGAAATTTCAAACTGGAAAACACGGACTTGGAATGCAAATTCCTGCCGCCAGTTTGGACTACTCCTGAAAAAGAAGGAAGTAGCAGTGCAGAAATTGGAGCGTGGGATTCGGCAGGTGACCAATGAGATGAGGGAGCTGGACATGGGGGAGAGAGACCCTCACAAGGAGTTCCAAGTCCAGATATATGATCTGTTCAAAATGCAGCTGAATTCAAGTGAAGGGTTGATCTATCAGGCTATTCAGTCACTGGAGTCTTCCATACAGGGGGACGTCAAAGGTAATTCATACATATCGTTCATACATTACAGTCATTTGACTCTGACATCATACTGGTATGGTGGAAATCTTGGTAAAATGTAAGATATCGTAATGTTTAAAGTCATGTTCCCATTCAAGCTGGGTCAGTCTATCTTGATATATATTCTCCACAGGCTGTGTGATACTGGTGCACACTCCATGGTGTATAAATCTTATGATAATTTTTAGCTTGTCTCTCTTTTTCTACCAATAAATTATTAATTAATCAATATATTAAGGCCTCACACATGGTGTATGCAGTTTTTAAATGACAGAAGTTTATTTGAGCAATTTTGTAATAAAGTTTAGTGAAAATTTAAGAAGAACATAATCAGTGAAAAGTTATGAATATGTACACTTTCAAGTGATGAGTTATTAGAAATCATCACTGGCTGCAACAATCTATTGCTATATGCTGTCTAAGATTATTTCTGTTGCATGTTTCAGACCTTGCTGATGTGAAAGATAGCAGTAAAAAGAGACTGGATTCTCTGAAAGATTTGACACTGAAAGAGGAGCAAGCCTATAACAAACTTCTGAAGGCAGAGGAGACTGAAAAACAGATGAAGGTTTTTCTCTTATAGATTATTAGATTTATTTCAACTTGAACGACAGCATGATCTGTTAACAATGAATGTGCATGTAATATGAATTACTAGTAAAGCAGTTTCATAATACTTGCACACAGTAAGGACTTTACAAAATACTACTGTACGTTACAGTAACAGTATTACTTCCTTGGGTGACAGGTTGCAACACTATTTAAAAACCTGCTTACTTTTCCTCCAACGTTTTTTACTTTAAAATACTTAACCTATAAATTGAATTTATTATATTTTAAAGGTCGTTTTACATTTTAGAACAATTTTACTTTATTGTGCATATCAACTGATTTTAGTTTCAAGTATTAAGCAGGCTTATAAATTTATTTTAGAAATAGAAGCTTTGTATATCCATTATAATTCAAATCATAGTTACATGTACATATAATTGTTTTAAATAGTGTCAATATTTTCCAGGAGAAAGCTAATCCCAATAACACCACCCCATCTTCAGGGTTTATCTACGAGATGCTGCAGGAGGTGGCCAGGGCTGCTGACGAGCTGGAGAAGACGCTGGATGAACATGTGTTTGATCACGCCCTCAATGACCCCAAACTGGCAAGTTATCGCACTGTGTTATATGTTGTAATAATAATAATAATAATAATGATGATGATGATGATGATTTTAAGAAGTAGAAGATAAAGAATGAAATATTCAGGTTATATTTAAGAGTATTATGTATATGTAGTACATCAGAAAATTGATTTATGTCGCAAGCTAATAATATTAACACTTAAACACTTTAGCTAAAGAGAATGTTCAAGATATTAATAAATAAAATTTTAATTAACATTATAAGTTTATTTAAGATTAGTAATTTACTTAGAACTTAATTTTGATACTGTTGAGGGTCTTCATATTGAATTTTAAGTAATATCCCTAGTGACAGTTGATATCCTGAGGTCAGGCAAATAAGACTCCCATGTTGTTATTGTTGATCAGCTTCTTCAANTTGTACTTTAAAATACTTAACCTATAAATTGAATTTATTATATTTTAAAGGTCGTTTTACATTTTAGAACAATTTTACTTTATTGTGCATATCAACTGATTTTAGTTTCAAGTATTAAGCAGGCTTATAAATTTATTTTAGAAATAGAAGCTTTGTATATCCATTATAATTCAAATCATAGTTACATATAATTGTTTTAAATAGTGTCAATATTTTCCAGGAGAAAGCTAATCCCAATAACACCACCCCATCTTCAGGGTTTATCTACGAGATGCTGCAGGAGGTGGCCAGGGCTGCTGATGAGCTGGAGAAGACGCTGGATGAACATGTGTTTGATCACGCCCTCAATGACCCCAAACTGGCAAGTTATCGCACTGTGTTATATGTTGTAATAATAATAATAATAATAATAATAATAATAATAATAATAATAATAATAATAATGATGATGATGATGATTTTAAGAAGTAGAAGATAAAGAATGAAATATTCAGGTTATATTTAAGAGTATTATGTATATGTAGTACATCAGAAAATTGATTTATGTCGCAAGCTAATAATATTAACACTTAAACACTTTAGCTAAAGAGAATGTTCAAGATATTAATAAATAAAATTTTAATTAACATTATAAGTTTATTTAAGATTAGTAATTTACTTAGAACTTAATTTTGAAACTGTTGAGGGTCTTCATATTGAATTTTAAGTAATATCCCTAGTGACAGTTGATATCCTGAGGTCAGGCAAATAAGACTCCCATGTTGTTATTGTTGATCAGCTTCTTCAACTGCCCCTAAGTTGATGATTTATTATTTAAAGTTAAATAAATTATGTGGTGTAGCCTGAAGGCCCAAAGAAAATGCGTTTCTTCAAAATATGATAATCTACGATTTAGTGTAAAGAAGTCAGTGGTATATAATATTTTACATAGTTACGTAATTTAAAAAGGTATTTCTTCTGGAAATAGTGATTTATGATTAGAAAACAAGTTTATTAATGTATGATATATGCATGTCAGATCTTAGTGATGTCCGAAATATGTCATATTAGTACAGAGTAATGGATAGGAAGTAGTGAAATGATTACATGATATCTACATTGAACACTGCAATCACAGTTACAGTAGCATATTTTGGGCAGTCAGGGAATCTTTAAAATAAGAATCAATATAAAATCAAAAATTTATATCAAAATAGTGATAAATTACATTGCAGCTGAAAATGCTAACCAAAGAATTATGTAGAACATATTTTATTGGACTTTGAACATACTAGAATAATCTTTGGTACAGTTGTTTTTAACATTAGGTTCTGTTCAGCTGAACATCTTAAAATTCTCTCTGTAATAAAGAAAATTTCCATCCTCCTGTGTAATTAACACATCAGATTATTATATAATTATGATTATGTAATTAATTTTACAGTTCAATTTGCATGTCCGTTCTTTTCTCAGTCCAAAGGAGATAACATCGAGGCCGTGATTCGCCTCAGTGATGACAGTGGGCCCCCTGCAGTGAACAGCAGTTCAGCCAAACCCAAGGAGAGCAGTGGCCATGTGAAGCTGGTAGACTCCCAGGGAAACCAGTACATTCTGTCCAAGTCCAAAGATTCCACAGTGCCAATAGAGGACCATCAGCTTATTCAGGTTACTTAAGACTGGGTTCCCATGCCTAGATTGATCCATCTGGATCGGTCTAACTCCCTGAGACTCTCCAGGGAGATAGATCGATCCAGATATCTGTGGGAATGGTCCCTAAGAGTGTGTGTGTGTGTGTGTGTGTGTGTGTATGCATGTATTTGTGTTGTTGTGAATGCCCATGTCTTTATTTGTGTGTGTATTTGTGTGTGCGCGTGTGAGTGTTGTGCATGCCCATGTCTTCATTTGTGTGTGTGTGCGTGTGCATGTGTGTGTGTGTGATTGTCTGTGTTTGTCAGTACATATATATGCAAGTGTGTTGTTCTCTTGCCTACACACTTTTGTGTCACTTGGTCACTTGTGCATGTTTGTCATGTGACAAAACAGAGTAAATTCAAACCACTCCCACTGGGAACATTTCCAGTACAAAATGGCAGATTTCTTAAAAAAAGGAAAAATGAATGAGTTTTAACTGCATGATGTTTTTGTAGTATTTTAATGATGTATGGAAAAAAATCAGTATAATTGTGCTTGGCCTAGTTATTTTAAAAAATTGATATACTGTTACAATGGAAGAGGTCACAAACGCACACAAACACACACACGCTCTGTATAACAGTTTACTTAACAATTGTTTTATCTTTCCCAGGACTTGATATCGCTGACAGTCCTGGCATTCCTCCTGGGCTGGCTGTGTCAGGCACTACAGCTACCCAGTATGTTTGGGTTTGTGGTGGCAGGTGTTATACTGGGACCCTCAGGACTCAACATAGTCAAGGTAGGCTATACTGTTATAATAAAGACATACATATGTTTGGGTTTGTGGTGGCAGGTGTTATACTGGGACCCTCAGGACTCAACATAGTCAAGGTAGGCTATACTGTTATAATAAAGACATACATATGTTTGGGTTTGTGGTGGCAGGTGTTATACTGGGACCTCCATTGTGGGACTGACTCAAAAAATAAAAATAAATAGAAAAAAAAACAAGTGGATCTTAATTCTATCACCAGCAGACATGCTGAAACTGTCTGTCTGATTGGTCATGACCGAGAAAATTTTTCTGGACCGGTAAAAAATTGGATTTAGTCAGTCCAAAGGACTGACAAGAGTTTTAAGAGCCGCAATTTTGAATTTACAGTCGTCATTCGACATAATTCACTAATAAAATTATATAAAACCCAAAGCATTTTTTCCTTCCATTTCAAACCTATCACATTAACAAACAAAGTAAGCTACATATATACAGTACCCTAATTGTAGTGGTAGTATCTGTCTCAAACGAATAGGTTATTTTCGGTCCGACAAAAATCCAAGCGGCCTGACAAATTTTTCATTACTGCCGGTCCAAATGTCCGGCCATTCTGAAAAGTTTTCAGCATGTTTGCACCAGTTTTGGATAATTATGCCATATACCCTGGTGATAAAGAAAATGTTGAAATTTCCAGGACAATAAATTTTGCTGTGGAAAACTTATTAAGGTCTAACACTCAATGTATACCTTTAAAAATCCAGATACTAGCAGAATGAATATAGTTTAACTGATTAAAGTTAAGTTCCAGAACAAGGACTTGTCGATAAACCCCTTAATAAGTTGATTCAGATAGAAAAGTAATGAAAAATTTTTGGAGTACTTTATCTTACTGGCCTGAAGTGTGTTCACATCTATCAAACTACCAGCAGATGTAATATGTTTCTTTTTTTCTTTTTATAACATTTTTGTTTTAGAAGCTCACAAGGTCAGCTGGCCAGAGATAAACTGGAGGGATTTCTAAAATACTAGTACAATACAAACATTATAATTATAAGAGTGTTGTTCTGTTGTTTTCAGTCTGTCATCCAGGTAGAGAGCATAGGGGAGCTAGGCGTCTTCTTCATTCTCTTTGTGGTGGGACTGGAATTTTCTCCAGCTAAACTCAGAAAGGTGAGCTAGGTTGAGCTTTATAAGCTAATTATATACAATTAGTAAATTTATATAGGATGTTGGAAGTGACTGATTTTGTGTGAATATTGGGCTGGTGCTTGTTTGATTTTAAGCATCCTATTTTCATTAGTACTTGCCTTTTTCACCAAAATGATTTCATAGCCAGCTCAACTCAATTTATTATGTTGATTAAAAAGACAAAATAGATTTCTAGTTGCCAAATCATGCAGATATTTAATGACAAGTTTAGTGGATATTAAAGGCAGGTGCACTTACATAATTAGCAAGCTTGATCTCTATACTAGTTTTCTAAATGTTTACTACCTTCATAATATATGATTGTCTTGATGGACTACTTGTTTATCTACTTATATAATTATTTATAGATAGATAATTAGATAAATAAATAGATAGACACATGTAGATAGATACAGTAACTATTAGATAGATACTGAGAGAGCTATGGAGTAGATGGATAGCTAGAGACACAGAAAACCTTTGTCTGGCCACAGATAACATTTATTTGTAACCAAAATGGCTGCAAACTTAAAGTTTATGACATCGAGTTTGGAGGAGTTTGCAAGAAAAATTTTATTGAAGCAACATTTTCAGCAGGCCTGTTATTTTGCTAAGGGAAATTATATGATTTATTTGAATGCTCTTAAATAATGTAGTATGTCGCAGTCATTATCATCATTATAGCTATTCAAGATTCTCTGATGTATGTTTGGTTTATATATTCAAACCTGTAACAGTTCAAGCATAATATTCCATTTGATTTATTACAACATATTTTGTGCAGCTTGTTAGTCATTTCAATTTATAAGCACTATACATGTTCTCTCTCTATTTCTGGGCATCCACTGATCAAGGAACATCTTTCAGAAATGGGCTTCATGACAAAAGGGAGTATGTACTATTTTTTAACCCAAATATTGGTATGGATTTGACTCAAGTTTGGATTTGTGTGACAGTCAGTTATTAGACTGAAATAACTATATTTCTAAAATAAAAGGCAGAGCAAAGGCTGTATTTAATTCATGACATTTTCCTGGTCATTCTTAGCCATAGTCTGATGTATTCCATTGTCTGTTGAAGACAGGCATGTTCCTTATTTTCAGTGTCACCTTCTGTCCTGAGCAAGATGATTAAACCTGCTATAATTATTATGATTATTATGATGGTTATATTTTCATTAAAATGATTTTATATAATATCTGATATTGAACAGGCAGGTCTTACTCAACAGAGCTTATTGATGAAGCAATGCTAATATTGTATCGTCGCTATCATCACAAGATTCTCGGCAGTCATTTGTCCCTGGTATTCTGAACTGTCCCTTGGGACAGGCACACCCTGGGCGACACTCCAGTTTGCAGGGTTCACTGGGATCACCCATCTCACAGTACTGGTTACATGGCCGACACTCATGGTAGTAGGTCAGATCACCTGGACATCTGAAGATAGATAGATAGATAGATAGATATATTAATGATAAATTAATAAGGATAATGATAACAATAATGAAAAATATGATAATAATTTATTTTTAAAAAGCCACATGATTTGCATACTTAAGTTGTTATATTTGTTTTTGTGTGGGGGGTGACTGGCTCATGCCATGGCTTAAATACCTCTTATATTATCAAAATAACACAATCCAAGGTTATTCCTGTGGGATACATTTATGTATGACTTTGGACGTTTTTTGTCAGTTGTACTTGAGAATCTAGGCTGAGTTTAGCTGAGACACAAAAAATGTTCAAGTCATGTTTAATGGTTGCCTGTGACAATTTTAATTTTGGGAATATCTCTTGACCCAATCTGAATTATCATAGAATCTCTTAATTGCATAAAAATGTAAATCGGTAGATCTAGAACTTCAGTATACATTGTTGTTTGTATCTATCTATAATATATATGCACTGTTTTATTCATAATTAAAAATGGTTTTGCCAAAAGCCTAATCAACAACAGCTTTAAAAATTTAACCAGTTCTCTTATGAAAATAACTCATAAAATTCCATCAAATATTAAATGTACATTTTTTCATCATCAGGAATTATTATAGTATTTTGTAAGTAATACTTAAAAATTTTCATTCAAAAGTTTTCAAAATTTAGTTACAGTGGCTTTGTGTCAGAAAGTCCATTACTGGCCTATAGATGAGAATGACATCGTAAATGTCACCAAAGGTTCACTGTATTTTGGAGCTTTGAAATTCTCGAGTCTTGATTTTTGTAAACTGTTGTGGATAGATTGGTAAATTCAATAACACTATTTTATGTAGAATTCTTCCAGATCAAGCAAATAACCAACAGATTTCAAATCAAATGCACCATGAGGTTTTCACTCCTTTACAGAAATTCTGATTTGCAAAGGTTTATTATAAATTTAAATTAAAACAATTAGTCACTACATTTGTACAATGACTAGCAGGTATAACCTTACAATATACAACTTTTTTCTAGTTAATTTAATCTGTAATTACATTACAGCTACAGTTAGACTACAATATTATTTCTATAACAAATTAAAAGATACTTGCAATAGGGTGATGAAATGAAGACTGATAAAAATGAAGACTTCTAGACAATGCATGAAAACACAGTACTTACTGATGGGCTTCTCCCTTGTGGATCAACATGGTGACAAGAATCAGCAATGTGCAGAAAACCAGGGCCTTCATTTTAATGGAGCTTGACTGTGTTCTGTTTCAAAGTTTGAATACTGAAAAACATTTACTCAATACTTACATTTTCAGTTAATATTAACTAAACACATTTGAATTTAAGTGCTTTTGACCACTTCGGAATTCTCAAAAATGTGGTAGAACTTTTTGAATTCCATTCATATTTTTCGACTGCCGCCAGTATGTAATTCATGGATTTTGAATGCTAAACATGTGACCTGAAACAATAATACACTGTAACTATATTGACATGCAGTTTGCCATTTTAATTATCTCCCCAAGGAATCTCTTATTTTTTACATTTATGAATTTCAATGCTATCGAAATAGTTATAGACATACAGCCTGTCATTATCCTAATTTTTTAATATGGGAACTATAATTATGTAATTGATTTGTTTTATTTTTTCCTTGATTATTTATTTATTTATTTATTTATTTTATTGCATTTATTTTAATATCTACCAGTATGTTTATTTATCTTTGTTCAAATGACCTATTTGGTTAATATGTAGTTTGAAACATTTAGTAGGGTTGCAGGCCCGTAGCCAGGGGGGGTACGGGGGGTTCGAAAGAACCGCCCCTTTTGCTGAAAAAAGGTCCACTCTGGGTAAAATTTGATCTAGGTACATGATGTTTTTATGGGGAAAGGTCCACTTTTTCAGAAAACGAACCCCCCTTTTGAAACTGCTGGCTACGGGCCTGGGTTGTATGTACAGAATAACTAACAGGCCCAGAGTCAGCAATTTCAAAGGGAGGGGCTCTTTTTCTCAAAAAGTGGACCTTTTACCACAAAACCTTCATATACCTAGATCAATTTTTACTCAGAGCAGACCTTTTCACGACAAAAAGGAGGATCTTGGAACCTGCAAAACCCTGATTGCTATGAGGCTGACTGAGGCAGAGAAGGAGATTTTTTACTATCAGGGGATTTCTGACTATTTGAAAACCAAAAATATTGTTAGCCTAGATACCCCCCTTGACCCCATACCATATATCTGACTTTTTCACTAAATGGCAGTCTCATCCCTGCTAAGATTATCACAGCAACCACAAAAGGTTAAGTTGGCAGCTGTGTTAGAATTTTTTAGAACCGTTCCAAACCACAATCTAATTACTGCTGCAGCATTTATACATTTGGTCTGTATCCTTGTAATTCTCAAGAAGTTTACAATTATTACTCCCAAGTCATACATGTATTTCTAAATCACAGTTTTTACTTACATATTACTTTTAAATTATAAGTCTAGAACCTTAGATCCTGCCTTAAGATACTAAACCAACATTGTCATAAATATTTATCATGTGTGTCTCTTCAACTGCAAAACCGCCTCAAAATCTTATCAGTCTGTGACAGTGGTGAATTTTGACGTTTTTTTACCATGTAAAATATCAATTGAGTGTAGTACTCTGTTTTATCTAACATTGAATTATCTGTTATTTATAGGAGAAATGGATCAATTTAAAGGCTATGTCTTGTCAGTTTAAGGACATTGGCCAACTTTGAAATGACATNCCTGCAAACCGCCTCAAAATCTTATCAGTCTGTGACAGTGGTGAATTTTGACGTTTTTTTACCATGTAAAATATCAATTGAGTGTAGTACTCTGTTTTATCTAACATTGAATTATCTGTTATTTATAGGAGAAATGGATCAATTTAAAGGCTATGTCTTGTCAGTTTAAGGACATTGGCCAACTTTGAAATGACATCTTTTCCTCCGTAAGGACAGAGTTTGTAGAGTGTAACAAGGTGTTGATGCATTGAACTGCATGATGAACACATCACACATATGGAATTGGGGATGGAATTGGTCAAATGATGTGTTACTATTCCTCATACAAACAATGCATATTCATATATATATGTATATAGCCCTGTACTAGTACATGTAAAAGTTATGGACAACAGGTCTATAGGGCTATGTCATGAAGGAATGGTGGAGAATATTCTAAAATTAATGGATAATTTTGTCAGAATTTAAAGTGACAGTATGCATAATTTCTGATGTTTTGTTTCAAATAGTAAGCCTGTTCTGATGACTAAAAACACCAGGTATTATTATATTATTATTATTATTATTATTATTATTATTATTATTATTATTATTATTATTATAGAAAATCTCTACTGTCCTCTTGCAAAAGGAAAGTACATGAACCACCTATGACCATTCAGCTGGATTGATTTACATGTGATAGTTTAATGAATTAAAGTCATCAGATTTATAATTTTTTAATCACTTCTTACATGAATATAAGCTCTAGAAAAATGCTGAGATCAACAGGATTTTTTATGTGCAGACACAGATGGAATCACCATCGCTGTATTAGCTTTGCAATCTCAGAGATAACAGGTCAAGGGAAAGACTATTTACAGAACTGAAGTATTGTATGTTCATAAAATGCAGGTAGAGTTTGAAAATCAGCTTGATCAGTCCATTTTCCAAAAGTAATGTTGTCTTTTATTTCCAGTATATATGCAATCCAGATAACACATAAAGTTTCTTTTTTTTTTTTTTTTTTTTTTTTATGTGAAATGTTGATCTTCATTTTTCACATATAATGGCACATTTTCAGGCATGACTTTGAACTTCCATGGGCCTGAAGACCATTGTTAATTACATTTTTTTAATGTTACCTGCCGTGCATGCCATAATTAAACATTAGTGGTGGTAGTGCTTTTAAGCATTGTGTAATATTTCATCAAAATTGAAAGAAAAATGCATTTTGGGCACTGCTGCCACAATGACCATTATATGAAAACCATGTCATTTATGATTCTCAAACTTACAGAAAGGATTCACAGGATTGAAAATACATCTTAAATTGCAAAACCAGCCTGACTGGATTAATTTTCTGGAAGAAGTGCAGTTTTTGTGAAATGTTCATTTTTTCACATGTTGGCATTTTCAATGTGGGAATTAGAACTCTCAATAAGAATAAAGCTGTATGTTAGTTATATTTTCTGAATGTCCATGTTAAATATATAAGATAACTAAAATTGGTGGTGATTATGCTGTTAATATACGTAATATTGCATCAAAATTGACAAAAAAATCTGTTTTGTGCGCTGCCACCACAAATGCTATGAAAACTGTGTTATTATTTTATAACTTACAAGAATGATTCTTAGGGTTGACAAACAGCTCAAACAGGAAAACCAGCTAGATTGTTTTTTTTTTTTTTTTCTTGAATTTATACAGTGTGAAACTTTTATTTTTCTCATTGTGGCACACATCACATTGGGTGAATTTAAACTCTCATGGGCCTGAAGCCTTGTGCTTCTTACATATTCCTAACACCAGTGTCACCTGTGGACTGTGCATAAGTAAAATTTGGTGTTGACTTTGCTTTTAAGCGTAATGTATTATTGCATCAAAATTGACAAAATAACCTATGTTGTGCATCATCATTTTCTTTTTGTGTGCACATTTGACAGCTTTGCTACCTTGTTTTTATTTTATCATTTTATTTATTTGCAAATTTCTGTATATTTTCCTTTGTTTGATATAATCATTAAGTTAAAGCATTATTAATCTTACCTTGAATTGTCTCCCTATCTGCAGTGAGGATGTGACAGTTGTTTGCTTGCTTTTGGCAATGTCTCAAACCCTTATGCCTAAAACATGGGGTGCCAGAACTTATGGAAATGAATGATCGTATATTTGCATGTTGAAAGTGTACCTTGTGCACATGTAAATAAATGGGTTCTAGCTGTTATATCACTTGATTTTGAATATAGTCTGAAATTAGTCATCTAGTGGCCAATGGGAATTTAGATGTCAGTGACATTTATGTCACCAGTTGTGATGGATGCCACTGCTGCATTGTCAAAACATGCTCTTAAAGTGTTGTAACTCTTGCTGGTCAGACTTTGTACCAAGCACAATTTAGTGGTGTGTTATTACTACTGAATTGTCAAAATATGCTCTTGAAGTTATCTCACTCTTGCTGGTAAGACTTTGTACCTAGTACTGTTAGTAACAGTATAGTGACACATTATAATTATATTGAATGTTAACTGCTTTCTCACATATTCAAACATATAATGATATCAGTATAGATTTTTTAAAGGTGCAACATTATGCCATATTTTCCAAATTGAAGTAAATGGGAGAAGCATGCCAACAATAAAATGTATAGTTAACACAGTTAACAAGATGGACAATGGCCCTGCACTTAAGTAAAACTGAACCTTTCCCAATAAAATATAAATTTGTTCAGTTTTGGACACTGTTCCTTCTGGTTGCCTGCTCCTGCTAGGTTATATTAGTAGGTTAAAGGGTTTTGGCATCGACCATTTAAACCAGTCTATAAAATGTCAACTAGCTTGCTGTCATGTTTAATCAAAGCTTTGGAGATATGAACTTTTTATTATATACTAGGTACTACTGCATGTTAACATGTACAAAGAGAAATAATTGTATAATTTAATAATATAAAAATTAACCAAGACCAAGCTATTATCCAGACTGACTGATGTACTCTTAGTAAATAAAACAATTATGTGATTGAAACTGGCTAAGAGATAAACTCTGAGTATTATTATGTATGGCCATTGAAATCTTGGATCTATTTATACCAAGTTATAACTACCAGTCCGGAGTTTAAATTAAAACATGTAACACATTTAGCTGACATTATAGAAGCTTTAAATGTTTAAGAAGTTAGTTTTCTTAAACCTTCATGGCACTAACACAGTAACACTTGTTTGATAATTTGCAGGATGACAAAAGGTTATTGTTGTAATGACAGCTACAAGTAGGTTATTGGATAGATTTATTAGACCTTTGAATGAAAATCTGTTCAGTAGTTATGATTTTGCCATTTCTAGAATTGCCTTTGAGAAATTATGAAATAAGATTGACTCAGTTATTGAGCACTACTGTATATATCTGTAAGCCCTGTGTCCATTTGAACAAGTAGTTTAAGATTCAATATTGCCTTCTTTATCTAGATAAATATTGTTGCCACTGAGGTGTATATACTTGGGTAGTGATTATGCTAGCCATGATGTTATCTCATATTTTGATGGGGTTGAAACCACACTGGAATCCAGAATTTAAGGTGACCTTTTCAGGGGCACTCTATTTCACATAGTGTTAATTCATCTTATATTTACAATATTGAAATACATGGTATGAGATTAATTCATCAATCTTTTTATTGATTCATTCCAGGTGTTCAAAGTTGCCACTATAGGCTGTACAATGATGATGTCAGTGATGGTGATTGCAGGTATTGTGGTGGGCCTGCAGCTAAAGTCCACCATTAATGAGAGTGCCTTTGTCTCAGCTTGTCTGTCTCTGTCCAGTACACCTCTGGTGGTGAAGTTCTTAAGTCAAACTGGCTACCTTGATAGGAGGGAAGAGGAAGGTGAGTCTTTTATTTTCTTTTTCAAATCTGCATAATGTGTAGATATCAGTATTTTTATCATTATTTGTCCTATATTATAATTGTGAGTGTATTTGAATTAACACGCATACACAAAAGATACTAGTACCAATGAATTAATTAAAAAGCCAGTTAGAGTTAAGATCTGCCAGAGCACGCCAAGAATCTGATGATGTTGTATGAATCATAAGCATTTATTTACCAGAAGTCCACATTTTGACCAAAAATGTCCATGTTTGAAGCGATCGACCATTAGATGCCATACGTAACACTAGCCTCTTTTTCCCCTGTTATACATTAGTTCCAACATCCTCCAGACCGAGGCCAGAATACGACTATGGCACCATCCTGCTTGGAGTGTTGATAATGCAGGATGTATGGCTGGGGATTCTGATGGCTCTGTTACCTGTGTTAGCAGGACATGGGACCTCTGGAGCTGGCACAGTGGAGGGAGTGGCCAGACATTACGCCTGGGTCACATTGGAACTTGTCATAAGTGAGTGTGTCATGATATTTTTTGAGTGGAGTCAGGATGATTGACATTCACTGTGGCTCACACTAACATACACAGATTGGTGGTCCCCTTCCAACCCCCCAGTGGCAGATTTAGAAGGGGGGATGGTCAGGGGGGTCCTGGTCGGCTTTGCATCCCCGGACCCCCCTTTCAAATAATCCTGGATCCGCCCTGCCCTCCCCAGGAAGAAGGCCGCAGAGGCAGGTGGCACACCTAGCTTTACCAACCCTTACCCCCAGCCATGTCCCCTACAGAAAAAATATCTCCTCCCCTCCCCCTCATTAATCTGCAAAATGCAGAGTAATATGAAATTACTTTTCCCCTTGTTCTACCCATCCTCTCCTCAGTAAATTCTAGGATTGTATATAGCAAGCAGTGCACAAACAAAAGGTGTCATGCATCCTCAGATACATACTTAAATACAGCGTTATATCCATGTGTTCTTTGCTCCCTCGAGCACAGTTAATTGTAAACAAAATTGCTTAACATTATTATAATAGTACTTGCTTTTGATTTAAGAAAATTTCCTATAAGAGGTGTTATAGGACTGTATGGGACTCTATTGGAATCCTTCATGAATCTATGGGACTCTGTAGGAATTCTGTCAGATGTCTTATAGGACCCTAAATGATTTGTCCCAATTTCCTATACGTCTAAAGAAAATTTCTGTAAGGGGCACGTTAAAAATTTAATAAAGAATTAATTTGAACTGCTTTTAGCCACATTTTTTTTGTCCAGCACCTGTTGTTTGTATTTCCAGATCTTGTCTCAGTTCTTCTGGTAACAGTGCTGGGAGCACGGTACGTGGTGTCCTTTGTCTTCAAGCAGCTGGTGATGTCGGGGTCCAGAGAAATTCTGGTGCTGGGCAGTGTAACCCTGGTCTTCCTTATGTTAACTGTGAGTATGCTCTGTGTAACAAATACACGATGAGGCAGTGAGGAGTAGGTGATATATATATATATATATATATATATATATATATATATATATATATATATATGAATACGAAGCATGAGCAGATGTCATGAGGAGTACCATGAATAGGATGTCTCATGTATATGCACCCTGTTGAGGAGTGGTGTATCTGACTTACACCATGGTGCATGTCGAGACCTATTGAACCAAACATCCTGGATCTCACTTTTGTGGGTGATTGTTCATGGGTCTCCCATTGTATTATGGCAAACTGGTATGAAAAGTTGTTTTAACAAAATGGTGTTTCTGGTCAATAAAAAGTCCATGAACTGTTAGCTGTATCTATTTTCCTGAAACTATGACACGGATTATTGGTAGAAAAAGTAACCCATTTCTAAGGAAATAAAACCCATGTTTTTAAACTTGTGATGTATCATTTTACCCTGTCTCTACCCATATTGATGAAGTGACCAAACGCCATGCCTCATAGGTAAAAAAATTGTTTCACTGATCAAAAGTTTACTTTTTATACCAAAAGAAAATAGTATGGTGTTTGTTGAGTGATGGTTAGATAATGAGTGAAAAGTGTTTTATACTAATTTTATCAGTTCAGTATCAAAACATAGAAAGACCACAGAATGTGTTAGATGAGGTCAGGGCACAATAAGAAGGACAAGGAAGGGTCATTCTTACTACTTATACCATTTGATATTGAAGGAATAACACTGGTCCACCTGATTGTGTTCATATCACAACTAACACATTTTCTGTTGATCAGCTGCAATTCTAAATCACTAAAGGTTTTATTAGAAATAATGGAATTAGGAATATGTGGGGGCTTTGTTCAGTGGTCAGAGACGGTTTTTACCATCTATGTTAACAATGTTTAACCCACCCTGTCAAATTTTGATATAAATAAAATATTCAAGCATTTAATATTACAGATAACAAATTATCTGCAAGTCTCTATGGAGTTGGGTTGTTTCCTGGCAGGGGTAATGTTGAGTGCACAGGGACCACAGCTGGCAGGAGATTTAGAAAAACTCATGCAGCAGATCAAAGATTTTCTTGGCTGTATTTTCTTTGCATCTATAGGCAAGTACCAATATTTTGACATTATATCATATTTCTGATTCTCAAGCTTATTGTAATGAGCTATGTTTCACATTTTCCCTTTCAGTTTGAATTTTTTAGCAGTATTTGTTTTGGATGTTATCTGTATTCTTGCTTTGCATTTTATCAATTAAAATATTGATATGCTATGGTACTTCACAAAAATTATTTTGAATTGAATGTTGTTGGTTTGTTTTGATAACGTTTTTATTTGTCACAAATTCTGTTTCAGGTCTTCATATATTCCCCACATTCTTGGTCTATGAACTGACCATTCTAACAACATTGACATTAGCAGTTGTAGGATTTAAGGTAAATTGTTATAGTGGTACTCAAGATATGTGATCAGTATAATAATTTACACCAGACTTCAGTTTTTGTTAAAAAAATATTTGCCAGTGGCTTCAGCTAATTTAATTTGACCAAAGACAAATTGAATGTTTTAATGTCTGGTGCCTTATTTTACTCTTAATTTTGATATTGAAAGCTGTAAAAAAGTAAATAAAAAAGTAATTTCTAAAGAGATTTAATGTGTGAGGCATTATGAGTCAACCTTTTATCAGAGGGCCTTGTATTTCATTGAATGACTCTGATATGAGCTGCAAAAGCATCAAAACAGTTTGCCTTATAAGAGTGTCTAGTCCCTCTGTAAATGATTTGCCTTTTATGTAAATTAAAATTGGTGGTGATAATGCTATTGAAAATAATGTAATAACTTTATTGTACGTCAGCATACTTGTTTTCTGCTTTGTGCCTGTACATTTGACAACTTTGCTACTTTGTTTTATATTTTTACACTAGAGATGATGAGAAACCTATTTCACAGTAGTTAATAAAAGTCATAATAGCTCTGTTTGCATTTCTTTGTTCAGTTTTTCTCCAGTGTTGCCGTCCTGTCAGTGTTACTGCCAGACAACTCTCGTAAATCAAAGTGGGTGGTGTCTGCAGGCCTTGCTCAAGTCAGCGAGTTCTCTCTAGTCCTAGGAAGCAGAGCCAGACGATTAGGATTGATTTCTAGAGAGGTAGGTGCTTATGGCTTCAGTTTTGTACAGTAATTTTATGGTAATTATTGTAAATATTGATGTGCTTGAATTTTTTTCAAGATTTATCTTTTTCATAGGCCCAGGACATTGTACTGTGAAATTTACACTATCTTGAAACTGACTAAACATTCATTGACAATGCTTTTGAATTGGCTGTTATACATGTAAGTTTTAGTGTGTCAGACAAATTATTGTTTTGCAAAAATTAAATACTATATATTTACCAGTATGTTGTCTGAATTTATGGAATTTTCCATATAATTTCCAAGATATTAATGTTTTTCTATTAATGTGATAAAATTTACAAACCAGACAGTCATATGCTTAAATAAGTTTTATCAAACCACTTGTAACTTACAACATTTGATGGGAGAGACTGTTTTTGAAAGTGCCAGATAAAGTTGAATAGATATTGAGTTGTGTCTTTTCAACTTGCAGTGCCAGAAGTGCAGTACATGTATGTATTTTGCATGCATTGTTCACGTGCAGCTAATCATTATAATATCCTGAAAATGTTATATGTGAGATATTTAGATATTTGAACAAGTTCAAGTTTCTCTTCAAATGGTTTAACTATCTCTCCCCATGTCTATAGGTTTACCTGCTGATCCTCAGCGTGACCACCCTTAGTCTACTGTTTGCTCCCATCTTATGGAGAGCCACAGTATGGCAGTCAAGATTGCGACAGAGCACGGCGTAAGTTCCCATGCATGCATTTTTTGTGCTACATGTTCTGTCTAGTATGTTTTATACTTGTGTTTTCCAGATGATGTGTATTAGCAAAATAATTTTAGTCTGAGATTAAAATATTGCACCTCTTATGATTTTTCTGTTACTTCTAGTACAGCTTTCTTTTCATAACCTTTTAATTAACATCTAACTGCTAAAGTCAATAAGATTTAAGTATTTGCTTACTACTAGTATAGTGTCTCTAATGCATTTGTACCAAATAAACAACTAGTCTTTTCCCATCTTGCCAGATACTGCTTCTGCTAACTAACTTAATGTAATTAATTAGATATGATGTCCTTGTAAAAAAATGCCTACTAGTACACACTGTTAATTTTGGCAATATATCCTGGAATGATATTTTTTTTTTCCAACTAGCAATTGGTTTTATTTACAAATCCAAGTCAAATTAATTATAATCCTAGTTCATTGTTCTAATTTTTTTTCTTATCAGCTATGTAGCCATTCTCCTCCTGGTAGCCTCTCTTTCACCAGCTCTACTTTATCGAGCATAGTCCACATGTAGAACCTTGCTACTAGTATACAGGTTATTATCAGAATTTTATGTAGCATGTTGGGCTTACACATTTTCTAGGTGTTTGTGAGAATGTCCTGTCCAGTGGTTCTCATAGCACATTGTTTAAAGAAGTGTGTTTTCCCAACTTCCAGGCCCTATGTTCTTTTGTAGATCACTAATAATTTAACTTCTGTTTATTACTTAGTTCAATATTGTGTTATATTTTCTTATTTTGCACTTGCACACTTTCAGGAATGCTAGGTATTTTTTGTGTATTGTTATATATTTTCTATTTAATTTTTTTTTTTTCAAATTATATCTTGAAATATGAGTATTATTATAAAGAGCACATTTGAGTGGTTGATCATATTGTTTCATCATGCACACTGCTTATCTAAGTATTTCCAGCATTGATATATTTTTGATATAGAATGACAATTTCTTGGTTGTTAGACTTGAAATTGGCTGTTATAATAATGCGAAACATTGAAACTTTGTTTAATTGAAAATTCATTTGTGAATTTTGACATTGTTTAACATTTATATTTTTTAATGAAAAGATAGCATAGTCTTTTGCTTCAAGTAAATGAATGCAAGAAAATTTATCTCTGGCACCAGAAAAATCTGCCATTTGTTTGGTCCTTTGTATACATCAATTATTTAAGAGCAGCCCCTGTACTCAATATGATGTTGTATGAAATTAGAAATGATGCACAAGGCAAGTGAGGCATTCAGTGTTTTACTGGGCAATGCTTGTTTTAGTTGTCAGTTTGAAAAACAGTGAGATCTTTATATGAAATGTATGTTACAGTATCTACTTCACATCTTAATTACATTTACTTTTTAATGTTCTGTTTTAATTTAAAAGTTATTTTACAAATAGGCACTTGACTTAATATTTTAAATTATTTTATTTGACAAAGGTTTCACTTCTTGTGCTCTTTATAATAACTACTGGGACTTTTTATCATCACCTTACTTTTGAGTAAAGTCACAGAACTTTTTGTTTATACTTAGCCACTGCTTTCTTATTTTACTTTGGATAAAAGCTTAACAAAGTCTTTACTATGGGTTATTACAGTATTTTTATACTCAGTTATTTCCTTTAATTTAAGTAATAGTTAACAGTTGGTGAGTTAACTGTTGGTTTTGTGATGTTTTATGTTGGTTAAGAGTAATAAACTTAATGATGTCTGCTTATTTACTTGTACAGTGGAGCAATATGGTTGATGTTGATGATATACGTGTGTCTGTTAAAATGGATAGCAACTGTTCGTTTTGGTCAGAAAACAACTGTTTCCCCACACTTGCCAATGGTTTATTAATCCTATCCATCATTCAAAGTTAGTCCATGAGGTATAGCTACAGATCTAGAGGTATAGCAATCTATGAAGGTTGACATGGTCTAAGGCAAGCATGGAATAATTGAGTAAACTGCTCTTTTGGTGGTAAAATGGAATTTTTTATATTTCTATGAGTTGTTTTACAATGTATTTATTATGAAATATGAATCTCATATGAACAGTTGTGATTCCTTTAATTGGTGGAAGAGAGAGAGAGAGAGAGAGAGAGAGAGAGGTGGAGTAAGGGAAAAGCATGATTCATGGGGATTGGAAGGACTTTGTTTGTATGTTTGTTTCACATTGATTATTTTTAATTTCTTACTACAAATGTTTTGGTTATTGTTATGTGCAGCACAATAATCTATAATTCTAGGGTATGGCTTTCTTCTTGGTGTTGTCCTAAGCAAGGGAAATAAAAATCTTCAGTGCTCTTGTTGAAAGGTTTGTGATTTGTTAGTTGGAAAAATTCTTAAAGGGGTGTGTTCTGGCAGCTGTGGGAAACCTAGTCCAGATATTGTTACATGTTTAAAGAGGTCAGGGTGTGGTTGGGGTCCAGTGTAGTCATGTTAGAGGGACTTGGGGTTGATACGTTCCACGTCTGAGATGTCACAGACCAGTTGAGATTCATGTTAATTAATGTCTTTGCTCTTATATGAGTTTTTGTACCTATGTTTAAAAAAAATAAAACATCTAGATATGGTTATTTCACTTTATTATTATTTTTTTTTATGATTAACAAACCTGGCACATGAATTTTCTCAAATTAAATGCCACTGTTTATAATAAAACCTGTTCACAAGATAAGCTCTGATTTTTTTAATGAATTAAAACATTTTGTAGTTAAATTTATTCACATTCAGTTTCTCAAAAACTGTACAGCAAATATTGTCTTTGTTTTCCTTTCTAGGAAGAGACAAAATGGCAGAACAAAAAGCGGCCAGAGAAGCTCAGACTCAGAATTGTCTGAGAATGAAGCAACTTCCTCAAATGAATTAGACAAAAATTCCAACATGGTTGAAGTTTTAGATACGCCTTCTTGTAACTCAGAAAACTTTATACAAAGGAATGAGAATAGCTTATAGCATTATACTTCCCAGGTGATAAATATGTTCCATAAGCTGTTCATAATAACACATATATATTCACAAAATGACAGATATCTATCACTGTTTGACAGGTGATGTGATTAAGTGAGTTTTGGATGATGTCAAGGTGACAGATCTTATTCTGATATAATGTGGGATATGAACAGTATGTTATGGGAAACTTTGGCAGACATTGAACCCCCAAAGCTCTTCAGCAATACAAAGTAACTGCCAGCAACTTTACAATGGCACATTTAGCAATGAACTGTATGCAAGGTTGCAGGAAGAGTAAGAAATTGTTTGCTCACTTTTTTAATTTCAGTTACTTAAAATAAAGACAATTAAGTGATGGAGCAAGCAAACATGACATGGATGAATGGTCTGAGAATGTTTTCAGGTGTTGGATAACTTGTCCATTGAGGTTTTATTTTACTATATATCTGTGGTTAGTGACAGACTATTTTTGTCTGTTGCATAGTCCATTACACATATAAACCCTACTGTGTCATTAAACAGGACTGCAGACCTTCCGAATTCAGTGCAAATTTATACTGGGGTAGTATAAGCTAGTGTTCGGTTTATCCAGAATTGTTTTATGGAGAGTCTACTGTATCTGTTTTTAAATGTATATAAGAGCAAGTGCTGTGACATATACATGACATATAAGTACAGTTGGACAATATTGGGTAAAGCTAAGCCGTTGTTTTACTTGTAAAATGCAGTTTTAACAGTAAGCTTGAAAGAAATTCTGTAAGTTAAATTTATTGAATTTTTTAGCACATGTCCATTTTATTGATGGCAGATTTTGAAATGTATAAAGATGCAAATCAGGGTCCTTGAACACATATGGTCGCCTTTACAACCAGCTGATCAGCGGGCTAACTTTGGATCAAATGTGGCACGTACTTGACAATGGATTCCTGCCTGCCACATGCACTATCCCAGCAGGGGCAGAGCAATTTCAACATCCTTTCAGATGAGTCCCACCATATTTGATCCACAGACCAGTTAGTCAGCAGATCAACTGGTTGTGAGTGTGGCCAATACATAGCCATGACTGGACTTGAACTATCTCTGAGGGTTGTATATCAAAATGATGTAAGTCACAGGTTTTAATGTTTGCACAGTTTAAAGCAACATGTTTTTATGTCACATATCTTTAGGCATTTATACAATTGTTATAGTATTCTACAGGGAGAATGTTTTAATGTGGTCAATGGAAATCAGACATGCAATTTATTATTAAAGATAGTTATATATTCTATTATGCTGAAAATCAGTGCAATGTTCAATCTTTGTTAAACATTCCATGCACAGAGCAGCTTTCTATTTTATTTTGTTTTCAGTTTTATAGGGGTTTAGTAACATATACTTCATAACTGTGATAGGGGTGCTTTTTATATTACAGATATTTGCATTAATTGGTACTTCATAGGATTTTCTATGGTGCATTTTGTAGTAATATTTCTTTCATTGTGGAATAGGAACAATCTTGAATAATATTTTTAGTTGTGTTGTATTGATTTTGCAATCATAACATGGGACGTAGTTTTACTTTTTGTCTTTAAAATGTAAAATACTGTGCTCCTAATACCAGAAAAATGTTGACAGCCTGGTTTGTTTTAGTTTAGATTTTATTTTACATCTTACTTGAAGTGGGGTTTCTCGAGGTTGCACAGTACAGGCTATAGGTATGTATTGTTTGATTATACTTGGCATAGCTATAATTTTTCTGTGGTTTTTGTACTGAAGTATAATGTGCTGAGTGTCATTTACATATACTTTGTATGAGGTGCTTTTGTTGCTTATGCTTTACTGATAAAAAAAGGCTTTACTGACCTCTGCCGTTACCTGAAAATGCTAGTCATTCATTTTGAAAATCATTTGCTTGTATCATATGTTTTACCTTTAGCAGTATATTGGGGGTATAGTTTATATTTATTGATAAACCATATGTTTACCTTTATTTACATACCAAAAAAATAAAACGTATATTAATTTGAATGTCCCGATATTTTACAAATGTTTCTTCAGATCGTCTTCGTTGACCAATTAGGCCAGCTATACAGTACATGTACTACAACGTAGCACGAAAGTTATAGTTGAAATCACTTTCGACTTTCTCCTTGATTGGCTCAAAATCGGGTAAATGAACCTAAGACTACAAGGCACCATAATTATCTACCATCAAACTTAAAAACGATCAAAATCGGTTAATTATTTTAGATAAAATCGCCATATACCCCCATTCACTTCATTCGTTAAAATCACTCCCATCTGTAGTTTTTCTTCATTCCAATTTCGATACGGGAAGTTGCGAAAAAAATGTGTATTTGATGCACAGAGGAGAGATTTTGTTCCTTTTGAAAATTCAACAACTGTCAAACGGTGGTGTACATTCGTAAATCATCGAATTTGTTCACACTGTAACATTACCCAGGGGCGGATCCAGGATTATTTAGAGTGCGGTCCTTTTTTTTTAAAGAATGACAGGCCTCGGATGCGAATCCGACCCTCGCCCCCTCCTCCACCCTCCTTCATGTGGGGTTCGGAGCCCGCTGAAGGGCACCGAAAAATTTTGGTATTTTAGAGGGCGAACGGTGCCAATTGCTACGATCTAGAACTATGATTAAGCTAGTCAAAATTCTCATATCAAGAGAGGAGTGTTGCTGTGATTTATTTTTCAGAAACCGAAGGGGGGGGGGGGGGGGGGGACCCCCAGATACCTCCCTAAACCCCGCCACTGCTTAGGCTGCAGTGTTTTGCAATTGCCAGTGCTGCGGTCTTGGCCTCATTGTGACGGCTAGCTCAAAATTCATGCGTTGTACTGGTTGCTTACGCACGGCAGGAAAGGTCTCAAAAATGTTAACTTTCGACCTGCACTCCCACAAAAAAAGAAGAAGAAGAAGGAGGAATAGAAGAACCAGCCCGTCCCTTCCTGTGTTGACGTGAAAAAAAAGGGGGCTTTTAAAACACCATTCTTTTTATAGTCCGCGCCCCGAATGCCTTGGGCAGCCGTAGGTGTGTGAGGAGGGGGCCTTCCCCCAATATATTTTGACTTAAACCATTGATGTTGTGATTTTGTCATGTAAGCCAAATATTGGTCTTCAAAATGGAAGATTGATTGCCTTGTATGAATAAAATTAACAAACCTAGGCGGGACTATAATCTCTATAGTAAACAGCGTATGGAGTATTGCTCTCTACAAAAATTGCCCCGTTCATGAGAAGACGCGTTACTGTCTACCATTAAAAGACCCAGTTCAACAGAAAATAGAGAGAGAGAGCTTAAAATAGATTAAAATAAATGAAGAGAGAGAGGGTGAACAATAAGAATGGAGTTTACTTGTAATGACCCTTTAATCGGGGCATAAGTAAGCTCAGTATCTGTTGGTATTTCCAAGAAGTTATCTCTTTACAACTTCCTGGTATTTCTAAGGGAAAAATTGGGACGAAGGAAGCCAAGATATTAAGTTGCCTCGTTCACAATTTTTTGGGTGCACTTCTTTTGTTTACATACTAAAAGAGAGGAATGTCAAGACTCGCCTACCGTCCCCGGTTCCTCTGTTTGAACCCCTTTGACTTACCTGCTGACAAACCGGCTTTTCTCGATCGCGACCTGAGCTCAAAACTACGGAAGAATTTTACTTAATCTGGGTTATAGAAATAAGTTAAAGGTGTTTCTCTATGATAGATTAGTTGAAAAAATACCGAGAGAAAAAACCTTCATTATTAGTGTCCCTTGCGGTATGAAACATTAATACTGCACGTAGAATATTTTATTATTTAAAACTGCAAAAAGCATGCCAAGAAATCTATTACATTATAATGTATGCCTTCGGACAAAAATTTAATAGAAGGTGCTAGATGAGGCAAAGCAAAGGTGCTGTTGTTAATGCTGATTTAATTTTGTTTTTACTTAAAAATAGAACAAAATAAATTAGATAAAAGTATGTTTTCAAGTAAATGTTCGATCAAGTATTAATTCTTATACGGCGTAGCATCCATTTTATACATAATGAAAAGATATTTTTTACCAGTCTGATAAAATACAGTATAAAATTATGAACGAACAATTTCAATAAATTAAACCAAGAATTTCAAGTCTTTGATTAAACCAGCCCAACTTATTCCACTATTAGTTTATCAATTTTCAAACGTTATTGAAATCTGGAGTTTTTTATATTTATAAAGTACTAACAATATATCGCAGATTAAAGCTCGAAAGATTGCTAACGCATTGCATAAAATTGTTTTCAATGTAAATTTGGCAGTTTTAATTGTGCAGTTTATTTAAAAACAACAGTTTTCACGCACGCTCCTGTCAATTTACAGCTACTTTTTGCCCCGGTCCTTTATAAGGAACGAACAAAACCGGTACTTTTAATGGCCACTGACATGATTATCTCGGCATTTTTTCTCTCCGTAGCGCTAAAAAAATGACAAGGTTTTACTTTTTATACCATTCGTTTTTTAATGGATCCAAAAATATCCATTGGGTGTAAAAGAACACGAGTAGGAATAAGGTAATATGTTCAGTTCGTATACAAAGTTCCGATTTCGTACGAGAACCAAAGAAAGAATTATGGAGCAACAAACATCGACAGCAACGTTAATTCAAGTATAGTCATTTTACATCATGTCCAGAAAAAGAATGACAACTGATTTTCAGTACAATTAAAAACGCCTGTGAAAGAACCCGGGACTCTTTCACGTTGTTAAATTTCAGATTGAATTCAGATTGATTGAATTTCGATTGAAATAAAGAACTCGACGTTTGTTAACGCGCTGCAAAACAAAAAAATAAAATGCCCCCTACCTCCAGAATATTGCGCCATGTATTGTCAGGTATGAATCAAATTCAAACAGGCTAATTCAGCTTTAATGGAAGCTGCCAAGCGCACACGACTATGAATGACAGTTTTTTTAATCAAACGTCAAATACAATCACTACACTCTTCTCTCCGAACATGTAAAACTCCAATATCCGTTGATTGACAAGATGCCAATCAAGTTCATAAGTTTTGATAGTTGCTGTCAAGTAATCACAGCTTGATTGGCAGGTTATATAAACAAACTTCAATTACAATCATTACACAGTCGATCACTATAGTCGTCGAACACGTTAAGTTCAAGCTTCCTACATCCTTTGATTGACAAGGTGCCAATCAAATTCAGTTAGTTTTGATAGTTGCTGTCAAGTAATAACAGCATGATTGGCAGGTTACATAAGCAAACATCAATCATCGCGCACTGCGATTTCTCTCGCTGTACGTGAAACAGTGAGTACGCCGAAAGAGAGCGCTAAAATCTGAAGTTAGTAATTAACTTGCAAAATATTTCAAAAGAATATATACAATATGTTTCCAAAACTAGTTCTCTTTCTGAACCCTTCAGCACACTCTAGATTACAAACTATTTTGTAAAAAAGAAGAATTTAGCAAAAGAAATCAATAAAAAAAACAGATTCAAGTAAAGAAATATGACATTTGACGTTATTCTGGAGATAACGCATGGGTCATTTCAAAATTAGTACAACTATGTGCCCCAGTATGAGCGTGGAAGAAGAAAGTCAAACGATACTAATGCATCTTCATTAAAGGTGACATTCGTGTGGGGTTGAGGTAGGCCTAAGTGGTTTAATTTTTGCGGGGCTAAATGTTAGCAAGGACCTGTGATAATTAGTGGATGGGAAACAAAAATATAACTGTAAACAAAAGTATTGCTATCCTATTCAACAAACAAGCCGCTAATTCGCTCTTGTAACTATTTTGTTAGTTTGTTTTACTGCAGTAAACCGTGAATAAAATAGTTCAAAACGCCCTCACAGTGCTGTTGTTTTTGAGACTTCAACGACTGGGGTTAGATGAAGGGGCAAGGGCAGGGGCGGATCCAGGATTATTAGAAGGGGGTCCGGAACGACAGGCCACGAATGCGAAGCGGACCATCGCTCCTTTGGTGTGGGGTTTGGGGCCTGCTCAACGGTCCCGACAAAAAATGGTGTTTTGGAGAGCAAACAGTGCCCTTTTGGTACGGTTTAGAACTAT